CCTCCTGCACGAGTTGAGCCGTATGTTGGGCTCCGGGCGCGAGACGTATCTGAACGCATCTGAAAGTCAGACGTCTTCGGTATTCTTTCTTGCTTTGGATTCTTAGTGACTCTCGGCTTTCTCTTGAAGAACTCGAACCCCTCCCAAGCCCTCGCACCCCCAAAGCCCTTGAAGACCCTTTGTTCCTGGATGCAGGGAACGCCCTTGTCCGGCGCTGGCAGCGGGAAGCAGCAGACTTTCAAAAGGCGGAGCGCTCAGAGGATCCAACAGCAGGATTTCGGGCCCGGGCGGGAAACCAAACTCAAGCTCAAATAGGAGGACTTGCAACTTGCGGTGTCCGGTAAGTCGTGTGTTCAACAGAGGGGTCACGGACTACAGCGATGAAAACTCCTTAAGCGGGCGCACATCTTGCGCCGAAGCTGTCAGGGTTCCTTGCAGAGTCGCGGCCGTCAGGTGTCAGGCGATCCGGGGTTTCATGAGCTGTGATGTTAGTGATGTTTAGGGGAAGGTGATGCAAGCTCCTCTCTGTTGCATGTTCAGCTCCGAGGTCTACACCTGAGTCGCATGGCCCAAAAAGCTGCACGTTCTCCGCTTTGCCGCTCATTGTGATTGCCACATCTCAGATCTCCAGACTCCCAGTCCGGCACTGCCGTGGCTCAGCAGTCTCTCGTCATGGCAGCCCCCGCACGCATCCATTTCGCAGCAGCAGTGTCACGGTGCAAAGGAACACTGAAGCTTCGCCTCACTGGGGTTGCACAATGTTTCCAGAAGCCAAGCTGCAGGACACACGTTGATAAAGCCTTGTCCATGGCCTCCGAATCGGATGATGCTGCTTCCTACGCGGCAATTGCCAAGGACTTCTCGACGTGTGAGCCACTGTGAGCCTTGTGAGCTTCAGCCCTGTGTGGAAACCCGGACAAAGACCACGAAACCTAAAACCCCGAAAGCGCATGAGCCTACATACTACAATCCCTGCACTGCACCCTGAAGTGCTCATCGTCTTCTGCCTGTAGCCCCAAGCAGTTCAGTAAACCCTGATGTCACACCTCCAGACAGTGAGCCCTAAGCCCTAAAGCCAGGAGAAGGCACCGAACCACCAGAAGCCCAAAGAGTTTTTCACTGGCTTCCTGGTTCGCAGGCCGCCACTTCCCCAGAGGACGTGGAAGAAGCTCTTGAGTCGGGTGCCCGGGCGGCTCTCTCATTGAGGCTCTTATCTCTTTGACCCTTTCTCTGTCCAGAGCTCACGTCAGCCATACCCTTTCTTGTGGGAAAAAGGGCACCCTCAAGGCCTGGGAACATGGTTGTTTGGAGTTTTGGGCTTGGAAAAGGGTTGATGGGGTTTATGGCCCTATAAACCCTAAACCGAAGTTTATGGAGTCTAGAGGTGGTATGAAGCTTCAGTTGGCTCAGGGTAGAGCTCCCCAGGGCGGCGGAAGCTGCGGAGCAGCTCGCCCAGTCCCAGGGCGATGGCAAGGCTGAGGCTCCTTGGCTTTGAGAAGGATTACCAACGGGGCTTAAACAATTACCATACTAAGGGGGATTACATAATGGGGGGCAAAACCCTATTCTGACTGTTGAGGCCCCTATATGACTGTATCACGTTTTCGTGTTGACCTGTTTCGAGTATTGTCATGCTTTTCGCTATTGTAGACTCGGATGCTACTCGGATGAACCGGGTCCCTTCAACTGCTTCTACTTGTGGGCTCCAACTGGCGCGGGGGTCCATAGGAGGCCAAACAGGGGTTTTTAGTAGGGATTCGGGTTCCCATAATAGGGTGACATTAAGGAATCCACACCCCAAAATCTTAAACCCCCCCGTTTTGGCCTCCCATCAGGGGTCCCCCAAAGCGGCAAAGCAGGCCTGTGCTGCGCACACCATCGCGCTTCTGAAGTTCCGTTTGGAGGCTGGGCTCTCGACCTGAGCTGTGAGCCTCTGAGCTCAGTGGCCGAAAACACCCTGCAGACCCCAACTAAAACCCGTTCTATGCAGCCTAGGGCCTAGGGCCCCTTTCTGTAGTTACCCGTATGAGCACCCCCCTGTATGGGGGGGTGCTTTCTCCATGGGACCGGAGCGGAGGACTTCGAGGAAGCTTTGGCCGCAGGGCAGCGAAGTTGCGGCCGGCGCCTTGTGGAGCTTTTTGCAGTCTTCGAGAGCTTTTTTCCCGTGTCTACTTCGAAGGCCTCTTCCGAGAGCTCAAACTGGATCACCTGGAGGCAGAGCAGCCGGGGGAGAGAGCAGAGAAGAGCAGAGAAGAGCGCAGAGAGAGAGAGAGAGAGAGCTGAGAACCTTGCGAAAAAGATCAAGGAGGGCAAGAAAACCAAGCAGTTCGTCGTGCAAGGAAAGAGCCACTCGCATCAAGCACGCAGTCTTCGGGTCACCAAACCAAAGAGCTCGCGGAAACCAAGCCCCAGCAGACGGGGGAACCCTGGCATCGCCAACCAGTTCCTTCGAGTAGCACTGGAAGCGGATGCGCAAGAACGAAGTTCAGTGGAGGGGGAGAGGCGACATCCAGCCGGTGCCGCTCCTGACAAGCCACCACTTAAGCGCAAGAAGTACAGTGGCAAAAGAGGGAGTGAGCGCTACAACGAGCCGCACGGTGACGCCTGAGAGAAGCTGAGCGCTGTAAGCGCAACCGGGGGAGGCCCTGCCGGTACAGTGCATTCTTGTCAATTCTAGCATGCCTTGTTTGTGCGTTGTGAGCTCGTTGCTTGCCTGTCATGGACTCGGCCGGGACCTCAGTTCTCACTTTTCACTTCTCATGCGCTCTTGTCACTTGAGCATAGTTGGGGGAAGCTGCGCCGTCCGTCGACTGTTTAGCTTGTTGGTTCACTGTCTTTTCTCGGGGGATACGCAAGTTTTCGCTGTGTTTGCAAGTGAGTGGCGAATAGCCACTGGAACTGCCCCCTGCAAGAAACCATGCAAAAGGGGAACTTGTCTTTTCTGTCCAGTCGAGCCCTCTGGGGAATAACCCCTGGGGGGATTGCCTTCCCGCCAAGCGATGCGGGTGTGCGGACCGCACGGGAGAAGGGCCTGAACGCTGCCCTTCTCTCCTACCCGGAAGAGAGAGAGAGAGAGAGAGAGAGAGCTGAGCGGGAGGACTGCTCCTGCCCTAAACCCCGAGCAAAGCAAAGCAAAGCAAAGAGAGCTCAGCTTCAAAGGAAAGCGGAAAGAGCTTTGCCCGCAGCTCTGCAGGCCCGGGCTCGTGCAGGTCTTGCCGATGCTGCTTTGAGGCGGCGGGGGGAGCGGCGCAAGGCGTACCACCGTGGCCTTCACGCAAAGTTACGTCCTTCTTGGTGGCCCTCCAGCTGAGCTCTGGCGTCAGGCGTCGCCCTCCGGCAGAGGCTCCGGACCTTGGGAAAATGAGACATCTTCTGAAAGCCTCGCTCGGCCCGAGGCTGAGGGCAAGCGCTTCGTCGATGAGGTGCCAGGGCCAGGACCGCAGGAAAGTTGAAAAAGCACGTCGACATGTAACTTCGAGGCCATGGACTTGGCCGAGGGGGCGCTTCAGACCTTCGAGAGGTCGGGACTGATGCTGCGGATTGCGACGTCATGCCTCCTAAGTGTGAGAGGCTCGATGATTCCTCAGGCCGGGTGGGGGAGTGCTGTCATACTCTTCCATGTACGCTTCAGCCTGGCAAGGATGAAGATGCAAGGCAGCAACCACCACTACCACCGAGCACCGCTGTGCTGCTGACTTCTCTTCCTCGCACTCCTCCGCCTCCTCCTCCTCACTCCTCACTCCTCTCTGCTACTCCTGCTACTGCTTTCTACTTACTACTTACTGCTTACTAAGTACTACTTACTACTGCTGCTGCTGCTCCACCCCCGCTAGCATCAATGACAAAAGCGGTCAGAGTAGTTAAGGCTCCAGTTCATGGTGACACAGTGATACCCAGAAAGCCCTTCCTCGAACCTCAACTCTAAAGCCTTTGCACCAAACGCGCTTGCTGTTGCCGCAGCAGGTCGGGCCCTGGCTCTGGCCTGTGCCTCGGCATCCTTCGACGTGTTTTACGGATTGAGATTGGGGTTGTGAGCACATGCACCGGTGAGTCATCTTGCCATGAAAGCCCTACTTCGCATGATTGTGTGGTTTGTGCGTGCATTCGCAGCCATCGTCGTCACAGTCGGGATATAGCGGCAGTCTTGCGTGGTATTCATGACAAGACGACGGTGACGAAGCGGATGACTGCACATAGCGCACAACACAAGCACGAACAAAACCGCAGAGACAAAGGGGCAGACAAATAGTCATACTCCTTCTCCAGTCTCCATGTTCTTTTGAAATCATGACGCCGCTGTTTTCTGCTCCGCTCCAGCGTCATTAGAGTGCGGAGTCGAGCTCTTGTGCAGCTTCTGAACCATCTACGGACAGTGCTCGTGATAGCCTGCGGAATGTCTATGTACATAGAACTCATCAAGCATTATGATGCATGAGGTCATACTATATTGTAGAGCTTCGTCAGCCACGCACAGTGCCCGAACGGGTCCCAGTGCTTGGATCCGAAGAGCGACGCCAATGGGAAACCGGGACCACTCCCATGCACTGCACGGTCTCTGTGATCAAGTGTAGTCAAACGTAGGCCCAACGTAGGCAGGTGCAACAACATTTCTTCTTCAAAGGGGTAGATCATGCTCACCAAGACAGGGATTATGAGACAAATCGTGTGAATGGCTTATCAAGGAGATTTTAAACCAGTTCTGATAGTCATAGGTCATAGGTACATAATGAAAAATGAGTTGAAGCAAGGTCTTACGGCTGCTAACGGGTTGCACGACGCACCTCATCTGTGCTGTTTAATTGCATTCAATCCCCCAGCTTTGCAAACAAATCCCCGTCACCCTCACGCCCTAGCTCGCTTCTCTCTTCTCTCCCTCTTCCCTCTTTCTTGCCTCTTGCCTCCCTGTCTCTCTGTCTGTCTCTCTCTCGCTCTGTCTCCCTCCCTCTCTCTCTCGCTCTGCCCAAACCTTAAGCTCTAAACCACAGCAACAAGTCCGAAGCATGGCAGGCCCTCTCCTTCTCTCCTTCTCTCCCCCGGAGGACTCCTGCCTCGCGGGGTGCCTGCGGAGGCTCTGGCCTTGGCGTCGCCTGGAGGGGCAGATCCTGGGTTCTTCTTAAGGAATTCTTTATTTACGCTACTAGAATACGGATCTGTGGCACATAATGTTGTTTCCCTACTACATGGTTATTATGACTATAGTATAAGGCCTTTAACAAGGATCTGTGGTAAATGAACTGGCTTCCCTTATTCGGTTCCCAGGATCCTGCCCGGCGATCCGCCGGACTTCTCACTTCCCACGTACTGGCTCGCACATCCGGGCCACTGGCCCAGGCCGAAGACACTGTATATTGTATGGTCAGCTATAATCGGTTATGCATCGCATCACAGTGTAGGATCGTAAAGAGAACAGTGTACCGGGCAGCACAGTGCGGCGCAGCATAGCTTAGCCTAGCAGAGTAAAGTGCAGTGGTCTGGTCTTGTCTGGTCTAGCAGGACAGTGTAGCATGCTATAGAAGAATGGGTCGTGTTATCGTAGAGAGTACTTAGTTGGTTGTACGGTGGTGCACTCTGAGTGCCTCGAACAAGAAACCTGCCAGGAGGGTTGCAGAAAACTTGCCAAAGACCATCTGCGGTTTGCAAGCGGATGGAACGAAGACCTGCGAAGCAACGGATCAGTACAGCAGCTTGGCTTTAGATCGTCCCTAGTCCCTGACAGTTACTCTCAAGGATTCGCTCCTCCGGGACCCATCTGAGCTTGAGCTTTTTCTATCTCCTTTATAGTAGTCCCCTGTAGAATCCACCTTTTTGATTATCTATGGCCTATTTCTGGGCCCTTGCGGAACCGAGGCGACAGCCAGTCCTCTGAGGTGGCAGCAGACCTCTTCTACCTGCATGGCACGATGGAAGGCATGGGGAACCGCGCCTCCATCGATCGCTATGACAAGGCCCGGCGATAGGAGCTTGAGGTAGCCTGCGTGGGTTTTGTTGGCAGTTCCTGGAGGTTAAGTCCCCATTGACTGAGCGATTCCTCAGAGATCTATCAGCCTTCAGCCCAAAGCCGTAAACCCAAACCCTCCCCACGGCCCTCAGCCCGAAATGCCCTCCACGTTGGAGATGCGGATGCGAGGAGGCCTTCCAGAGCAAAGCCTTCAACACCCGGCACCAGATGACCATTGTCACGGCCTTCACTTCTGCATGCCGAGCTTACGCTCCTCTTTACCGCCAGGCAAAAGAGAAGCCTTTGAAAGAGCTCCGAAGCAAAAGGCGCCCCAGCTTTCCTAAGCCCTCCTCTGAAGCCCAAAAGCCCCCCCAGCCCCAGCCCCAGCCTGCCCCCCTTTCCCCCAGAGAGGCCCTCCCTTCCCAGCCCCACTTCTTGGCTTCGCGGAAGGCCGCCATGGGCGGCTCCTGGGACCTCGCCTACCAGGACGACCGGGAAAAACAGCCGGTCACCGCATCGCCCGCTGATTCTGAGTCCGCCAAGGTTGACGCGGTAACGCTTTCGGAAAGAACGCATCGCGTCGCGTCGCGCCCGCATGCCCGCCACTGCGCCTGCTTATTTCAAGCGCTTGCGCCGAGTCCTTGACAGCGTCGCTTCCGCGGAGCAAAAACAAGAGAGCAGAGCACGCGAGGACGTCTTGGCTGCCTTTGAGCAGTTTTTGTCGGAAGTCGGCAGCGAGCGTCCAATCGTCCTGGCGGGCCACTCGCAAGGACGGTCAGGGTCTTTCTATGGATGCTTGAAGATACTGGGGTTCAGGGTCCACTGTAGGGGTATTTGGGGTTCTTGGGTTTGGGTTTCGGAGTAGCTTCTGCAAGTGTGCAGGATCCCTACACATCATCCGCTTGGTGAAGGAGCGGATCCAAGGCGACCCAGCGCTCATGCGCCGGCTCTGTGCCGTCCATGCACCGGGCATGGGCGCCTCGGCCCTGACTGTCGCGTTTTGTGCTACCTGTGCCAAGACCCGTCATTCAACCGTCGGTGCTTTCGTTTAGAAGGATTCTTAAATCCAACCCTGAAGCGCACTGAAGCGGATGGAGCCGGCTCATCCAAAGCTGAATCGCCCTGAAGTTAGAGTTAGAACCCATCCTTCCCATCCTTCCCTTCCCTATTTCCTTCGATTTTCAGGACAGTGGATGGAGCCTTCGCCCCTGCCCGTCGACCGGGCTCCGAACGACCCTCCGAGCACCCCAGCCGTGGCCATCTGGGCAGCAGCCACCCCAGAGGCCGGAGCAGTAAATGGAGTGCGGCAAAAGGAGCGGAGCCGTTTTGAAAGTGTTTTACACTCTGCTCCCTTAAACTATGCAATATCGCCGCACCATGCTGCCTTTTGTAACACGTTGTGCCATATTCTGGAATGTGTGTGCGCGCGCGCGCGCGCGTGTGTGTGTGTGTGTGTGTGTGTATGTGTGTGTGTGTGTGTTTGTCTATTCGGTGTGTGTTTGTCTATTCGGTTTACATAGCCTCCGACTGAAGATTGGAATTCTGGGAGCACTCATGCGGGTACACATACAGACATACATACATACATACATATATACATGCAGGCACACATACATACATATATACACACTTACATATCCATGCATATATGGGCTTCCTCCTCGACAGATTTGCGCTTTTGCAGCTGTTCTTATACGATTTCACTTTTCGAGCTTCAGGGGCTAGTATTGTCGGGGCAATGCAAGATCTATCTTTGCCTGTACTCATACTAGAAGACCCCGCCTGAAAGCAAATGAGACGACTGAGTATTACCTTTGATCGCTTCGCTCATAAGACCCCACCTGTAAGCAGGATGATAACAGTCAGTATTGCCGATAATCCCTTGGCTCACACGAACAACCCTACCAGAAAGCAGACTACGAGTGCTGGATATTGCCTGAGATCCTTGACCTACCAGAGAGACTCGCCCGAGAACAAAAAGGATGAACCATGCATTCCCCGTCTCAGGCGGGCGACCCTCATGAGAAAGTTGTCGTCACTTAGTGTTGGCACCGGCTTGTCTACTTTTACTGGTGAAAGACCAACATCAAATACTGCTCACAGCCCTGCGAGGTCGTGCAAAGAAAGCCCATGTCCAGCATATCACTGCCGGTGAGTATTTCTTGCCTACATCCTCAATGCGTCTGTTCAACAGGAGGCTCTCAAGGCAAGGTAGAGCGATCGAGCATTACGGGCAACCTCTCCTTTCGCAACAGCATAATACGACCGTTGTCACATCCAAGCAAGTTTTCTGCTGGGAGCCCGCTATCTCTTGCAGCCGCACCACAACATCGATCTCCAGTATCATCCGGACATGAACTCATGAAGCGGATTTAGTGCATGACCCTTCAATGCTTGGCCTTGCTATCCCGGGAATTTACGCAACCCCTCTTGACTACAGCGGCAAAATCTTAGTTGGAGAAGGAAGGCATCACGCAACTGTCATACCAACGAAATATTTTGCAAGCAGGGTGCAATCCCATTGTTAGATCACAAGTAACTCACACATATGTATGTATGTATGTATGTATGTATGTATGTATGTATGTATGTATGTACATATATACATATGTACATATACACATACATACACTTGCATATGCATGGTGCTTCCTTGTTACATGTGTGTGTATGCGGTGTGACCTGTCTGTGTGGTCCCCATTTGTGCGAGCCTTTGCCGCACGACCGCAGGCCGATCGGAAGTGGACGCTCATCGGCCACTTTGGATGAAGATGTAAGATTTCTTGGAAGAAGTGAAGTGTTACATAGGGCTTGGGGTTTGTGGGTTCTGGTTGTGGAAGACGAGATCTAGGCTTCGTTCGTTCGTTCGCGTGTATGTGCGCCTGTGTGTGCTGGCGTCCCACCACGGGAAGTGGAAGCGGAGGCTTCATGTCGCGCGGAGCTGGATTCAGGGACTTTGCCAACCCTTGCGCCTGGACGAGGGGAGAGCACCTTGGTGTCCTCTTGCCAGATGATGACACCAAGCTCCCGGTGCTGCACAGGCACGCCATGAGCCAAGCCCAACTGTGGGCCTGCTAAACCGCTTTTCCAAGAATCTGAGCGACGCCACCGCACGCACTGTGAAGGTCGGTGTGACGCCAGTAACTAGTAGTGGCTGCTCGTTACATCCATGATCGTGCCAGGGGGCTGGTCCAACGGGCGGAAGTGGTCGACGGCCTGCTGCGAGTCCACCCTGCGCCTTCGGCCGATGGCACCTTGACGAAGCTCCACATGGGACATCATGACCGGGCCGGGGGCCGGGGCGGCCGGGGTCTGTCTACTATTGCCAGCTTTGGCCAACGCCTCGACTCTTCAGAGTGACAGGAGACAGGAGTTGTGTTCGAACCTTCTCTAGGCCGTGACTCGAAACAGCATTTCATCGGCTTAGCATCAAAGCAGAGCCTGCTTTGGCTGCCGAAAGAAGCCCTTCTATCAGCTCTGAACTCGAGAACTCCGAACTGCCCGGCGAAGCGCAGTACTAAAACCCGAATCCTTAAATCGATGAGATATCGCTGGGTTTGGCCTCTTATCGGACCTTCTTTTCCTGTTTGGTCTGCTGTGAAGCACGGGGCGCTGACCCGTGACTACCCACAAGTCGGGTTAAAACTGTATGACAACCATCAACCCGTGAAATCGGGGAAGACGGGAGTAGTGTTGAAGAAGATCTAGGAAAAGCGCAGCCCGACATGTCTCAACCAACATGGTCTTCGACTGGATATGCAAGAGGAAGGGGGCGATTCACAAAGGATGCCCCATGTCTTCAACCTCAGCATACCTCAGCCCTACGCCAAGTGGAGGACTACCACGCTTATGACGTGCATCTCTTTTGGGCTAACGTGCGCGAGCGCGTAAAGCAGCAGGCGGGTCTTCCGAGTGAACCTTTTTGATGTTCAGAGCACAGCTTTCAAGGGGTTTCTCGGGTTTCTGCGAGTCGAGGAAGGGGTGAAGTTGTACAGTTCAGTATTTTCGAGATTTCCGGTCGCCGGATTTGTGTTGTGTTTTATGAGAGTCGAATCCCCTTCTTGCCAGGTGGCTGCCTTCCGCACGTAGACGCTATGACGCGCTACGCGGAGTTCTGAGCAGCCGACAGGCCTCCTTGGCTTCGGATCGAACAGGCTGTTTAGGAGCATCTGAAGCCTCTTTAGCCGTGCTTTACATGTGTACAGTGTCGGCATGGGGCATGGTGAAGAAGGAGCGGTGTCGGGAGAAATGTGGAACGCCGCGATTCAATGCTCGTCATCCGCGCATGTCGTGCTTGTAAGAGGCTTCTACGGTTGTCCATCTGCTTCCAAGGACCTGAAGGTTCGCGCTTGGACGGCCAGGGGGGACCATGCACGAGCGTCCGGGTCCCGGTACTTCAAAAACACATCCGATTCCGCTCACATCTCCACATGGCTCACTGATGAACGGCAGCTCCACATCTCCCAAGACTGGACGTGATGAATCAAAGGGCTCAAGATCGCAAGCGACTGTTACATGAAGCAGCGGCGGTCACACTCCAAATCATACCGACACACTTTGGGTTGAGGCGGTTGAGGGTTTAGGGAAGGCCCAAACCTAAAGTCTCATGTTCCTGAGAATCTGCCCGTGTTTTGCTCAACCTGAGCTCTTGACACCAAGCCCCGGACCAAAGCGTGTCTTTGTAAAGACATGTGAGCTTCTGACGATCGGGGAGGGGACCCCTCGCAGTGAGCCCTAAAGACTTGTAGACTTGTCTTCCAGTATGCGCAGATGGGTTGAACAGAACTCAGCATGGTGCTGTTCACTGACCCGCCATGAGTCTGAGAGACTTGCAAAGGGGTCTGGAGAAAGTGACCATATCACCGGTGAACAGTCTATGGTCTATGGGAATCGACGGCTCGCTGAGTATCCTGTAGGTGCTGCATTGTCATCACCCAAGCCAGCACAAGCTTAGTGTAAACCCTTTGTCTGCACGAGATTGAGATTCATAGCCACTCGTCTTGGTTGCAGAGCGTGGCTCGAGGGAACTATCAACCGTGCACCCAGCGTCTCAAAGCCTCAAACCCTGAGACCCTCAAAGGCCCTCAAACCCCAAAAATTGGATGCCAAGCTGCCAAGCAATGATGAGACCCCTTCACAAACCCCCCCAAGACACACCCACTCCCCCCAAAAGCAAAGAGCCGCCCAAGATGAGGCAGGAAGTCCTGGAGCAGGCCTTAGAGTCGGCCAGGGGCCGTGAGGACAAGGCCCGGCAACAGGATTCGGGTCTGGGGCTGGGGCCTTTCGAGGGTTTGGTGTAGGGCTTATAGCATAGGGTTTAGGGTTTAGGGTTGAGAGGGCTTGAGGTCGATGCTCTAAGGACGTGAGTCGGCTTCTTCAAAAGAGACGGTTCTCAGGGGCGCAAAATGCAAGCCTCAATGAAGGGGGTTCGAGGTAAAGGTAAGGTCTGTCGTAAGTGTTCATTTTAGAGTCTTTTGTTCTGTGTTGCATCCAAAGCTTTAAAGATGCTTATCGGATTAGGAGCTCGGAATGTTCAAGTTCAGGATTAAGATACTTGCATATACAACAGGTGCTATATATACAATAGATAGTACATAGCAATACATAATCTAGCCCGCAGTTTATAGCCGATGATAGAAATGTAAGATCTGCGAACATGTAATACAGTATGTATATTATGGTATTGCGTCCCGGGGTAGATTTGGGCTTGCGGCTTGTCCAAAGCTTGGGCCGGCTAGGTTCCGACTGTCCTTTCGGGTTTAGGGCTCAGGACAAGGTTAGGGTTTGAGGTTTAGGGTTTACGTAGGATAGAGTGTGCGCGCGGTGGGTGCGCTTCCTTTAGGGATGGAGGTGCACCCACTCAGGGCGCGCTTGCATCAGCATGTAGTCCCACCCCAACCACCCCAACTATTCTCAATTAGGGTTTATCGAGGGGGGTGTTCTTGCTTTTCTGCTTCCTTTCGCACTTCGATAGACAAGCATTACTTTTCAAGGATATTTCCAGACTCCCCCAAAAGCACAAGGCCGCACCAACAGTTGTGTGTCGGAGTCTTCTTTATTACCTGACGGCAAAGAGGTCCTGGCGGCGTCACTACAGTCCTCGTATTCCAGGAGGCTTTACCCTCCCTCACCGTTCTGACGGGACGCTCTGCCGGGGGCGTCGGCCAAGGCCTCCAGAGCCATGTAAAGGGTCAGTGGCGCTCTCGGCAATTTAGATTTAGGGTTTAGGGTTTAGGGGATTTGAAGTCTAGGATGCCTGGCGACAATCTTATGCATCTTGTGACACGCCTAATGCGAAAGACGTCTACGGTATCCAACCCTCGGTGTCATCGGAAACCCTGGTCAGATCGGAGCTTCCTAGCTGTAATCAGGTCGTCGAAGCTGCAGCACTTCAGTCGCCCGGGCCCAGGAACTGCACAGTTTGTCCTTTTCACCAGCACAAAGACATCAGGCCCGGAGCGTTCCGCACCAAAGCCCTCACACCCTGAACTTCGAGCCCCTTCTGCTCAACACTGCAGACAGGTCCCCGCACATTTCATTCCTGGAGGCTTGAACGCCCGGGAAATCAAACCTGAGGAAAAGCACAGCCTCACGCTCAAGCATTGGAAACCCTGCTCGATTAGACGTCCCAGGATGATGAACATCCACGAGAAAGCATCCATCCCGTTTCTTGCTGCTTCCTGTGCTTCTTTGGCGGGGAAGCTTGGCTGGAGGCTGGTGGGCGTTCATCTCGCCCGGAAAGCTGCCACTGCCGCGATCGACTGTGCGCAGGACGGCTTCCAAGTGACTGTAGTATTGCAGATACGACAAGTATAGCAAAAGCAGTTAAATTGGGATATCAAACGACATCGTCGTGTGTGAGCTTCCTGGCACATTCTTGTTTTTCGTCCTCCCTTTCTGACTCCGAGAAACTCTTTTCGCAGGAGGCTGCCAAAGTCCAGGAGACGTTGGGGAACCAAGCAGCGGAGGCAAAGGGAAACCGGCCATGTAGAACCCTGGATCCTTAAGTCTGATCAGCAGACCCGAAGCAGAAAATGGACATCGGTTTTAAGTAGAAGTTGGAATTGATCTATCTTTGCATCCACACTGGCCTTCATGTCGAGCCATTCGTGAGGTCGATGATTGCAGCATTGTTTGCAGCCTGGTAGTGATTGATGCCGGGAACATGGAAAAACCTGAAGGCCTTTCATGTATGACATATTGTAATCAGTACGATAATGGAAACCACAGTCTACACTAAGCCTAAGAAACATTCTGACATATCCATGATGCGTGGGATTCTCTGAAAGAGCACAGGCTGGTGCTTGGCACCTCGCGGCGCAGCTCCTCTTGAAGGCCACCAGGGTTCGCTTTCCCTCCTTAAAGGTCCAGGTGCCTTCTTGAGTCCCCACAGTCCTCTGGGCAAAGTATGTACTGTGGGTACATGAACCCTTACAATCTGTTTTGCATTTTACGCCGCATATTCCATGCAACTTTGAGGTACGCTGTAGACAATGGCAGCACGACGTAATTATCCCTAGGTTTGGGAATCCAAGCGCGACTGTTTCTTGTGTTGTTGGCCCGGGAGAGCGGGGGGAAGTTGAAATGGCAGAGGGTTTAAGGGTTGAAGTGCTGTTCCATGGTGTCACCGCGTTCCTGTTTCGACTGAGGCATCGAATGCCCCTGAGGCCCTTCGCTGTGCCCAGGCGGCACGGCGCGTGCACAAAGGCCTGGGGTCGGATGTAGGAATTTAGGCGACAAGCACTGCAGGACAAGAACTGTGGCGGCATACGCTAATGACATCTGCAGCGTTCTCGAGCACTTGTGTTTACCCACTGTCAGACACCAGATTCTCTAGATCACTCGATGGAGTGTTTCTGCACTCGGTTCTGTTTGGCATACGACGTCCTGCCAGGCTGCAGTGTGAGCGCTGCCGAAGAGGTGCGGGCAAGACAGCAAATCGCCCGGGAACCGACTGCTGAAGCTTGTAACAGCTGTAGCTTGGAGACTGCCACGAGTATATGACTAGATTCTAAATGGCCTCAACGTCAACGTCGCAGGCCACCGTCCTCCAGACGCTGTCAGCGGCCCACTTGGCCAATGGCGATGCGACCAAAGCCCTGGAGGCGCGAGACCTACGCACACCCTGCAAAATTGCACTCAACCTGCGACGCCAACAACAACAACAACAGCTCTTCTCATGATTGATCGTTTGCCACGGTGTCCCACTCAACCAGTTTTTTCCAGTCGATATACACACCTCGACGTGCAGGTGGCCAATGCAGGCCGCGAGCTTTGCAAGCAGGCTCCCAGAAATGCCACCACGGTAGTTTTTGAGCCAGGTTTTGCTGCAAGCATTCATGCTCCTCTCTCTCTCTTTCTCCCTGTGTCTTCAGCAGCCCTGAGCCCCCTAAACCCTGCAAGCCCTAGCAAGTGCAAGCTTTGCTCTCCGCCTCGCAGAGGAAGCAGCCGAAGGTGGCGAAGCGCTCTGCGCGCTCCGCGCCGCCAGCCTGGGGCTTTTGGCAAGAACCTCCCTAAGTCATTAGTTAAGTTAGCTTCAAGACTACATCTAATTCTTGGGTTTGAAATTGGGGTGGCGATTTCGTCTGGGACTGAATGGAACCGTAGAACATACGGCTGCCTGGCACGCGTTCTGATAAACACTTCGGTGCTGCGACTTGTGTTTGCTTGCCGCCGATCTTGGCTCCCGAAGTTCGAGCGAGAAGTGCATCGTGAAGCGGAGGCCCCTTGCGGAGAAGGCTAGCTTCTCCAATGTTTCGTCCAGAAGCGGAGAAGTGGTCTGGGAAAAAACGGCAGGACAACCTGGCAGAGATGGTCGCCACCCGCCGATCAAGTGCACTTTCGGTTCTGGCCGTCCTCTGTTTGCCGGGGTGCCAAGGAGTTGTTGCACTTGGCCCAGTGTAGCCTTGAGTGCAGCAATGCAGTCGCAGTCGCATTAAGACAAATCAGCTAGGCTTCCTCTTCTTTCTTCGGCGCGGCAACAGCAAATGTAGTTGTAGTATATGATCTATATATATATATATATATATATATATATATGTATATATAATAGTAATATACATATACATACATATATGGCTTGTGGTCAGATCAACGATGTTGCTACACTTGCACGGCCTGCTTGAAACATCTCTCCTTCCTCACAATACGTCGGATTGCTGCTGATGTCCTGACTTCTTTCATTGCCGACGCAGGGTCGCTGCCCCAAGCTTCGTGGGCTTGAGGCACCAGGGCGAGAGTGTGATGGGAGCTTCCGATCTACGGAGAGCATCACAAGCTTAGGCCATAGGGGTCCTTTCTGGAGATAATGGAGTCTTCTCAGAAGAGGGCCAAGGGGGCGACGCCTGTGCAGGGATAGCAAGCTTGGGCCCACTTGGCTTTCAGCCGCGAATGGCCATGATTGAGATGACAGTACAAACCCCGTCCTAAACTCGACACCCCAAACAACGGTCCTCGGTCCTCATGCTCAGCAGTCGTGGAGCCCCACCATTGGGCTCTAAATGCCTTCGAATTCACAGGACGCCCCCGTAAAGCCCTGAAGAAACCCCAGTTCTCAAAAAGCTTCACCTCTAGTCCTTAAGGCGCAGAGGCCCTGCAGGGCCCCCCAAAGCACCAAAAGTGCGTCTTGGGCACGCCTGGACTCTTCCCTGGGCAGGCAGTCCAAAGCCCGTGGCCTGGCACTCCAAGCAGAGCCCAAGCCTGCCTTCAAAGGCCCCTGCCTGCCCGATCCTGCCCTGCCCTCCTTCGCTCCGCCCTGGGCAGGCGACAAGCCCAAGCATCCCATCCTGGACAGCGGATGTCTCAGTGGGAGCAAGAGAGCTCCCTGAGAAGCTCTGGCTCGGAGTTCAGGTGGCTGCACCGAGCTCATGCAGGCAGCCTACAAGGGAGACACCAAGAAGGCACCCACTCGATTGGCACAACGTACTAGTAGGGCGATGTGCTTTTCCGCAGAGGTGAAGGCTCTCGTCGATGGGGGTGCAGACGTCAACCAGCAAGATGCCTATGGCTGGACGGCTGTGGCGGGCTCAGACTCAGTTCGTCATCGCAAATGTGAAGAAGGGTTGAAGCGTTGGGGCAGGTTCGTTACGCCGTCAGGAACAGGCAGGGCCCGGGGGAGCTCTCAGCATCCCCGTACGGTGATGAGATGCGCATCGGCGTATGGCAGGCAAGTCCAGAGCACTCAGACCCTTCTGGATCTGGGGGCCGACGTGAACATCGCATCCAAGACCGGACGTCGCTGGGCTGGAGTGGTGTGATGTGAAGTATATAGAGAATAGAATGCAGCGAAGACGGCTCCAGGGACTCCCCTGATGTCGGCGGCCGGCAATGGCCTCGAGGCTCGTGAGCCTCCCTGCAGTCCCTGCAGCGCCTGTGAGCCCCGCCGGACCCTTTCCTTTGCAGGAGCTCTGTAAAATGCTGGTGGAGCAAGGGGATGCAGACATCATGGCCGGTGCCTCACAGCCCGCAGAGCAGCGCCCGCAGCCCACAAGATGCTCTGGTCACATAGTTCAGGCTGCAGATGAAGGTGGCAAGACTGCCTACGACCTGGCCTGGTTCCCAACTGCAAGCAGAGAGAAGCCCCGGCGGGGTCCCGTCTTCGGCGTCCGAGGCCCTGAGGACTGGGCCTCTGGGCAGCGACCTGATCCGCGACCTTGTTGCAGGCAGACTCGAACGGCAGCCTCGCCGTGGCAAATCTTGCCCCTTTTGGTCACATCTACACATGCTCCAAGACGTCGAAGCGGCAGTGCTGTCACGACGACGAGACGATCTTGACGATGAGGGCGACGACGGCGACGACAACAGCACCAGCAACAAGAGCGACCGCCGCCGGCCATCACCACCAGCGCCCCCTCACCAGCGCTAACAACAACAACAACAACAACAACAACAACAGCAACAACAACAACAACAGCAACAACAACAACAACAAGGAACGAGCAGAAACACGAGCCCCATTCCAACAACAGTTTCTTGCTATTGTCTCTTCTACCAGACTGGAGACAAGACCTAGTGCCGTGCCCCGTATGTTGTTCTGAGGGGGGGGGGTGTTGTTCCTCTTTCCCCGTCTTGTCTCTTCTACAGGACTGGAGACAAAACCTGGTGTGCCCCGTATGTTGTTCCCAGAGGGGGCTGTTGTTCCAGTGTTGTTCTGCTGTTGTTCCCAACGGTCTTTGCCTGTACATGAGTAGAGCAACAAAGCCTGGTGCCCCGTGTGTGGTTCTGGGGGAGGGTGGCCGGGGGGCCGGGGGGCCGGGGGGTGTTGTTCTGAAGGAGCGGGGGTGTGTGATAAAAGGTCGCAGTGTACATCACATTCTGACCTGTTGAGAGTCAGCAAGAGCGACGCCGTTGCCATGGTGACTAGTTGCTACTTACATTAGGGTTTAATACGCTGGCTGGGAGATAAATATAGGGCCCTAAGCGTAATGATCAGAATTGAGTAGGGGTTTGGTGCATACTATACCATGATTATGATAAGGAACCCCCCTCAAAAGAATTGGAAATTATTCAGCATGTGTTGTTTAACCCCCCCTCGCAACCCACACCGCCCACGTCGAAGCGAGGAAGAAGCAAATTCTGGTGCCCCGTGTGTTGTTCTACCCGTCCCCTCGCAACCCACACCACTTACGCGCGAACGAGGGTTGTTGTCGCTAGTCTGGTAGAAGAAACGAATTCTGGTGCCCCGTGTGTTGTTCTACACACCCCCCTCACAACCCACACCGCCCGCTCAGAAACGAGGTTGTTGTTGCGAGTCTGGTAGAAGAAACAAATTCTGGTGCCCCGTGTGTTCTACACCCCCCGCTCACAACCCACACCGCCCACGCACGAACGAGGGTTGTTGTTGCTAGTCTGGTAGAAGAAACAAATTCTGGTGCCCCGTATGTTGTTCTACCCCCCCCCCCCCCTTCCGCACAACCCCCGGAGCAGCATCAGCAGCAGCATCAGCAGCATCAGCCAACAGCAACAGCAACAGCAAAGCAGCAACAACAGCAACAACAGCAACAACAGGAGCAACAGCAGCCGCAGCAACAGCAACGGCGACAGCAACAACACAACAGCAGCAGCAGCAGCAGCAACTACTGCTGCTACTTCCATTTCTACAACAACAACTACTAGTATTCCTGTTGCCATTACTATTACTATGACTATTACTAGTGCTATTGCTGTCGTTATTGCTGTTGCTATGGCTACTGCTGCTACGTGCTACGACCACGGCTATGGCGACGGTTGCAGCTGACCGCGGACCGCCAGCGGGCGCTTGCGGCTGCCGTGCTCTTGTTCTTAGGTCTAAGAAGATCACGACAACGAGCACTTAAACCTCTGGTACAGGGAGGGAAGGAAAGAATGGCAGTAATCTTTAATAGTAGTTCTAACTCTACCCCATTCCTCCATTCCCTACTAACCAGAGGTAAGGCAAGCCAGAAGCTGGCCATGGACAGGCGGGCAGACTCCCGGTGCCGGCGAGGAAGGCTGGAAGAGGAACCCAGGCCAGGGCTTGCAAGTCAAGCCTGAACCCCACGACGTCGAAAAGATTGCGCCTAGCACAAGACTTGCTTTATATAGGGTTTAAGACAGGTCTCAATGCCCGAAAACTTGCTCCTTCTTGCGAGAGGTGCCTAAGTTCTTTGTGAGAAGTACCCACGAGTCGCTCGCCTTTTGAGAAGCGAAATCTCGGGCTCGGGTAGCCTCTGGCAATTTGGCGTGGGCAGGCCGCTTCCCAAGAAAAGATGCGACTTAGAAAGGAAAGTAAGGAAGAAGAAGAAGACTAGAGCACTCAAGATCCTTCCAGCGCCTGCCCCGACCCGGCCCAACTCATCTCTTGATATATTTCAATTTCTAAAGATCTCCATACCCCATCGACGCTGGCCAAGTGCCAGTTTTCAAGGTTTCACAGGGCTGGAAGTCCGGCCTTGTTTGGCACAGCGACCCGCACACCTTTGCCAACCGGATGCCTCTGTTCAGGCCGAGACAGAGCAACGAGAATTTATGGTTTTGGGCTCCCCTCCACTGCCGTAGTCCCAAACCTTTAGCCGACTTTTCTCCTCAACCCTCGAAGCGTGTTCGGTGGCTGGCGAAGGGAGCGGGCGTAGCGCAACTTTAGCTGAGCTCATACGTAGCTCTCCCCCGCCAGGAAAAAAGCAGCCGGTTTCGCTCGGAGCCCCTTTCGACAGCGCTCACGCCACCGAAGAGGCCCAAACCCTCAAAATTAATTCGGCCACAACAGAACAAACATATCCAAGCTTTTTCAGCCCCAGAGCCCAAGAGTTGAAGCTCTGATTTTGTGGGAGTCCCTTCCAATTCCAGTTCGCTGAGGCGCTTCCGTGCAGCTCGGAGACCTGGAAGCGGCTCTCAGCGCTGCATCGGATGCTCAGGAGAGGTGTGGAACCCTCGGAGTTTTCGGGTTTAGGGTTAGAGTGAAGTTAGGAGTAGGTCAGGTTTAGGCTGGTGCTAGGTTTCGGTTTAGGGTTTAGGGTTTTGGGCTTTCGCAGGCGGTTGCTTAAGCTTCGACAGTTCGAGGTGTGTTCGGAAAGATTTCGTGTTTGAGGCTTTGATGTTTAGGGCTGTTGCACCGCCCGTGTTCGTGGGTGTTAAGGGTTTGAAAACACGGCTTAAGCGTGTATGGTTGCAGGTTTTTGGCACCCTCAATCGTTTCGAAATTATTGAAACTCCGACCCATTGCGCTTAAAGTTGCTTCAGTGAGACTGAGAGGGATCTTACGGCGTCAGCTTCAACTCTGGCTTTTCATAACGTGGCTTCGACCATGATGGCTCCATCTTTATTATACCATTATACGATTACACTATTATTCGATTATGCTATGATACTATTATATACTATTATACCATTATACTGCACTCCAAAGCCTCACCCCCACCCCGGCCACCTCCATGAGGAGCTCTTCAGGGAGGTCTCTGACCAGCGAGCCGAGGCTTTTTGAGCTCACGAAACGATACTGTATGGGTGGTTGTCAAAATTATGGTCCCTCTTTGGGTACCATAGGTGTATTAGGTGACAACCACCCATATCGGCATCGGTTCATACATGCGATGATCCGACGCACCAGGGCTTGCTGAGTCTTTCGCATCCGTCTCCAGGCCAGCGCGGCCCACCTGGTCGCGAGGATCCAGGTCCTTCGCCAGGACGAGCGGCGGAGACGCGACTCCCCCACTAGATCCTAGTACAGCTACCCCGCCACCTCCTCCTGCTTACGTTGCGAAGACGGTTACTCTTACCGCTCAAGTTGCACGAACGAGGCTCGAGTGTGCCATGGTCATGGCCACGGTCCACGGGTACTGACAGGACTACTCGGCGGCCCGCCTTGCTGCCGACACGGCCTGGCCCCTGGCCCCTGGCCAGGTCCCGTCGACCGAATGGCGGTGAGGAACTAGAATTAGTAGAGGGGTTTGATCCCCAACTTCCCATCCGAAGCTTGAACCTCAGGAGCAGGAGCCTTACATCCCTGGCATGCCTTAACTTCAACACCCAAAGCAGTCGGCTGAGCAACTAGGCGAGAGCATTGCTACGGCAAACTTGCGAGCTTGGCCGCGAGGTGCGGATTTCGGAATTTTTAACCGGCATCCGTGCAGCTCTTGCGTACTGCCTCATATTTCGCAACGTTTTGGGGACTTCTGTTGGTGATCTCCAAGCACAATTTTAAGCTCGTCGAGGTGGAGTAGAACCTTGGACCTGTTTGGTTTCATGAGTACTTAGGTAGACAGGCTGGAGAAGACACAGGGACAGATATGGGTAGAAATAGCAAGGCAGACCCTCCCCTTCTGGCGAGGCTGGCATGCTCCTCCTCTCTTCGCAGGCACGGGCCTTGCTGTGGAGGGGTTCAGGCGAAAGTCAGGTAGGCGAACTTGTTCAATTGTTGCAACTAGTTCAGTGTAGTTCGACACTTTCTGCCGGTTGAAAGCATGTCGAAGCTGAGTGTTCGTTCTGGACCACGTGGGGGGGGATGCCGTTGATGGCTGCTGCATGCCGGTTCGGAAGGGAAGACAAAGACAACCAAGAGCCCTCTTTGTAGGTTTGTCACACCTGTCATGCTCGCCTTGACCATGTAGGTGCTCGCATATGCGAGCACCTTTAGTTGTGACTTTGGTCAGCTTGCAGTGGCTGCCTAGAGCATCTCACGACGCGGTCTTCGTGCAGCGCGCAGTGCAGCGTGTCTGCTCGAGACGATAGCAGAACATGCAAGCTTCGCGGTTGCAGACCTTGTTTTCGGAATGTGTCGCGGTGTCGCGTTGCATCCCGAGACGGCCCGGTTGCATGGGAGGAGACAGAAAGAGTGATGTGGAAAAACTTTTGGGATTCGTGTAAGGCGGCTGGGGACAGACGGTGACGGAGTGTTTGAATGTGTGTGCGTGGGAGCATGTTTCCCTGCGGAGATGGCCGATGACAGTGAAGAGTGCGGATTCTGTCGCTTTAGCCCATATGCCTTGAGAATTGTTGCACGAGGGATCGAACATTCTCGAGCAGAGAGAGCTCTGAGCCCCGCGAGGCCGGCAGCTTGGAGTTAGCTGCTGGGAGCCAGCCAGGGGGTGGCAAGGCCCGGTTCCGGTAGGGGCAAAAAAGGATCTCCGATTCTGCCAGCTCGAGCACGGGAGAGATGGCGTGAGGACGATACTCTGACAGAGCATCTTCTGAATCGCAGTGACGACTCCAGACTTCTCAGAGGCAGCCAGGAGCTTCTTCGAGGGGCGCGGGCGGCAGAAGGCCCAGGGTTTCAGAGCCGTGCCAGAGACTTGAAGATGGGACTTGGCAGTGATTTTGAGGTACTGGCGACATCCAAGGAGGCCGTCGCCCTTTCAAAGAGGCCGGGGACACGGGGCTTTGTGCTGAGTTTGCCTTTGCTCCGAGAGGCTCAGCAGCAAGCACTTGGCGGCCATCTCGTGCGCGGCCTCAGCACTTAGACGCAGAGCTCTGCCACCGCTTCAGAGCAAGAGAAAAATGAGCAAGCCGCCAAAAAAGCATCCCCTATAGACACACCCCCCTACACCCCGGCCATGGCGCTTCACAGACTTCTAAGCCGTCGCGCAGAAGGGGGGCGGGGCGCCAGGCGCCTCGGGGAGGCGCGGGCCTTGGTCTCCAACGGATCCCTGGAGGAGGCCTCCCAGGAGCTCCAGGAGGCCCGGAGGCCGAGTTCTTCACAGTAGACCCCCGTGTGATCGGCAAAGTTTGTGTGTGTTTTTTGCATGCTTCGTTTTTGAAGGGGGGCGAGAGCGCGCCTGCAGAGTTCAGAGCTTGGGAAGGTTTGAGGGCCGTTGAGGGCGAAAGCTTCGGCTGCTCACGTACTGTGCACGTGGTATCTGGGTTTGGGGGATTCGAGGGTATTGCTTTTTCAGACCAGAGGCCTGAACGGGCTATGTGAGTGCGGAAACCGCAATCGCAGGTCCTTCCGAGTCTCGAAGGGGAAGGAGACCAGAGAGCTCTGGGGGCCGCTAAGCTGCTGTCGGGCCCCTACTGGCCCAAAGGTCGTCGAGATCCCAACCTTAAGGCATCGTTCAGAGAAGGAAGCTTTCTCATCAAGCGGTCTACAAGCAAGATGCATGGGTACAGACCTGATCACAGCCCATTTGGGATGCTGTCTCCGACTTGTCTGGATCTGTCACGCGTAGAATCAAGTAGTGACTGTGTACTGCTTCTCGTATGACTCAAAGTTCGGGCTGCAAACTTGATGTTCAGACGTTGTGCTTTGCTGCATTCGGCTGGCGACCTTGATTTCGTCAGTTGTTCGGAGCCCGCGAGGGGTTTCACGAATTTGATGGCACACTTGTGATAGATTGTCATACACCACACATAAGACATAAGCTTTTGACCGTTCGGGCTCGTGTCGCAGCTGAGGCAAGCGAACATCTCCATTCTCCGCGGCATGCCGGAGGTTGCCATCGCCAAGGAGGTCACCCCCGAACTCGCTGAGCTGGGCCGTTCTGGACCTTCGTTTTCTTGCAGTTGGCCTTCTCGCCGCGGAGATGTAACTAGTCACTAGTCATGGACTCAGATGTACTCATGGAGGCCCTAGAGTGCCTCCGGACCACCGGCAACAGCCACGAGCTGGCGCTGGCGCAGGCGCGCCTAAGCAGCGCCATTAAGTCCTCTTTTGGGTGCCATGTGCCTCCAGCTTCGACGGTTCTTTCAGGCCCTGGTGGCCAAGATGAGCAGGGCCGTGCCGCAGGCCGGGCCGGGCCTCGCGAGCCCCTCGACGAAGCGAGCGGCGAGCGCTCAGGCGACAAGGGCGGCCGCCCCACCGCAGGCACAGGCGCAGGCACGGAATCCACGGCTCAGGGATCGCGGCCCTCTGCAGTACTGTGGCAAAGAAACGTCGGCAGGTGCCGGGAAGTGCGGCCGGCGCCGCGCCGGGCACCACCGCTGCTGGGCTCCCAACTGCAGTGCCAGGAACAGCAATCTATCCAGTTCGAGAGCACCGACGTTTCGTGGGAGTGTGGCGGTGGGCAGTGGGTGTGCTGGTGGCAACATGACCTCAAGCTCTCAACCTCAGACCCCAGTCTGAAGTCACGACCGCGACCATGTTCTGACAGGTGGCACCAAAGCCGGCTCAAATCGACAAGATGGCTCTGCTGGCACCTCAGCTTGCCACTTTCCTAGCAGTTGCTGCTCTCAGAGCTGGGTGGTGTAGATGTGCATATCTGCGTGCGTGTTTGTGGGCCGTCCCTGCTTGAAAGGGCTAACCAAAAGTGGGAGCATGGGAGTGCATCGCAGAAGTCTCCCGCTTCCGTGATGTACCTGCAAGATGGTGCATTGCATTCGGAGAGAGTTACTCCAGCTGAGGGCTATCCTATCCGTTGTCTGCTTGCATGTCTTTTACAAGTCCAGCTCTGACATGTCAGTATGCACAGTTGTCATGTTGCTGTGCACAGCTGCCGTAATCTGAGCCTTGAGCCCCTTACAAATTATTGCTGCGGCAAAGAAGACACGAAGCGACAAAGGATAGAGAGGACAAGCACGAATGAACCGGCCTGCATCAAATATGCATAGATCTTGCATTGGGCGGTTTTTCCGGCTGCAATCCTCGCATCCTTGAATATTGAGTTCTTGCTGCTGTGGTCATGGAATCACAAGAAGATCTCCACGGATCCCTCGTCCTCATTTGCTCTCGCATTCTCTGACGATCTGCAAGCAGCAACGGAGCCGCGCAGGGCTCTGCCGGAGCGCGTGAAGTACACGCTCACTGAGCTCGTGGCCGAAGCCATCGGCCTGGGGCCAAGGCTGAAGCCGACCCGAGCGGGACCGGCACCGGGCCACTGTGAGCAGCCACTTAGCGACTTAGGCCAAGAGGGCATGGAAGAGGCCTGGCGCCTGGGGCGCGTCCCCGTCCGGGGCCGTTTCCGTGGGGGGAAGGGTCTCGCCGGGACCCGCCGCCGGGTCGGAGCGGAGCTCAGTGGCCGAGTACGCTGCGCAGGACCGCACCTTGATGGAGACGGGGATGACCAGCCAGGGACCGAAGGGGAGAGAGCGAGAAAGGCCTTCGTAAGCTTCGCGTTTGCGGCAGGCATCGCCAGCATCATGCTCCGTGACAAGATCCAGGCCTGCAGTCTGCGGACATCTGCGGACGTGTGAAGCACGCGCCTCTCTGTGACTCTGTGCATCTGTGCAGGCAGAGTTTCCGGAGATCCCGGAGATGGAGCCCGGGGGGTTACGGTTACGGGGGTTAGGATTCGGATGCTCAAGAGCTCCGCTCTCTCTGTCCCTTGTGACTCTTTCGAGGATCTTACATTCGTGTTCGACTACCCCACCATTCGTCACGGCCTCTCCGATGGCCGATTACGTGGAAATCATGGGGATCCTGCGCGATTTCGCCTGAGGTGAGATGACCGGCTTCGTCCTGACCCAGCTTCCAAACGATGCCTGATCAGTGACCTCTGACTCTATCGTCTCGCTTCCTCTCCCTCTCTCCCTCTCTCCCTCTCTCCCTCTCCTTCTCTCTTCCACGATTATCGAAACCATCTTGGCTGCGGGCGGACCGCGCCCTCAAAGTCGGGGTGCTCCGTTGCGGTTGCATCGGCAAGGGCGAAAACGTGCCGCGGGCGATCTGAGCGGTCTGCCTTCGGCCCTGAGCATGCCCAGGCAATTCACTCCAACTTCCGGCAGCATTGGCTTCGGTTGGAAGCTGTGTAACTGTATAGGACTTAAGACAGCCGGAGAGGCCCACAAAGGGCCGTCTCCGCTCTTCCCGTTCCCATGATGCGCCGCCTGGATTTAGCCCGATGCTCAGATGCTGAGAGAGAGCAATCAACAGAGTAACCGCTAGCTGCTCCTGGTAGCCGTCAAAGTCCGGGACCCGCTTTTTTGTTGAAAAGTCGCCCCAGGCACAGGTCTCCTTTGCCTGCTGCGTGCTGGTGAACATGGCCGCTTTGCCAAGAAAAGTTGCGACCACCGACGGGACGACCCCTTAAGGACTATACCTATATAACTCTATATAGCCTACAGCCCTAGACACAGAAGTCTCTGAAAAAGGCAAGGCCGAAACTTCAATCTCTTGCGCACTGCGCGCACAGCGAGCCCTGCAAGCTGCAAGGTGGACGTGATGGGCATGTTCTTCACTGCTCCCGGTGCCTCAGCCGCCTCTAAGAGAAAGGTCTAATTCTCCGCTCCTCTTCAGCACATATATACATATAGTAATATATACATATGTGTTTGACTGCAGCTCCATACAACTTTTCAATTTAGGAGTTCCCATCTTATGATCTCTGTTCATGTTCAAGTTTAGGTCTAGGTGCTTAGGAAAGTAGCGATATTTCTCATGATGAGTTTCTTTAAGCCTCTTGAAACAATTCGGGTGATGGTGGGGTTTTGCCCCTTTTCCGGTGGGTGATTCTTCTTCAGATTCCTGGCCGTTTATGTTTTGGATTTATCGGTGAAAAGAGCTCATTCCTCCGATCTCCGGCGCAACTAAATCCGAAACCCTAAACACCAAGCTCTGCCTTTGTACCTCTTGATCCGAATCCGTCACATCGTCCATCCGAGTGATGGTCCCCTACGGCCAACAGATCGGTGCGTCGACGGCGGAGATCGCCGGCTTCACCACGGCGGGGGCCCCGAAGGGGGGTGGGGAGCGCACGCGTATACATACATATAGCGCCACATATACAAACGAATTTATTCGTATGTATAAATCAATAAATGCGTTGCGTTTTGGCCAATACAGTACTCCCTGGCATCCACTTTGGAGTGTCGTCGCTTCGTCGTTGAGAAAGAGTTAGGGAAGGATGATGAAGGGATGATCCGCCTCGCAGGTGCGCTTTGGCATGGCCGTGGTCTCTCTGCTGTGGATGCCCAGGCTCGCAGACACCAAGGGCGTGCCCCTTGGACCCGAAGCGAGGCGAAGCCTCCTCCCTTTTTTTTTGAAGGGTCTGCAGGGTCCGGCGGGGTACATGGCTTTCTGCTTTGTGCTCTGAACAGAGGAAGCTCTGCATCCTGATCTCCGTCTTCGGAACAGCCATCGCCTATGGACTTCAGGGGAATGCTTATCTCTTCAGCGGCTGCGAGCGGCAGCTGCATTCCATGCCGCCTGGAGATTCGATGAACCTATGGGCGGGACATGAGCGCCTAAGCGGCGAGCCAGCGCCAAACTCGCCAGAGATGTCTAGGGACCTGCGGGCAGTTCAGGGAGTCTAGAGGCTTTCTGTCTGTTCGCTGCTGCTGTCCAGCTGACTTGTCTCCTCAGGTGCGTCGTGGTGAACGGCACCGTGGGCATTGTGGAAACCATCGGAAATAGCTCAGAAGTGGGTGTTGCTACAGCCCTGGGCTCTGGAGGCCATGTTCGGCCGGCCCCTTCCTTTACCGCCACAGTCGCAACGGTGCTTGCCAGGAGTGCTCGAGTGCACAGAGGACTGCGGCAACAAGGTGCAGCCATGGCCCAAATTTGCACTTTAACGAGAGCTGAAGCTGGAAGGGATAGCTGACTATACAGTGACTATACAGTATCTAAAGATCTTTGAAATTCAATTCTGGAATTGTGCAAACGGCTGAGGTTTCAAGCGCCCGACCGGCTAACGATCCTAAAGTGTGGACCCTTAAAAGCCAGGGTTTCCTCGTCCGAACACAGGGAGACTGACGATACGGGAGTTGTGGTGTCCTGTATAGTTTTCGACTTGCTGCGGAGAAAGCTGAGAAAGGGCTTCCAACGCACTGTAAACCTTTCAACCCCTGCATTCCCGAAGCCAAGAACCACACCGCGGACTTTCAGGGTGGCGTGTATGTGATGATGGCGGGGCGGGCCTTGGCTGGCTTCTTTGGCGGCACGCAGCCCGTCCTCCGGGCCTACGTCACGCAGATCTCCCTCCCAAACATGGTGTGAATCTTACTTGGGTTTCAAGGGTTGAGGGGTTAGGCCTAGGCGCTTAGCAGCACGTTTCAGGTTTCAAGTTTAGGGGCAGCGGCATCTTCATCTTTGCCAAGGCGCTCGTGAAGCTCCGCAGCACGGCGCCTCGGCGAGGGGTCATCGGTCTTTCACTTTCACTGCCTTCACGCCAGCCCCGACTCTCTCGGCAGGTCCTCTTCGCATCCATGCAGGCGCCCGGCGGCGGGAGGGCATCGGGCAGCTGGGCAGCTGTGCTGTTGCTCTCAAGGCCGGGAACTTCGCCCTCGCTCCCATCGCCGGAGTCATCAGCCGGCTTCCCAGTTCTGGCTGTTCCGGCCCCGCCGACTACTGTAGCCGCGACTAGCCGACTCTGACTCTGGGCTTCAGGTCGCTTCGGCTTACATTGGTTGGGGCCCTGCAATGGCCCCTGCAGGACTGGACTTGGGACGGAAGTCTCTGCTCGAAAGGCCATGGTACGTGTCCACTGGAGTGGCGGTCTTGTGCAAGGGCCTGAGTTTGGGATCTGCAGAAGAGATGGGGGGTACGGTTCGACATCTCGCGTGTAGAGTGTAGACGTCTGTATCTCATGTTATGGCTGCCATGGTAGAGGCTCTCTAGGCTCTACTTGCGATGCTTCGCATGTTCGCACCGTCTCGGTTCAACTCCACCACACTCCGAGGCTTGGTCTTCGTGACCGCTTTCTTCAAGAACAAGGAGGAGAGCTCTGGAGTCGCCGAGTTCGGAACGCCGGGCATCCGCTCCGCGCCTGAGGACATCCTGATGCAAGGAAAGAAGAAGGTCGACGCGGAGGAGGGTGAGCAGGCGCTGCATCAGCTGGATCGTGGCATCCTTTTCAAGCACTGCGTTCAGTTGTGCTCGTGACCTCCAGGCTGAGCCCGTGGCGGCAGTGCCGACGGTGACCCCTCATGTCGGCCCACCACCCATCAAGGCAGGCACGGCAGTTCGTCTGCCGCTTTCCGTTGCAGTTGGATTTGACGATGCCCTGCAAGGATAAGATCCTGTTGCTGATGCTGTGCCTTGCCAGCCTTGCCTGGTGGCCTCCGGAATCCGTCGGCTGTCTAAGTTAAGCCTTGGCCCAAAAGCCGTGTGCTCTGAGGCTGGCTTACTGGTGCGTCTTCCAGTGCGTCGCTGCACCTTGGCTGCAGGCAGAAAGTCTTTCCAGGAAAGGTCCTGTGGCCTGCGGGCTCCGGCAGGCTTTGATACTGTTGTTGCCCTTGCTCCTGGAGTACGAGAGCTTTGGCCTCATGGACCCAACCTCTCTGGCCGCCTGGCGAACACTCAAAGACTCGACACCGCTTTGGCTAAACCAGCCCTTGCCTTGACGAGCTCAGGAGAAGTCTCGCGAGAGTTTGGCAGCAGCAACATCCATGGTGCCTTGACTTGTGAGCTTGTGAGCCGTACCCCAAAGCAAGCCCCCACAGTGCCCTGCACACAGAAGATCTGTCGCAGAACCTGCAACCTCTGAAGTGAACTCGACCTTCGACTTCCTGGCACGGTGCAGGTCATGGTACCGCACGGGATCGCGAATTTCGCGATGTCCACCGTCGGCTTCCTGATCCTTTCCTCGAAAATCGGCGACCGTGTCCCCTGCTCAAAGTGGGGTTCGGCTTCAGTCCAAAGATGCTGCATGAAATTCGACTTTCAGCGCTCAGATCCCCACTTCTGCAGGCTACTATGCGGGTCGGCGCGACGCTGGCCCCACCCTCAGTAACACTTCCGTCAGTATAGCAGTAGAGAGTGATCAGCCAAGGAAGTATGTCAATCTTCAAGGGTATATGAGTCCATGCGAGCGCAAGAACAGTAGACTTGTCTTTCTCGGCTTTCATGCTTTCATTTCTTGGCCCCCGCTGGGTTTTCGGCTGCTCTGAGGCTTCTGCGCTGCTTTGCTTCTATGGCTATGCCTCGAGCCGCTTGGATTCAGACTTAAGCATAAGTTGGAATAGTACCCACACACGCACAAATACGTACGCAATTACGTATGCAATTATGTATGTAATTATGTGTACATAATGCCGTATGGTGTGTGTGTATATATATATAATATGTATACATGATGACACAGATATCTAAATATAAATGATATAACAGCGAGGGAGTATGTAGCATACGGTCCGTCTGCGAGACGTTGCCGGATCCCTGCTTTCAGTGCTTTGGGATGAGCTTCCTGCCTCGGGTATTTTTCCGCATGACAAGGCGAGCTGTGGCACCTTCTCGTGCTGCACGGCTTCGTGGGGGTCGGTTTGGGCCTGATGGTACCGGCCATCGCGCCGACGTTGCAGCGCTACAATACGCTGGCGCACCTGGGCTCTTCTTCAGGAGTTGCCACGTTTTAAAGGTTGCCATAGCAGCAGAGGATATAAAGCAAACAATGCATCCAACGAGCTGGTCTTGCTGAGGCACAGTCTTTCTTCAAGCCTCTACAAACTCTGGGACCACAGAAACAATAAAGTACTGGCAACCCAGGGGCCCAAAAAACATCCTCGAGCCAGCCTAAACCCCCTTCGGCTCATGGCAAACCAGGCACCCGGAGAAGACCTCACAAGCCGCCGCCCTGCCCCTTTTCGGTATGCAGCTGGGCCAGGCAGGGCAAAGCATGGTGGTTGCGATGGGTTCTACTTTTAAACGCTTCGCATCGTCCGCCTCGGCCCGGCTGTGGTGCATCGTTTCGGAAAGCAGCAACCCGAAAGCCTACCACGGCCCATAGGCCTGAAACCCGAAGCTCTAAACCCCAACCTTAAATGCCCGAAACCCTAAACCCTAAACCCACAGCGTATAGGGAGAAAGCGCAGCCCCTGATGCAAGCGCGAAGCTCGCATGCAGGGTCAGCAAGCAGTGCGAGAGGAGCAGGTTCACCAACCGAAAAGTTGGCTTTATTGGAACGGGGGAGGAACGGGGGGGATGGAAGGGGCGGAGGCTGGGGGGGGGGGTTTAAGTGAAACTGCTCTAAAGTGAACTACCGGGAGGCCAAATCCATGAGAAAGAGCGAAACTTCACCGTGGGACCTTGGCGCTCATGCACAGGTTCATACAGAGGAGGGGGGGGATTAAGCAGGATGGTTTGGAGGGGGGGTCATTGGGGAGGAGAAGAAGGGGTGGGGAGTAAAGGGAATCCGCAAGCTCTAGTTTTATGATCACTGTATCACTACCCATCTATGATTATGTCCTGCGCTTAGGGGTTGGCTTAAAACCCAACGCCCTAAACTCTCGAAAATGGGTGTTGGGGTGAGGGTTTCAGAAGCAAAGCTGCTCCTCAGATCGTTGGGCCGCTTCTCTTTGGCCCGGGGACCCAGAGCTTTTGGGTCGTGGCTTTGAGCGGGTTTTCGATTGAGGCTTTGGGGTTCGACTTAGAGTTCAGGCTTCACGGTTTAGAGTTGGGGTGGTCTGGTGTATGATCTTGTTGCTGTTCAGGTTGCGGATTTGTTGCTATCTGATATTTGTTGCTATCTGATCTTGATGAAGCTGGCATGGATACATTGTGTGCTACTACCTAACTGAGCTAATTTCAATGCTGAGATATTCTCGTGGAAGTCTTTCACAGCTTCAGGCGGTGACAGTATATGGGCTGCAGGACGGTAAGTGTGACACTGCCTCCCCCCATTCGGTAGGTTGCGCTGCGTGTCTCCGCAAGTCCGTATCCATGATGGTATCGCACTAGTCACTAGGCATCAGTCTACAACCCCTTGCACTCCAAGCCCTAAGCCCTACACCCGGTTCCCTAAATCCCAAAACGCCAAAGCAGGCCAAAGCCCAAAGACCCTACTGTGTGTCCCCCTTTTCTCCCTGGGAGTTCGACTGGCTCAGGCCTGATCACAGGAGACGCGCAGGATCGCAGTCGGATGAACCTGGCCTGGCTGGTTGCAGGCGGCGCTTCTTTGGTAATCGTCGTCGTTTTCGCGGTGCGTCTTTTTGCCGATAATAGCGGCAGCATTTGTGCTAAAAACTCCGCAGAATGCTTGAAACCGCGGAAGTGCATCGAGAATCGAGACCCTTGACACTGATGGAATCCGAACTCTGAACTCCTGAACGTAGGAGAAAGCCAGCACGATTTCTGGAAGCTCTTGGGAGCACCTTTCATGCTTGATGCATGTCCACCAAGTTGTCAAGCTCATGGCTGAATTGGAGGAATGCCAATGCCGCAGTCGAAGCCAGGCGTCTTACCATTGAGCGCTATTGGCGCATGGGCGTATGGGGCGGGGCATTCTCTTGGCGCAGCTTGGATTTTGCTGCAGCGGCTTCCGGCATGCTTTGCCTTTGCTCAGTCAAACAGATCGTGCTGCCTTTGCAGGCGTGGCCAACAAGTGCAAGAGCACTAGGGCCACTGTTGCTTCAAGACGCACCACCGTGAAATGTGGCTGATTCTGCCGCCAAGTATTTGCTTGGAAAGTCGGCGGCATACCTGACAGCAAAGATGGGGACACATGCAGCAGCAACAATAGCAGAAGTTGCTGCTCCTGCCAAGAAGGTTCAAACGTGGGCACAAACTTCTTCAACGATTATGACTCAAGTGCGCTTTATGAGAGACGGCTGGAGTGTTGGGAAGATCCTTTCAGGGGTAGCTTGTTTCGCCCCTGCCCTGGTATATACTGTCGCGCGGATCATCGACGGGACAGTTGCAGCATGTCGGGTCAAAAGTCTTCGGGTTGGCGACGTTGTTCTCACATTGAGTCAAAACCTCGAAGCAGTTTGGACTGATGTGCTTGCTGTTGGTGCAAAATTAGATGCATTGCAGGCAAGCAGCCGCTGGTTGGCTGCACAATTGCCGGCAAAGAGTCGATATCAGAGTTGTCAGCGACCCCAAATCACAAGGTAGTAGCACTCCGCCGTGGCAAGCTGCTGTGGGTGCTGCAGATCTGGAGATTGGTGAAGAGCGCGTCGGCATGACGCACCATTGGTTGGTGGGGAATACTAGTGCTTCGGACAGCGACTGCGCGCGTGTATGAACTGGAGACAGCGGCAGGGACGCTCTTGACAAATGGTGTGCTACTTGTAGCTACGGCATGCTATATGGCCGCTTCCACTGATGACGTTTCAGGTTTCGATTGAGCCTGCCATGAGCAGCAATGGCGCGGCGATGCACAAACGCTTTTGGCTTCTCCGCACGCAGACAATTTCCGACAGAAACGGCCACTGAGCTTGACGGTTTTGTCAAGTGCTATCCAAAGAAGTTTACCTGAGGAGGGCGCCAAACCCCGGTTTTGCTGTGGCTTGTTTTTCCCACCCTTGTGTCCGATGTTCAGGCATCAGCTTCCTCGTGGGCATGTTGCTGATGGACTTTTGCTTCACGCTCATCTCGCGACATCCCGCCGGGCTCCCTGAGCTTTGCGACTGTGGGTAAAGTCTAAAGTTTAGGACTTATAGGCTTGTTAAGGGTCTAAAGGTCAAAGGCTGGATGTGGTTTAGCCTTCTCGGACTATGTCAGGGAAAGGATGAGGGGTGCAGGGCTTCGGATTTAGGGTCTAGGGTATGGGATTTAGTTTTGGGCCGGTGGTCACGTCCTCGCAGGTCATGCGGAAGCTGACGTATACTCCGGAGCAGATCAAGACGATGCTTGAGACCAATGCACAGGATCGCGGCAGCGTCTCGGTCGTGGGGGTGCTAGAGGGTTTAGGGTTACGGGTTTCCTGCAAATTGGGGTTGTAGGTTTCCCCCGCTCCTTCCTCTCGAGGAGGAGGAAGTCTTCGTCGACGACATGTGGGGAGCTTAGTCATTAGAGCCTAGTTACCATCGCGAGTTCAACACAGTGGATTGTCGTTCACGGCAAAATCTGCATTCAGGATGTCACCTTGAAATGACCTTGTGAGAGCATTCATGACATATTGACCGTCGGTAGCATATGAGAGAATGCATATATCAACACAGGACCGCGACCGTACGTGTAGAAAAACGTAGAAGCCACATTAAAAGCCACTTTACGGAGGCCAGGCTCAAGTCAGAGCGTCGCGCTTCCCGGCTCGGAAGCTGCTGCAATCCCATTGGTCGGTCCGTCGCTGCAATGGCGCTGTTTCTGTTGCAGTCGCCTTCATCGCAGTGCTGCAGATCATTAGTAAGCCTTAGCAAGGCTGCCCTGAACAGCAATGTCAATGTCTACGGGGGAGACTCGAGCAGCGTCAATGCGCAACCGACGAACGTGGAGGCTATTCATTCAACCCAAAAAGCTTTTGCTGCCAGAAAGACGGATGGCACAGTCCTGCTTTGGGGAGACATTGGTGCTCATGGCACCAGCGTCATGAATGTCGGCGAGCTGGTAAATGTCATTGAGATGTACGCTGCAATAAATAGTTTTGCTGCTGAGAGGGCGGACGGGTCGATCGTGAGCTGGGGGGGGCGGCAACCTGAGCCCGACCGTGTTGTTCGCCGTGTCGGGCTTATTTGTTCTGGCTAGTCGCTAGTCCTTGGGGCAGGCATCATGTCAATCACCACGTTGCGTAAGAGGCCAGGACAGGCCATGTTCCTCGACCTCTGTTTCCACCTCCTCAACTTCGTTTTCGGCATCGGTGACCAGCACGTCAACGTCAAGCGTAGCCTCCACCACCACCACATCATGGACGTCCCTGTCCAGCACCAGCACCAGCATGTCGTTCCTTCCCACCTCCTCAGTCTTTGTCAGCAGCAGTGACCAGCACTTCAACCTCAAGCGTAGCTTCCACCACCACATCATGGACATCCCCATCCAGCACCGGCGGCAGCATGTCGGTCCTTCCCACCTCTTCAGCCTCTTTGTCAACAACAGTGACCAGCACTTCAACGTCAAGCAATGTAGCCCCATCTAGGTATACCGAAAGCAGCATCTCATCCTCGCGTCCATCCACACCAATCACGGTCTTGCATTTGTTCATCATCACGGCCTTCTTGGCAAATCTCGGTGTCGAGCACGAATGGAATTGGATGACCTGCTTTGCAGTCGTGCTGCTTTGCACCTTCTGTAGTGGGAAAGCAGACGAGCTTTGCGGGTCTTTTGTTTGTGGCTGGAGGTGTCTTTCTCTTGCGATCTTCGAGCCGTCCTGGAAGCCAGGCGAGATCTTTTCTTCGTCCCTTTCAGTTTGGGACCGGACTGGGCCTGCACCAAAAAGCCACTGTGCTTGCGCCGGAGGCGGCGGCTTTCCGGCTTGTCTTGGTTGTGGTTTTTCTGGTGTTGGTATTCAATACCACATGTGTCGGTGTCCTCCTCATAGATGTGTGTGTGTGTGTGTGTGTGTCTGATTATCCGACTTTCCTGTTATGGTAAGCAGCATTACTTGTCTTTCGTTCTGCTGCTTCACGGATCATGATGCATCGTCTTCCGAATCTCCTATGGAAAAACCTTCTAAAGGAGAGACTGTTTTCCGAGCACGGTGTCACGCCCATGTACCCGACTGACCGTCGTGGTGCGTGTGGTGCGGGTATGCATCGTCTTCCGAATCTCCTATGGAACATCCTTCTAGAGGAGAGACTGTTTTCCGATCACGGTGTTTCTGACATGAGACGGATCGTCTCCAGCCTCGTGAGCCTCCGGACGCTTGATGGAAGCACACTTGTCTGGATGTTCTCGGCTGGACGGAGCTCATCTGCAGGCTCGATGCTAGGATAGGCATAGGTCATGTATGTCTTGGGTGGCTTTGCGCAGTATGGTCACTGCCGACGGCGAAAGTATCGACCATGTAAAGCAATCAGCAATGCCTGCGAGGGATCCTTCTACATATCAGGTCTACGGGTCTGCTATTGGGTGTTAGCTATCAGTTTCAGCTGTGTGATTTGCGCAGGAGCTTCTCCCATGTCCGATAGGTTCTCGTTTCTCGCACTTAGACTGACGATGCAAATGAGACGTCCGCTTCCCGTGCCCATCCAGGCGGCCTTTCATTGCAAGATGTTTACCTCGGGAGGAGGCTTTTTCCAACCCACCTGAGGTCTCCAACAGATGTGCCAAACCAAGCTGGTGCCAAAAACATGTTCAGGCTTTTCAGTGCTTTAGCCATTTGCGGTTATCTGCAAGATGGCAAGCCACGGTTGCAAAGCATTTGTTTGGTGATGACTGATGATGCTACATGCCACGCTCTGCAATCAGACCTGAACCGCCCACACTCTAAACCTTTCAGAGGTTGAGGGTTTCCATGTACCCGACTGACCGTCGTGGTGTGTGTGTGTGTGTGTGGGGTGCGGGTATGCATCGTCTTCCAAATCTCCTATTGAACATCCTTCTAAAGGAGAGACTGTTTTCCGATCACGGTTTTTCGGGCATGAGTTTTAGCCCTTTGCCCCAATGGCCGCGGTTGGCTGCTAGTACCGTGGACCGTCTTGCTCAGCTCGTATTCTTATTATTGTTTTTTGATGTTCCCGCTTGGTTGAACGGTCAAAACGCGGCTGCTTATGTTGCATGTAGCTTGCTTCATTGAAGTTCGTGGCCGTGGCTGCTGCTTGGTGGTGTGCAAACTCTGACTGTCTTCGTGATTGCAAGACGAGCCGCATAAATTTCAATAAGGAGAACAACGATACCAAGCACAGCGCACAAAACTGTCGACACGGGCAGACACTCAGAGACATCCTGGGTAGTCATCGCCACAGAGCACCAGCCGAGGTGCAAGCTGCTGCGTGGAATGCTCTCTGGATGCATCGTGCAGTTTAAGATGTCCGGACTTCCGAGCCAGACCTGACAACACGGCGCAGTATCGTGCCAGAAGCGGAGCCGAACATATCAGTATGCAGATGCGTGCAGGTTGACGCAGGGCAGCCCAGAGTACAGAGGCCCGGGGCCCCAGACCCGGAAGAAGCCATGCGGCCATGCGGCGTCGCGGCGTCCTCAACCCTCAGGGCCTGAACCCTGGTCGATTGAAGCCCTAGTAAAGCCACGTGGACACTATCCGCCCACGCCACCACAACAGTCCAACAACCTCAACCTGAAGCTGCCAGGGATCAAGCTGTGGTCTGGCGTCGCGCAGAGGTGGGTGTGTTTTGGGTGTTCTGCAAGTGCAGTTGCAGGTCTGGTTAGGGCCTGTCACCCTATGAGGTATAAGCATAAGCCTTGTGGACAAGGGAACTGAGCGACGAGGGCCTCTTTGAGGAGTGAGACAACTTCATAGCTGCGAGTTTGGGAGATCTTTCCCCTATCGAGCAGTTCACTCTGGTCAACCTCGGGTCCCGCTTTGCCTAACCCCACGGCCCCACGCCCTCCGGGGCAGAGGTTCGTGGCGCGCGTTCTCCGGGAGACCATCCCGCGGATGCGCGAGGATCCGGAAGGGCACTTGGAGGACCCAAGAAGGCTTCGTAGTGGTGTCCCAACTTCACCCCAAAATATACAGCGCGATGCAGGGATTGAGTTGGGGGTTTGGCTTCATATCGGCCTCTGTTTGTTGGGGCGAGTTGCAGAGGTCATGACCACAAGTTAAGGTAGCGTTCTGCTAGGACGTGGCTGCCTGGATCGCCAAAGTCGGCACGGATGCAGACTTGGACTACTTCCATGCCAAGTTCCCTCATATCCCACGGCACAGGAGGCAGCGAACCATGTGAGATTTCTCTCGAATGACTGTGGCAGCATTCGGTTGTCGTTGAAGACCTGTTTCTCATTTCGAGGTGGCAGAGCGATGCCTACGTGGGAGAGCACCAATTCAATGACGACGTCGCCTGCATCTCGGGCACTGGGAAAGCACGAAGTGCAGCCACCGTTTCAGCCAGAATCCAGAATGCAACGAGTCCGGTCTTGTGAAGAGAGGCTCTTCTTTGTCGACATGATTCCGAAGCCACTCCATGCACAAGCACCGAATCACCGCTTGTTTTTCCCGCTCCTCTCTCTCAAATCTATCCGTGCTGTCATCATTGAGCCAGACTCCGTGTTTACAAGAAAATCCTTCAGAAAGCATCGTCTGTTTCCGTGCATTCCGATGGTGAGGTCTCATCAGCGTTCTGATTGCTGCAGTCGTCTTGCTTTGGAGTGCTACTGCAGGCAGAGGAATGCATATCGTGATGTTCACCGAAATCACAGTTGGGATACTTGTTGCTGATGGTGATGATGATAAGGAGGAGGCGGACAGCCAACGGTGCTGGAGCAACAACAGTCTCGATGATGATGAGGGTGAGGACGAGGAGGAGGAGGAGGAGGAGGAGGAGGCGGAGGCGGAGGCGGAGGCGGAGGCGGAGGAGAGGAGAGAGGAGAGAGGAGAGAGGAGAGAGGAGAGAGGAGAGAGGAGAGAGGAGAGAGGAGGAGGAGGAGGAGGAGGAGGAGGAGGAGGAGGGGAGGAGGAGGAGGAGGAGGAGGAGTGGGATGGGAAGAACCATGATACTGTCTTTAGTCGATGTCGAGAACGACGAGTGTAATGGCGACAGCGGTTTTCCCTCCACCATGAGGAGGATAAAGATGAAGAAGGTGAGGAAGATCATGGCACGAAAAAAAATACGATTACATTGGCGATGTGGCGATGCCTCTCATGATGCTCTTCATGCGGATGACTAGGATGATGACCTCATGTGGTGATGATGATGACGACATCTGGAGCCTGGTTCGTGACGGTTCGGTGCATGAAGCGGGTGACGATGACGCTTTGGATGATGAGGAAGTCGATTTTCGCTCATGCCCATGATGATGGCCATAGCCATAGTGATGGCGACAGTGGCGGTCATATTGCAGCAAGTGCGGGAATGGTGCCTGTGAAGTCGTGACGACTGTGAGAATTCGGGTTTCTGTTCACAGCTCTCATCTCCATCACCCAGTACGGCTTTTGCGATTAGCAGCACTGCGCTAGTATCACCATCACCACAACCATCAACATCAGCAACCTCCTCACAGCCATCATCATGACGCGACACCACTAGAACCCTACACCAGCACCATCCGCGGCAGCAGCACCAGCAGCAAAGAGAGTAAGAAAAGCCACAACGAGGTAACCACTGTCCCCGGTGCTGTTTCTGAGGCCCGTGCGACGTCGGGCCCATCCGTGACGGCAGCATAGTGTCGCACCGTCGGCTCTGCAGTGCCGCGATTTAGTTTTACGAAAGCAGTGTCACCAGGGCTAAAGGTCACAGGAGTAGAAGCCTTCCCCCGGCGACATGGTAGACGGCACGAGTCTCCCACTGGAGAGTTCCTTTTCCTTCCCGGAGTGTTTGCGTTATCATCCTGGTCTTGCGTGTAGAGATTCCAAGATGGTTTGCGAGTGTAGGCTTATAGGCGACCTTTTCTCCATTGACGGAAACAGAGATGACATGATCATCATCAAGGTCATCGTCATAGTCATCCTGTTCGCTTCGACCCTAGTGTTTTTGTTGCGGGAAGTGGGCGGGTGGAGACAAGACACTGCGCAGGGCTTAGACGACAAATCAAAGCACCCATCAGTAGGACCTGCTGTGACCAAACCCGCGTGAGGCACTGCTTGTCAATGCTCTGGGATCCTCAGTGGATCTCTTGTTCTCCCTGATGGCTTATCTCTCTCGAAGAGAGAGTTCTTTCCCTCGGGAGTGAGTTTTGCCGGGTTGCTTCTTCAGCGCCTGATTCTGTCTGGAGCCGATCGCGGCTGTCATGTTCGAGCAGTGAGCAGCTTGAGAGGCTCGGTCAGCTCCGTAGGTCGTTTGACGTTTGGGGCCTGCAAGCTGCCGCTTGGATTTGCGCGAAGAAAGCGCTTTTATGCCGAGGTCCGAATCTTGCTTCATGCTTCGCCGCTTCGCTTGTTTTGTCGTGTGATTCTGTTTGCTCCCTCCGCTGCCACGGGCTGGGCCATAGCTTGTCGCGTCGCGCAGCCGCAGGGCACCTGCAAGTGTGACAAGGGAAATGGCGCCAGCCAAAGCAAGCGCGAAGACCTCTGCCACACAGGCCCAGGGGCCCACAGGGTCGCAAGAGAAATCATTGATCCCTCTTCTGCATCCCAGGAGAAGATGTCAAAGACCGAGATCTGCAGGTTCAACAGCGACTTGGCAAATGCTTTGGACCGCTGTGACACTGTGATGTGGTCTGGAGGTCAGATCACTCGGGCACGGAGCACTCGCAAGTACGCTTATAGCTCTAAACCCAAGCATCCCCAAACCCCAAACTTCCAACGACACATCTTACACCCCAAAGCCCAACATAAGCCTGTGGTCTGGGCAGGCATGGGCAAGTGCAAGCGCGGTGCGCAGTGCAGTGCGGTCCTCAGAGATGTGGAAAGGCATCAACCAAAAGCGACCTGCTTGAGGAAAAACGCATCAGTACAGCATCTCAGAACATAGGGTTTATCAAACATAACATGTAGAGACATGATATTTATTCCATGAGAAGCTTATGCCGGCACTGCAAAGAGTGAAACAGAACCTGGACCTAGCAACCCAAGCCCTGCAGGGACCGATCTCAAGGCTAAACTGGGCTTGGGACTGGCAACAGAAGAGCCCTCAAATTTTTTGCGTGGCGTCACCAAAGATTGCTGTCAGGCGAGAGAGCATGATGCGCACAATGGAAGAGCACTGAAGCACTGAAGCAGTACACTGAATTCGGTCTTCCAGGCGGATGCGGTAGACGTGCGCCTGTGGAAATGCGCCGCAAATGAAACGCCGTGGCCGCACACGGAACGTAAGGCCTTCACCCTATGCTGTTGCGAGGTGCAAGGGCTGAACAATTCCTTTCGGAGCCGCGTGAAGCCCCGATTAGACCCGAGAAGCAGATTTCAAGATAATCACATGATACACCCGCTGCCACGATACGCTGTCCGAAGCGCCGAGGCTTTGCCCACGGCCCAGAGGAGCTTGTTGCCAAGCCCGACCTCTTCAAGACGATGCCGGACGCTTGGAGCCTCTGTCTCAGTGCTTGGGGCGCAAATCAACACGGAGGCTTTGCCGGAAGTGGGCGAAGGCCTGCCTGGATTGAAAGCTCAGCTCCCAATCAAGGGTGCCGTTGTGCCTCGCCGCAGGGCTCCTGCAATTTTACCAACTGCACATTTGCGCACGGAGAAGAGGAGCTGCGCCGCCGGCGCTGCTTACCCAAAGCCAAGCCTTCCCTGGTCCTGGCCTTCGATTGTCTCTGCCAGGCGCGATGCCCGATCCAAGCGTCTTACAGGACCCCAGCAAAGACTTCGATCCGGGACTTACTCCCTCAGAAGCAATGAACGTTTAAAACCTTGTCAGTGTCGTTTTGCAATGCTTCAGGACTTCGCAACTTTGACGTGGTCGCGGAGAAGGAGCGACCGTGATTGGTGGAGCCTGTTGACCAGAAAGCAGAGCTCAACCTGGGCTCCCCACTGTAGCATACTCTAGAGGTTTAAATAATATCAATACAATAAATAGTGGGAGCGGTCCCAAAAGCCTATCCTGACTATTAAGGCCCTTATATTACTTGATTGCAAACTAAGTGGCTAGAGACTGTGGACTGCACGCGCAGCATGCGCGAAGGTCCACTGTGAAATTCTGATTGCTGTGATCATAACTAGCCTGCCCTGAAGACAGGTGAGGACTCTATCAAAGATTGCCTGGAAGGTTTTGGTAGGCTCCTATCTCACCCCGAGCCTGAAACTCTGGACCTCAACCTTCAGTCCTCCAGACAGCAGTTCGACATAGATGAGGCACGGGAAGTGCCAAGGCGAGTGCTCATGACGACGGGTTCGGGCCCGGCCAGCTTGTGGAAGCACATCGGGGTCTAGCGGGCGGAGCAAGCGATCAGGCTGTGGAGCGTGCCGTCGTGCAAGGGTGGGCACCAACAAGGGTCACCAGAACACAGGTCAGGTCAGGTTTCGTGAAGCCAGTACCAGAATTTGAAGGTCAGGTGAAGAAGTACAAACTTCGTCTCGAAGTAGCTTTCCCCTCACAGGGGGCCGTCAAAAACAAAAGGTGGGTGGCTGACTTGCCGCCCTCCACAAAGTGCTGTAAGTTGCAGGACTTTCGTGTTTGGCACTTAATTTCGGGGAGGACCGGAGTTGCAAAAATGCATGACCTCATCATGGTCGGGACGTAGATGTTTTGTTCTCAGAACGGATTGGACCTTGGACGACATCATTGTTGAGCCATGGATGCTCTTGTTCTCAGAACGGACTTGACCATGGACCATGGATGTCATCATGGCCACGGATGCTCTGTTTTCGGAACGGACTAGACCAAGTCATCATGGCTGGGTCATGGATGCCTCTTCTCAGAACGGACTTGACTTGACCATGGTCGCATCATGACTGGTCCGTGGATGCCCTGCTCTCAAAACGGATCAGACCACGGACGTCAGCAAGCTTGGATGATTACCATGGTCAGCGTCACGGTTGGGCCATGTACAGACCGGACTTGACCAAGGACGTCATCATGGTTATGGACGTCATCATGGTTGGGCCGTGGATGAATTGAGAAACAAGCCGGGAAAAAGTGGATGCTTTGAGAAACAAGCCGGGAAAAAAGGCAAACAACCTCAACATACAGTAAGCACTCGAAGAAGACCCTCTGCGAAAACAAGAAGGCCAATAAGCTAGAAGAACAGGCGCATTGAAAAGCAAAGCGACAAGGATGCACATCGAAAACAAGCAGAAAAGGGTCGCGGTGCCAGGTCAGTTACCTGGCAGGAACAAGAAGCGATACCCCGAGCACCGGATAAGGATCGTACTGGCCAGAGATTCCCTGATCTTGAGGAGGAGGCCATTCTCGAGGAGACCTGTGCGACTTTGGCCGCAGATGAATTTCATGCCTCGTTTCTCAAAGGTCCTCAGTGTGTTCAGGAGGAGTGATTTTGCATTGTATGCTGAAACAGTTTGTGCGGCGTTATCAAGTGTTACCGGTCTCACGCTGACTCGTCGTGCTGCCCTCATTTCTGCAGGGGCGGTGGCCAACTGTTGCCCTTGCCCCCTCCAACACGCCTCACCAAACGATCCTCATGCTACAAACAAATTATAGGTGTAGCTACTTGTATGTATTTTATGTGTTTTTGTTAAAAGCTCGCAATGTGCCTACCCTTCGCTGCCTTTCCTGCGTTTGCATACATATGTAGATATACATATACCTATGTATAAGTGTTTGTATACACACTCATATGTTTATATAAGCACATACAAACCCTAGTCCTTTCACCCTCGGTGCCTTGGTGTCTGCTGCGCCGAAGTCGTGGAATGACATAGGTCTCCGAAGCCAGTACGGAGGACGGAGGCACTGGCACAGGTGGGGCCCGGGCCATGCCGTGAGCAGTTGAAGAGAATCGGGTTTGCGCATTTGGGAGCTTAGAGGCTTAGAGCTGTCGCGGAGTTAATAGTTCGAGCTTAGAGTTTGGGGTCGACTCTACTCCCCCGCAAAGGCAGTGCGTCTGAGGAGCGGATGGAGGACGGCCATGGATGCTGTCGCATTGCCCGGGGCAGTAGGGTTTGCATTCGAGCCTTCTTGGGCTTTCAACCAAATCAGAAGCGACCCTCACAACCTCGCTCATGTTTCATCTCGCGAGGACCACGTTTGGGGCTTGGAGCTGCTTCTCAGCGCGCAGACGGCCGCGTTGAATGCTGCTACGCAGGACTAGCCACGAGGGTGCGGCCTCTGTGTCAAAGCCGAAGCCTTGCTACCCTGTACACTTAGAACATCTTGGAACCCTGATCACCCCTGATCCCTAAACCGCGAGAGCATGCATCCAAATAGGCTTTGCGTGGTGTTTCTGCGCAGGACGCCGAGACCCGCCCCGTCTTCGTTCTGCCCGGGGATGCGGCGAAGTTCCCGATGAAGGCATCATCGGCACAGGTAACAACAGTCCTAAGGAGTAAGCTAGAGTTTCAGGTTCAAAAACAGATATAGGTTCGATGTTATGCATGCTTGCCTACACCGGTACTAATCAGTAGCTTCTTGTTTTTTTTGGTTTGGTTCCGAGCGCAAGAGTGGCGGGACAGCTGTGAGTTCTCTCCCACAGGTTTTCGGACTTGCAAGCACGGTGTATTTCCACACGATCTTTCGAGTCGAAGTCTGTGTAATCACTCTGTACAAGAAACCGTAGAAGCACTGACAATGACAGGTCTTGCCATCCGGTCATGCCAAGTCCGGGCTCCTCAGCTCAAATTCGCCGTCTTTTTCTCGTGTCGGGTTTCGGGTTTCGTGTGGCTGGGCTAATTGCTTTCTGCCGTCCTTGCAAGGTCGTTCCCAAGACGACTGTTGTTCTTCTTCTTGTTGGCGGACCCTCCATGGCCAGAGCATCCATGCCCGAAGCGCAACAACACTCCGACCCCATGCCATGTCCAAAGTCTGGTTGCTGGCTGTTGCTGCCGTTTTTGTTGCTGTTGGCCTTTACCGTCGCAGGTTGCTTGGGATTGGAGTTGCGGAGTTTTTGGTTTCGAGGTGGTCAACTGCCCAGCTTTCCAACTTGACTTGAGGATTCTCGACTCAGGGCCCCACCTGCTCACGGCACCATGACCCTCGTCATCATCCGCAACATCATCATCATCCTGGTGGTCCTCTTCTTCTTCATCCTTGTCTGTCTTTTCCTCTGCGCCGTCACTTTCATGCTCGCCATCTTCCTTCTGCCAAGTTTGCTTTTTTTGTCTTGCGAAACATGGTTCCGTCTCCGGCCTCCACGCGAAGCGACACGACGCACAACTTAATGATGTCCATGGTCTTGCGATTTGGGAAGGGCAGAGCATCTATGGCCAAAGCCTCGTAAATTTCGTGGACCATGCTTTTAGCTATACCTGAAGACCCAATTCCATGCGCCTGAGCAGGCTCTTGGATACTGCTTAGGTACGAGCTCTTGCATTGCTATGCCTCTCACTTACCACGGCCCCAACATGCAAACTATGATCACATGCATGTCCCAAAAGCAGTTTTTTAAAGGCTGTTTGTGCCGAATCGCCGAAACCACAGGGCCAGTCACTTGCGTTTTTTGAATTGCACGACCTTTTGGGGCGTCGAGTGGTGCTCATCCTGGGTTGTTGTTGCTTTACTACTTAATGCTGCTGGTGTTGAAGTTGCTGCATTTTCCTTGGCTGCTGTTGCTGTTTGTTGCTGCCGTTGCGGCTGTTGCTCTGACTGTTGCTGTTGCTGCTGCTGTTGTTGTTGTTGTTGTTGGTGGTGGTGGTGGTGGTTGGTGCTTGGTGCTTGGTGCTTGTTGGTCGTTGGTGGTTGGTAGTGCTGCTGGTGCTGCTGATGGTGGTGCTGCGGCTGTTGCTTCTTCTTCTTCCTGTTACTGCAATTGCTGCTGCTGCTGTTGGTGGCGGTGGTTGTGGTGGTGGTGGTGGTGGTGGTGGTGGTCGTGGTCGTGGTCGTGGTCGTGGTCGTGGTCGTGGTCGTGGTCGTGGTCGTGGTCGTGGTCGTGGTCGTGGTGGTGGTGGTGGTGGTGGTGGTGGTGGTGGTGGTGGTGGTGGTGTGCTTTTGCTCGTGCTGGTGTTGCTGTGGCTGTTACTGTTACTGTTACTGTTGTTGTTGTTGCAGTTGCAGTTGCAGTTGCAGTTGCAGTTGCAGTTGCAGTTGCTGTTGCTGTTGCTGTTGCTGTTGCTGTTGCTGTTGCTGTTGCTGTTGCTGTTGCTGTTGCTGTTGCTACTGCTGTTGCTACTGCTGGTGCTTTTGCCGTTGCGGTTGCTGTTGCTGTTGCTGCGCTGCTTGTTGTTGTTGTTGTTGTGGTGGTGGTGGTGGTGCTCCTCGTCGTCGTCGGTAGTAATTGTTGTTGGTTGTGGTGGTGCTGGTGCTTGTGCTTCTGCTGGCGCTTGGGCTGGTGCTGGTGCTGTGGTTGCTGTGGTTGCTGTTGTTGCTGTTGTTGCTGCTGTTGCTGCTGTTGTTGCTGTTGCTGTTGCTCCGGCGGTGCCGGCGCCGGTGCCGCTGCCAGTGGGTGCGGGTGTTGGTGTTGTTGCTGCTTGTGCTGGCCAAGCTGGTGTGGTTGTCCTTGCATCATAGTCATAGTCATGGTCGTGCAAGGGATCAAACACCCGTTGTCGCTCGATATCCCAGGAAGCCGGAGATCGTTGGAGGCTGTTGGATTTCCATTTGAGCAGTTAGGACCTGCAGGGTCACCGCTGCCGGCGCTTCCTGCTTCAGCTTAAAGGGAACGCACCCAGGACCTAGGACCCAGTTTGTGTGGAATCCAACATGATTGCGAAGGGGCTTCTGCTTGTTTTTTTTCGGCTGAAGCAGTGCTACGGCTCTGACATGGCCCTGCAGGGTTGAAGCCCTGTAGTTGTGGATTTGTGAGTGATGGTGTCGATGGCAGCCTCCTGCTTGCTGTCGCTTGCTGGAGTGTCCACATGTCGTTTAAGGACGTAGAAAACGGCGAGCAGCCACTGCCTGCCACTCGTCGAGACGTGAAGGTATGGCAGATCGGCTCTTCTCGGTTTGCGGGTAGCATTCCGAGTGAATCGGCACTTGAAGAGGATGTAGGACCGGAGCTCAGAGCACATGAAGACTTGAAGATTGCCGTTCTATTGCCCCGCGTGGGGAGAGTGCCGCGGCGGAGAGAGATGAGTTGTCTTTAGGTTTCCCGGTCCCGGGCTGACAAGGCCATGGCTTGTCAGCGAATACGGATGCCGCAGAAAGCAAAAACAAAAAAAAACAATACCAGCTTTCTGCACCTGTTCCATTTAAGCTGATCCAAACGGGCAAGCTCGGGGTTCAGCAGATTTTTGTGTCCTCCTTGCAAGGTGCAGTGAAGTGCCTTGCGTTTGCTTCCTTGGAGTGACAGCCGGGATCATGATAAGCTCCTTCTCTCGCTTGGCCCCTTTTTCTAGTGAAGGTTCAGTTCTATCCGCGAGGGGAGGGAGGTGCGTGACCCGACAGGACTTCGGAGCAGTCTGATGGCCCAAAGGAGGAGTCATCGAAGGTATTTCAAGCGAACGTCCCACAGAGAGAGGGGCTCTCGCAGGATCAAAAAAAGCCAAAAGCCCTATAGAAATAACCCTAAACACTGAAGTCACTGAAGTCACTGAAGCCTAAAGCTCAGCTTCGCCTCGGTTTAGTCTACGGAGAGCGCCTCGGCCTGGGATGCTTTGGAGACGGTGTGCGATAACAGAGCTTTCTTCCAGAAGGCGAGGATTGCGGCGTCCGAAGATGTCACACTCTAGACTCTACAGACTCTACAGACTCTACAGACTCTACAAACTCTACAGATACAGAGTACACATAGGTCCGCGCATCTCTGCGCATAGACACATGTGTGCATGAAGGTAGGCGGGGGTGCGTAGGTGGGAATGCAGGAAGGCAGACGGGTACAGGTAGGCAGGCAGGTAGGTAGGTGGGTAGGCGCGCGAGTATGCCCAAACATACATATGGTTTGTGTACACATATGCACGTACAGGAGACATGAAGACGTCTAGGTGGTATGCAGATGCAGATTTGGATCAGTTACATCGACTACATACCCCAAGCCCGAAACATCTGCATCTATTTCTGGATCTCGTGCTGGGGTTTTGGCAAATGAAGATCAGCTTTTGCTTCTGCATGGTGGCTTCGTGGTCGAACGGCTTGTATAGTGTATGATAGGGTTTTTGGGGTTGTTTTGGGTCTGTCTGGTCGACTGGTGTTTGGGCTCAGGAGGTCAGGCCACAGACAGAAGCGTGTTGGTTAGGAAGGACCCCTTTGGAAGAAGCGAATAGCCAGTGAAGGCAGGGCGGGCAGAAGCTCTGCTTCACAGCTGTGGCCCTGCTTTCCTTCCGCAGTCGCCGAGTTTGGTTGCAGGTGTTGCAGTGTCCGGATGTTCTCAGATTTTATACTTGGATGAACTTTTTGCTTTAAACATCCAGAGACTGGCTGCACCAGATCCACTTCGTAATTTGCACGGAATATGAACATGCTTCAAAGAGAAGGCACGGTTGCAACGAATTCAACCCTACACATTTTGTCACGGAGGCGCAGGTGAGCCAAGATCTTTGCGCACAACGCTCGCGGCAAATCTGTTGATGCAAAGAGCTTCACGACAAATATAGAGTCTTGCTCCATGGTAGTCGCAGTGGCAGGCAAAGCGCCCCCAAACACCTCGTTTGTCCCAATGCCCCAATACGCACCCGGTGCTTGCAATTTGGGCGCCGAAGCTGGGGAAAATTGGAATGAGGTAGACCCAGACCCGTCTTCACTTTAAAGGCAGAGCGAAGGAAAGAAGGATGCTCTCTGCTCTGCTCATATACTACACTCTACCTGGCTATGCTGCTACATGGCTCCATGCTAGACTCTGCGTCGTTAAAGAGCCTTTGCAAAATAAATGCCTTTCTTGGCAAATTTGGGCTCCTGTCGCGAAAGGCTGCCCAGACTGCGGGCCTTCCGCCGCTTCTTTTCCTCAGCTGGGCTTCCGGAGCCATGGCGCTGGCCAGGAAGCCTAGAGTCTAACAGGTGTGAAGCCACCACACTAGCGCGATTCTGCAGACTATAGAGGGTTGTTCCGGGCAAAGTCGGGCTCTTCGACTCTCAGGCGGCCTTCATCAATAGCCCCACGGGGCCGATGACGACGCACTTCTGGGGGCCCATCGCCAACTGGGGATTGGCGGCCTCCGGCATGTGCGCCCGTGGCCAGTCTGTTGTCCCTTCCGTGGGGTTGCAAGGGGTTGCAAGTGTTGCAAGCCTGGAGTGTTTGGCAGGTATGATGCAGCTTTGAAAGGTCCGGAGATCATCAACGAGCGCATGTCCGCAACGCAGGCCCGACTGCAGGCTGCGCGAGCTGAGAGGCTGCCATTCTTGATCGCAGATCCTCTACAGCGGGCTCTTCGTTCGCTTTGCGTGGGCGGTGCAACCCCGGAACTACATCCTGGCATCTTGCTGGGGCCTTAAGCCCCCAGCTTAGGCATTGGAGGCATTGTGGCGGCATTGTCGCGGCATCCGTGGAGGTCATACGGCCAACGTCCTGGCACAGGGCAATCAGCTGCGACGGCCGGCGGATCTGCAGATCTCAGCTCCTATGCTCTTGCCGAAGCGTCACTTCGCAGTCAGTGCTTCGCAGTCAGTGCTTCGCAGGTGGGCTGAGTACAAGATTCAGACAGAGCCCGAGACAGGCCCAAGCACGGTGCGTAACTGGCCCAGCGGAGCGATCGCCACAGCAGCGCCTTTGCGCCTTAGCTTCAGCGGCCGAGGCAACGCGAGCCTCCTGGCGGCGGGGGCAGCCGCAGGCGCGGAGTCGCCTCGAGCGGAGTTTTGCTTCTGGGGCCATGGCAGCGGGCCAGTGCCTGCGGGCATGTCCTGGCTGCTCAGGCATAGCTGCCATGCTCGTCGCTAGCACGCGAGGACCTTAGCAAAAGGAAGATGCGTTGGCGCTTGTAAGAGCAGAGCCACAGCCATGCACTAAAGGCCTGTCCAAAACAGCCTCAAGGGGTGCCTTGGCCCCTCCGCAGTCTTAGTTGGCAGCTCTTGCAGCGGCCAGCGATGTTTTTCTTGTTTTGGAAAGCAGTGGGGACTCCATACAGCTAAAAACTCAAACTCACGCGTGTGAAGGGGCAGTGGCTTCCTTGCACGTATGGCTTCCCATCCAGCAACTTGGATGCACTCCTATGCCCACGCAGCGAACACTACGCAACTCCTGCACCTGATAAGAACCAGGCAGGCCCCTTCTACATCCACTTCTGGGCCTTTGCCTCAGGGGCTTGCTGCATATGCTTTTGCCTGATGGCAGTAGAGGCTCCCAATTTCAAATGGGCCCTCTCCATTAACAATCTGATGGACCGGCACTTAGAGCTCGAGTCGGCCTGCTGCTCTTGCAGAAGCAGAAGCAGATCTCCCTTTGCCGGGCACCAGGACTACGACCGTCCCACAGACAAGATCAGCCTCTCCATGTTTGTAGCTCAGAACAAGACCAGCGTGCGTATAAGTATGACACACCTGTGTATCTGTGTATAAATAAATAAATAAATATATATATATATATATATATATTTATTTCCTAGACAGCCTATTGATACACAAATTTGTGTTACGTAATATTCCCGCCCGTTTACCGAGAAAGCGCTCGCATGACATAAAAGCGCACGCTCTTATAAAAGCGCACGTTTTGGCTAGCGACGAGTCATTACTGGGCCTGTGTAATCTCGGAATGTATACACAAAGACACTATAACACTAGAATCGACAGTCCTACATGGTGGCCTTTTACGCACAAACAACCCCAGCTCAACCCCAGCTGAACAAGTCCAAAACCCCTTTCGTATGCTCTGGCACCATGGGACACCGTAGAAAGAATCCGAAATCGTAACCCAGCCCGCCCATGCACAAACCTACATTGACATCTGGCTGATCTACGAGTCTCCACATTTTCAGTCGGAGCCCCAGATGCGGTTCCACTGTCTAACGTACAAGCACTTTGCTCGCTGCAATGTGCGCATATGGGTTGTAAGCTTGTGAGCTCTTCTGCTGAGCCGTGCAATACGGCCAATGAAATCTTCGTCTGACCACGTCATATAGGTGGTCGGGGAAAGCACATTTGCGGCAGTCGGTTCTGTTTCAAGTTGGTGTTGCACGAATAACCTGAGTTGAACCCGACTCGGTGGAGCATATTCGGTTTGAAATAATATATCCCTAGGTCGATAACGACTCAACCGAAAAATCAAGAATCAAAATGGTTTTGAGCATGCACCGGGCCACACGATGTGGCAATACATGTGCAACTTCGGGCGCACATGGTACAGCATATGGCCCAGTTTCGCTGTAAGGCTCGCTAATGTAGCGTACCCGTCCTCAGGAATATGCTGCTGAAGTTCCACACATAACATCAAATGACCCGAAATATTTTCTTGAGGTCTAGCCGGGGTACTGCGACAAGCCATCCGCTCTTGCAGCATTCATGAGCAGCAGAGCGAGGTATCCACATTCCATGGTCGTAAATGCAGCGCCAGAACTTCCCAGCAGCATCCACGGTAAACCGCATCACATCGAACAGCGGCCGGTACTTGTCTTCCTTTCTTGCAGAAAGCTTCTCCGGGCGCGAGTTACCTTTTGATATCTTGCATGTTTGGCAGGTTAACCTATACAGGGTTGGATCTGAAGTGGATATGCTTCAACGTTTGGGATTCAGGACGAAAGCTTCGGGCTTGGGTTTGAGATAAGCTTTCGGGTTGGGATGTACATGATTATTCTTCGGCTTGGATTTGATTTGGATAAGCCTTCAGGTTTGGGATTGGGGACTCCACGTTCGGGCTCGGATTTGGCTTGGCTGAGCTTTTCGATCTGGTTTGGGTTATTGGATTAAAGGTTCGGGCATGTTTTTCAGAGTGGATAAACTTTCGGGTTTGAGATTTAGGGTTCAGCTTCGGGCTATGATGTGACCGTAGAAATTAGCGTTAGGGATTGGGTATGGGATCTGCATGGGATTAATTAGACTACTAGCTTCGGGCTTGGGTGGGAGCTTTGGTCCGAAGGCGGACTAGCTGTCGAACTTGGGATTTGGGAGAAATTTTTCTCGCTTGGATTTGATGATGGAATACATATTTGTTTGTGGTTGTTGTTAAAGAAGCTAGGGACCCAACCCTGCTTATTGCAAAGATTTCGCAAGCTCAAGCAAGGGTGCGGATATACTGAGCAAACTATCTTGGGGTGATAAGGGTTACAAATATAATCGCCTTCACTTTTGTAATGATACCCCTGAACCCGAATTCGGGAATTAGGAGCCCGAAATCCGAAGTTGTTTCTCGTAGTATGACTGCAAAACAGTACCTAGAGGCTCATACCTTACCTCTTTTTTTGGATACCTATTATAGTTTTATGGTTAGGATCTGCTATCTTAAAAAGTAGGCGCCCCAAAAAAGGGGTAGGGTATGAGCCTCTAGGTATGCCCTCAACCAAACCCTTCATGGTTAACCCACAAGTCTCGATCGAGGCTGCGTCCACTTTCCAAAGCTCGGCTTCCAGCCAGGCGCCAACGATAGCACAGTCGTGCCCTTTGCCCAACCCAGATGGAAAGGTTGTGTACCTATAGAAGGGCGGGAAGTGATATGGTCGATGGTAAGGTTGGGACTACTTAGCTTGGGGTTTGGTATTGGGCTTACATAAGATCACTTATTCAAGCAAGGTGCGTCTTCGAAGTTTTCAATGTCATGAAGTTGAAGCCATCGATGCTGGTATACTTCTTCTTTTCTTTGCAGAATTTGTCGAACCGAGAATAAGCGACTTTCAGCCGTACATCCATGGATCCAGCCCCGAACAAGCCCATTCTTGCCCCTAAAACCAGTGAGCTGGAGTAGAGGTCCTTCCCAATTCCATTGATCGCCCACGTGTGGGCGGCATCGACACGAATTGTGCTCGGATTCTCTGAAAGGGATCGTAGTGGGGAGGGCGCCAAGCCAACTTTGAAGGGATTGTCCGGAACATAATCTGCTGGTAGGCGCTTTATCTCACCTTTGACGTCCCACCAGTCCTGTAGGAATCTAGCTGGGGCCGAGGGTGATTGTCTTAAACCTATAGGGCTTCATACATTTGACAAAATTACAAAGTCTCGAGTCCGCCCCAATATACAAGGTTCCGAGGCTCTGAAATATCGCACAAGTGGCACTTGCGTTTACAATTCAATCCGCAATTCAGTTTGAAGCCTGATCGCAGAAACGGCCAATCTCCTTTCGTGCCCGTGTAAGCGAAATGAAAGTGGAGGTCCCGGCCCTTGAAATTCACCTGTGTTGCAACACATAGAATACAAGCTTAACGGGGGTATATAGACTCCAGATGATGTTTTCTCCTATCAGGCTGGGTTTAGGCTTTAAGTTCAATGGTTTTAATAGATCAAAGTGGCATGTAATCCTTCTTGCTGCAAAAGCAACAAGTCATTGACTATGGCCTGCAATACACTATCCAGTGTCTCGTCTTTGACATAGAAGACAGACGGAATCACGGCCAGGAGAAGCCGTGTGCACAGCGTATGCCTGAGATAGGTGCAGACAAAGGTTTCAGATTTATGATATTTGGTGTGTAGACCAAGCGTTACACAAAACGAAACTTGCATTAGACTTCTTGTGGACTAGAATCCCTCCGAGATTGGATGTTGACATGTCATGGCTCGTAATGAGCGGCTGCATCCCAAGTATCATAATAGGTTTTTTCCCTTTGCCCCTCCCCTCATCTCCATGAAGGGCGTAAGGGAGAGTGTATCTCGGATTGCCGGGAATTTCATAGTCCGGCTCCAAAGCTTTGAATCGCTCCCAGAAAACTTCTAGGGTGTCTCCGAAGGAATCCACATCATTCAATGACAGCCCAGCAAGCAGGAAATGACCTCCCATCTTGAAGATATTCGTAGCCCAATCCGAAGGCAGTAGCATCGGATACTTCACGACCCTGGTCTTCAAAGGCCGGCCTCTGCGTGACGCCCTGATACGAACATCTGCTGTTGTTATCGGAACGGGCAGGGACCTTGTGGACGATTCAATAAGCTTGTGAAGTCTTTGACACATGTGGGAGTCTGTGCGGGAGTTGCCACATGCCGCCATCTTTTGCAATATTGGATCCAATATTCCTCATTGGACTCATGAACTCTTTAACACATGGGTCTAGGGTTCGGGTCTAGGATACGAAGATCAATAATGGAGGACTTCGCGACTGTAGGACTTTATTGGGGTGCGGTGTAAATATATAGGGCTTCAGCTTCAGGGCTTAGGGGCAAAACGTACAAAATAACTTGGATATAGTAAAGCCTGCAAAAATACGAACCATTGTTGTAGTTTTCCATACACCGAGAGACCATGCGCCTTCAACTTGGCATTTGCCACTTGTGCTAATCTGACAACACGGGCTGCTGAGTCGGCCTAGGCTGACGTGAAGTGATTTTTTCAAAGGCTGAACACACAAAGCACCAAATCTCAGCTAGATCGACCTAGATCTAATTGAGTTTCTAACCGCGATCACAAAGTGTCCGAACTCGACCTGAAATGGAACGGCAATCACGAAGCATCAATAGAATTCCTATATGTGGGACTAGACACTATCCCGCTAGACCCGCGAGCTCAACATAAAATACTTGTTTGATCCAATGATTGACATCGCAAGGCCACAACGGCCTAAGTAGCCCAAGCACTTAAGGCAACACGGCCCCAGCTCAACATGTAGAGATTAAATTAAGAACCTTTCGCATTTTGCCGATGGCAAGCCCCAAGCTTACCTTCCTACCTCCAAGAAGAAAAGATATGCCTGACCATCCCAAGAAAATCCGAGAAGAACCCCGCTGCAGTAGCTATATGGAGTATAAAAACCAAGTAACCCCATCCTCGAACCCGATCAGCAGCTCGTCTGCAAGGTTCTCATCTTCCACGTCGCACGGTCCTGGCGGAGGCCAGGGGCAGTACAACTGCTGGAAGTTACCGCTGGAGTTGGGGGTGTCCTGTAGCAGGATGATCCGGGTCAGAGTCGCTGTCCACACCTCCAGGCTAACTTTCTGCAGACATAGGACAGACCACTGTGCTCTGTCTGGCAAGCACTCGTAACAATGAATAGCAATGCATTGACTCACTGGCACAAGCTCGTATTTTTCTGCATGTCTTGCCAGCGAGACAGATCTGACATCCAATCGAGCACCCCATAGTCGGCCCGAAATGCACAAGATTTGCGGACACTGCTATGCAGTGTGCCGAGGTTCTCACCATGAAATATCTTCGCAGGTCATGCTTCAAAGAGTCGAGCCCCAAAACTCAAATAAAGACCTTCCGCTTCAGGCTGTTGCCTTCTGATTTTTGTGCGCTTTGGGCTTCCTCACCGCCTTTGCTTTAGGCTTCACGGGTTTCACGGGTTTCCCGGGTTTCGTCTTAGCTCCTGCCAAACTCCCCGTTGTGGAAGGCGCAGCTTTCATAGACCTGTTGGACAAGGCAGGGCCACACATCATGAGCCCCATACGACATGTGTATAGAATTTAAGACTACGGCCTGGCTCTCACTGCCAAGTTATTCAGCCCGACATCCAGGCGTGTGCATTCTGCAAATGCAGCCAATAGGATCTTCGGCATCTCTGGCCTCCAAGGCACATAAACGAGCAAATCGTTGATGATTTTGAGAGACAAGAGGACATGAAGGCTTCGATCTTATTTAAGACACCTCGTCGTAGTTGCCGTTGCAACCTCCTCTTGCAATGACTGCAAGTGCTCGTATTGCTTCCTGACCTTGTCCAGCTGTGCACCAAGATCCCCAGCTAGCCTAGGCGAGTCAAGCCAGCTGATGGAAAATATGAATTCATTAACTTATCTATCGTGACTTCATACGCAGGATCTCGATTTTAGCCACGGTTCTTCGCAGCTCTTGGGTTCGTGTTGGAAGTCAACTTGTCCTTATGCATAGCATACAAAGCTAGCTACAAGCAGGATGAGCCAGTTAAAAGTGGGTGAATGAGCAAAGGCCCAGGCCAACTCCGTCTCCGTAGCATCAACCTTCCTGCCGCAAACCTCGATGAATACTGGCAGAAGGGCAAAGGGGGAGCTGTTCTGCTGGATGGTCGGATAAGAGATCCTCAGGCGAACAAGCACAAGACCAGGATTCTGAAATCCACATTAGATATCATCTCAAGCAGACCCCATGGGTTGCCGAGCAGGGGCTTGAAGGAGCCTGCTCCCCGCACTTCGGCCTGAGGCGAAGGACCGCTCTCCTTTGCCAAAGAGTCCACCAGGGCACTGTGGGAGGAGGTCTCGAGCTCAGGGATGCCCCCACCCTCGAAGAGCATCCCATTCGGGTCCTACATAGTGGCGTCAGCTTTTGTGTATGATGTGTTGGACATGCACAATCATAAGAGTGAGTGTGTCTGTGTGTATGTGTATGTCTGTGGGTGCTTGTGCGCACGTACACTGCATGCTATGTAGTTATCAGTCCACATAGAGGTAAAGGTCCTCCATCTCCAGGTCCCCCTCGATTGCAGTCGTGTCGCCTTCCTCTTCCATCCAAACGAAGGTGTCTTTCAATACCAGTTTGATTTCCTCCTCTTTGTGGATAGGATTCACCCGCTTGCGGCCCGGCTGCTCATCCGCCCATTTCCAGGCGTTCTCCACCATCTTCCTATGTAGTGCATGCACTTAAGCACCCTGAGACCCTATACTATCCCCAGCAAACATCGACATTTGCACTTCAAGCACAATGACACATGAGGCCGCGATGCGGAGATCAAAGCTTGGGCGAGGCAGAGGCTGGGAAGGGGATATATACAAGGGCGATTGTATGAGAGGATGATTGGGTATTTGAGGCTCGCACTTGGTCCACTTGCCTTCCGTGAGGAGGTAGTGCTTTGTGTACCATCCTCCTTCCTTTTGCAATCTGCGCATCTTTGTGCGCCACTGCTTGATCTTCATCTCGACCGTTTCGAACTGTCCGTGCTTCAACAGAAGCTCTCTGAGCTTCTTTCCTAAGTCATTGGAAAGAGGGCAGATCTCATAATACATCTCCGGTGAAGGTGGCTAGCTTGCAAACGAGGCACGCCCATCATCGGTCTTCCACATGGACAGTGCATCCGGGGAAGCGGTGATTTTCCCACTGGCTTTTGGCCGGAAATAGCGGTACATCCTGGGCTGCACAAGTGTCGGATTATGCGCATGCACGGAACGAACAAAGCGGAGCTACTAGGTACCAGCTTCAGGACATGACCACATGTGGAATAATCTTGCCATTAACACCCAGTTGGCTGGAATGGGTGGCTGGGTCTGCCCTTAACAAAAACCCAACCCCCCAATTAAAAACCGTTCCCCACCAAAGCCAAAGCCCAACCCAACCTCCAAATCCCACCACCCTCAACGCCCCTTTCTCACTCACCGGTGAAGCAGCTGTGTTGGGTGGGATTGCATGATATATTGCCAGCATTCAGTGAGGGCATGTGCGCATGCATATGTGGACAAACCTATAAATAAGCCCAAGCTCTTCCACCATGTCTTATCCTTGGCCTCCTTGCATCGTCCTGTGGCTTGCGACGCTTGCGAGGCTGTGGGTGCCTCACTCTCCTCTTGCTGTTCCTTTTCCTCAGAAACCGACCGATGTTGCGCAGCCAACCCAGTTGGGGATGACGGGTTGGGCTTGCATCGGCTGCTTCGGGATCTGGATCTTTTCGATCGCTTGCTGGCACGAGAAACATGTGACATGGCACGTCTGGGGCGGGATTTGGTGCTTCGGCGGCGGCTGTGCCACTCGGGGGTCTGGGCGTCTCGTCCGTCATCCACGGCCAGGGTGGTTCGTGACAAAGATAGCGCAGGGAAGGAGCCGGCAACGTGAGCACCATCTCCCACTGGCATGACAGGAGCACCTCACGTGATCGAAAAATCAACAGCTATGAAAATCGTAAGTGCCACAACAGGCAATTGCAAAGGATTTGTATACACGCACGGTAGTCATGCAATGCCGTGCAATATCAAGCTGCCACGAAGGTTGGGGCTCAATGGCTCCGGTGCCGCGGATGCCTTGCGCTGGGCGAGGCTGGCCTGGAGTCGCTTGATCCGTTCTTGTGAAGCCTGAGATCACTATATGCAGCTAGTATACAACATGCACTGATGTCCAACTGCACACATATATGGCAGCCAGAGCACGGCGATCTGGGCATCGATGTCCAAAGTCCCGGACATGGTGCCGACGTTTGCTGTCAGCAGGGGCACACCCTCTGCTAAAGTAGTACAAGACAAAAGACGGGACATCCCAAGAGGCCCTACCTGAAAGCAGCAGCAGCAGCACAGTCATGGGAGTGCAGGTATATGCACAAGAAATGAACCCCCGCACCCGAATGCCCTTATAAAGAAATCATATATAAACCCGCGAAACCTATCTATGAGACTCCAAGACAGCCCTCTTTGTGAGAAGCGCACGCTAAACGAACGTAGTGCAACCAGCAATTCGGGCAGTTCTTGGATTTGCGCCCGGTTGCGTTTATTTGCGCCCGAGTAGCGGATAATTGCGCCCGAGTTGCGGGTTGCGTTTCTGCACGCTTTTTTGTGCTGGATCGTACCCATGGGAAAGCGTACGTAAAAGCTCTGGTTGAGCTTATAAGCTCCAATCTAAAGCTCCTTTACGGCTGCCAGACGAGCTGCACTAGGGCCCTGGGACCTATCCCCTGCTATAAAATAAATATCTCGACCGAGTCACCCCTAAACCCACCTGGCAGCCAAGCTCCGAATTAAGAATTCAGGCACGAATTGCAGGGTGCAGCTTCCAGCTAAGTCTCCCGATCGCGTTAGGATTCCGAAGCCACCTCGAATAAGTATTCATACGCTCCTACACAGGTTGCACGACTAATGATAAACCAAGCAGCTTTTGCACGAAGTTCTTCTTTGAACGCCTGCATGCTCAGCTGGAACTCGGCAGGTATCCTGCCATCAGTCATGCACACCAACATGGAGCTTGTGCCAGGACTGATTCTGTATATGACTTCAGCAGGCAGTGCTCCTGACATGTTTGCACGACCAGAGATATTCAAAAACATCATGCATACCAGAATCCATCCAAATATCTCCGCACGGTAGTTCCTGGCTCCGTTTGTGAGCACGGCTTTGTCGCCAGAGCGATAGAGCATTTAGGAGTACATATTATATGCGTGGCTTGTCTACATTCATCGGTTCCGGGCCTCAAACAGCTGAGCAGATGTCTTTCTCTGATCGACAGGGATAGCAAAACGGAGTGGCGCCAGAGTTTCTCCAGCTAGTGCGGCCTGGTACACCTTGTGTAGTTGCACCCCAAAACCATTTGGGTATGACCTTAGTTGCGACTAGACAATGCTATGATTCAAGCTATGGTCGACATCCGAAACCAGGGCCCCCAAATCGCCAGATGCAGTTTCGAAGCTGGGTGGATTTTAGCTGCTTCGTACCATGCCAGCGACGCTGACCTTTGTCATCCACATAGCCTCCTTAGATAAGTAGCAATCAAGTTGTAGCTCATGAGCGATCCCCTGACATGACGATATACCTAGAGGCTCATACCCTACCCCTTTTTTGGGATACCTATATAGTTTTATGGTTAGGATCTAGTATCTTAAAAAGTAGGCGCCCTAAAAAAGGGGTAGGGTATGAGCCTCTAGGTACCATGCAGCCTAGAAGCGACGTGTCTTGATTGTTGCGGTTTGCCTTTTTGCTTTCCGAAGGGGTCCCTTGTTCAGCAATCCAATAGTTTGCAGATTGCTCGCCACAATGGTCGGTTTGGGGCAGGAGGCTCCGAGCAGCTGCATCCAGAATCTGATGGAGAACACCTTGGCTTTTACATCAAGGAGATCAAAAGGCAGGGGAGGGATTGGACCCACAGTTCCTGGATTCGATCGCTGCATACTTGTAATTGCTGCACAGAATCATAACAGATACGATTGGAAAGCAACTGCCAGCGCTCATGCATGAACATGAGTGATTGTGCTGGTTGTTCCACAGCAAAGAAGGCATTCTTCGCCAACACCAGCAGGATCAGTAAGACCATCCTCGGCAGCCAGAGGGCATGTTCAGGGGAATGGATAGGCGAAATTCTGTAGATGCAACCATAGGCTCCGTGAAACACATTGGTTCGCTTCAGCCACATAGGCATAGGCTTGGTGCCCGTGGGGGTTAACAACACTTCGCTTGGAAGTGCCGCGGTTCGGGGCACCCCAAGAACCACACCATGGCGCCATCAGAACCAAGCCTTCTGGCACTAGATTCAGGACTGCGTACACGCATAGCCTGCTCAAGCGAAACCGAACATCATGCAATGTTCCCCCGCAGGCACACACACACATGAAATTTCGAGAGTACCAAGAAGCAAGAAGCCGGAGGACTTCATGAAGTTCATAGCTTTCTGGCTGTAGGCCACGTCAAAGTTGGAGACTCGGTATCCATATCTGGACCTGTGCAGGCGACTTCTTGAATTTGCTATTTTGCGGGCCCAGGGGTTTTTATTCTATATGCCAGCGAAATGCATTCGTCGGCTGACTCGGGCTTTGCCACTGAAGCATTCGAAGAATTGAAAGTCACGACCCCATTCAAGTCGGGTGTCCCAGCCCAGCAAGAGAACCTCGGTTTGGGAAGATGATCTGGGGTAGCGGTAGTAGTTAATTTTGGGTTCGGGATTTCTGCATGGGTTATAGTATACCTGCACTGCGACAAATAGAAGAAGTGGCAACAACAAAAGTGGCGGTGGTGGTGGCAGTGGGTGTGGTCCTTGTGTATAGTCGTTGTAGTATATATAGTAGGAGTAGTATAGTAGTCGTCGTAGTAGTAGTAATAGTAGTAGAAGTAGTAGTACTAGTAGTAGTAGTAGTAGTAGTAGTAGTAGTAGTAGTAGTAGTAGTAGTAGTAGTAGTAGTAGTAGTAGTAGTAGTAGTAGTAGTAGTAGTAGTAGTAGTAGTAGTAGTAATTGTCGCAACAGTAGAAGTAGCGGCAGTTGTTGTGGCAGCAGCAGCAGCAGCAGCAGCAGCAGCAGCAGAGTAGTCGTGGCAGCAACATCAGCGGCAACAGGAGAAGTAGTAGTAATCGTATAGTTGCAGCAGCAGGAGCAGCAGCAGCGACAACCAATATTGTATACAATGACACTTAGTAGTCGCCGTGGTGGTGGTGGCGGTGGTGGCGGTAGTGGAGGTGGTGGTGGTGCTGGTTGAGGTAGTTGTGGTGGCAGCGAGGGCAGCCGTCGCTATCGACCGAATTGGACTAGCGGCAACTTTTTAACAGCCTTCTTGCTAAGCTTATTTCAAGTTCATCGTTGCTCTGGTGGCAGCAGCCGCACAAGAAGTGTAGAATTTAGGGTTAGAGTTTCGGGTTTGGGGGAGCAGCAACACCAGTAGCAGCATGCAATGCAGAGTAGCAGAAGCCGCCTTTGTCACGGTCAACTAGATTTAGTACAGACCTATCCAGAACACATACATAAAGAACGAATGACGACTGTGCACCTACATTTCGTATCGCATAATATAAGACTCCGGCCACTGCTATGAAGACCTGCAAGCAACGATCAGTCATGTTATATGACTCGCACAGGCATCACTACATGGTTTCCGTGATCCCGCCTTCGGGGCCTGCACTTGGAGCAGACGAGGCAGGATGGAATCATGGCGAGAACACTCCATGGCAAAGGCTTGTAGCTTATAAAGCGACCCTGCTCTAGTGCCTAAGGTACTCGATACAAGTGACTAGGAATGGTCTACCGGAGTGCACATGCTTGCATACAGGACGATGTGCACGAAACCAGAGTGGAAGCGAAGAACATGCAGTTTCGAAACACACACACACTACAGCATCGCATCGTACCACTGAAATGCACCGGGCCTCGGATGCTCGCCCGCACCGCCCAGCCCTCGACTCGACGTCGACGGGGCATGATGAGGGAATGGCACACCTGGCGCGATGCATGATTTAGAAGGTTATACAATGGGGGGGATGTAGAGAGCGACCACTGCAAGAGGCCGCAAAACAATAATTTTTTGCATCTCATCCTTCGTCTCATGCTTCACCCACCCTCCAGCAACGCTGGCAGAACACCCTGGCCTTGGCAGGCTTGTCTGTCAAACTAAGACAGCACACTATGCCCGCCGTCAGCACAAGGATACCCCTGTGCATCGCGAGTGCATGCACACCTGCCCGGAAGCATCGATCTGAGCTTGCAGATGTAATTCCAGTACGTAAGTTCAATATAGCAACATCAGAATTTCTCAATACACGGGATAGGTTTCAAACTCAGATCTTTGCTAAAGTGAACTTCGAAGCACGGTTGGCTTCTCGATCAGATCTGGCATCCATTCTGGATCAGTCCTGTTCCCCGTATGCCTCGGAACATGCATGGTACTTCTATCGCTTGACATATGCGTGGCAAACAACTGCATTGAGTGTCGCGAAATCATGAATGTACTGAATTGTTCAGACTCCAAGTGCCTTCTTCGCAGCTGCCTTTGCTTCCTCAGCGCTCTTTCCCTGAGCAAGAGCCTGCGCCCTGGCTTTGTGGTATGCGCATGATTTCCGAGACAACTTCTTCTTGTGCTCAGTGGCCGTGGAATCCCCCTGGTCATCGTCTGGCTTTGCTCGCTTCTTGCTTTCGTGGGGGGCCTTGGGGCTGGCTTTCGGATTCTTCGGCTTCTTGGGCTCCTCATCGTCATCATCTGGATTTGGGCGCTTCTTGCTCTTCTTGGGGGCCTGGGGGCTGGCTTTCGGATTCTTCGGCTTCTTGGGCTCATCGTGGTCATCATCTGGCTTTGGGTGCTTCTTGCTCTCCTTGCTGGCCTTGGGGCTTTTTTTGGGATTCGCTGGCTCCTTGGGATCGTGGTCATCACCCTCTGGCTTTGGCTGCTTCTTGTTCTGCTTGGGGGCCTTGGGGCTTGTTTTGGCTTTGGCTTTTGCAGCGGCGCCGGCCTTGGTCGATTTCTTCGGCTCCGTTTCCGGGTCCTCAGCGGGGCCTTCTGACTCGCATCCTTCCTGCATATCCTCCTGCTCCTCCTCTGCTGCCTTGCCTGCTCGTGGCTTGCTCTTGGCTTTCGCCTTGGCTTTCCCAGTAGCCTTCGCCTTCGGCTTTGCAGCCGACTTCGCTGTTGCTTTGGCCTTGGGCTCAGGCTTGGTAGTTGTGGTGGTCTTGGGCCCTGTTGCTTTGATGCTTCCTGATCCCTTCTTACCTGTGACCCTCTGCTTTCCTGGCGGAGTGTCTGTAGAAGCACATGCATCTGGATGTGGAGCATCTGAATCATATTCATCATCATCTTCATCCGCCTTGTTCTTTCGGGGTCTCCCAGGCCTCCCCCTGCCCTTCCCGGACCCACCCCGACCACGGCCCTTCCCCTTCCCCTTCCCCTTCCTGGGCGGCGCTGCCGCCTCAGCCGCTGACTTCTGCTCAGCCGGAGACACGCAAGGCACGATTGCCAAATCCTTTGGCACCGCGGGCTCATCATCCTGCGGCGATTGTTTATAATAGTAGATCTACACGCATGCACATGCATGTATGGATGTAGCGACATGCACAATATGGACGATCCTCTTTCTTCTTCTCAGTCATTGCCCCACTGCTCAATCTCTCAAGTGCAACTGAATTTTGATCGTTCTTCTCTTGCATCTTGGCTGCGCGGGCCAGGGCATCACCTTCCTCGAGACTCAGCGGCTGGGTCTCCTGCTGATCCGTACCTCAGGCACGGAGGGATCTATACTACAGGCTTTGTGGGTGCCTCGAATCAAGCGCAGAGTGATCTAATTATATAAATATGCCCAGTGACTGGCTGCATTTTTTTGCTTTTGGAGGTTCATCAAATACTCTCGTTCCTTCTCTAGTGCAGCCAACACCATTAGCTCTGCCATCTCGTCCTCAGCAGCCTTGAGCTCTTGCTCGAGATCACGTGCCGTGTGGTCTTCATGCATATCTGGGGGGGGCTTCGCTTCGGCTTTGGTCACAGAGGGCGATGGGAGAGTCTTGCATCGCGGCTCGGGAGTTCGAGGAGCCTGCGGAGTTGGCTTTCTGAAAACAAAGCCTCCGAGAACTGCACACTTGTCGGCTCCAGCTGGGGCTTGGCTCGGGCGGGGAGCTTGCTTTGTTTTTGGGGCTCCATTCTGCCGAGCACCTGCGCTTGGCTCTGGGATTTCCGTTCGGGCAGCTTGCGGGGGCTTCGGGACGGGGCTTGCGACACTGTGCTTAGAAAGGTCTTCCGCGGGCGCAGACGGCGTAGGAGAAGGTTTCGGGGATCGCCCAGATAGCCCAAGCTTCTCCTTCGGAAGCACAGGAACTGTAGGCGTGGGACCTTTCAAGGGCTGGGATGGATCCTTCAACGGTTTCTCTTCATTTGAATAGCTCCACACACAGAAGGCCATGTCACAATGCTCCTGTCTGAAAGCCGTTGCATCATTAGACAGGCAGGGGCAATTTTGGCACATATACCCAGCTTTGACTACCTTGTGATTCGTCGTACCGTTCATGCATTCAATCGACTCGAAGCCAGCTTCTGAACGGCAAACAACTCGGCATACAGTACAAACGGTGCCGCACTTCAGGATGTGATGCGGAGTGCGTCGCCGAAGCTGCTCTGACTCTTTCTCGGTAGACTCAGGAGATTTGCAACCTAGCAGGGCATTCGAATCGAACATCCAAAACACCACCTGCATATATTAAGCCGAAAGACCCTGCTTGGGTGGAGGCGTGCAAACAGCTGCTGCGCTGGCAACTTCCGCTGCTGCAGTCACCAGTGCCGTTGAGGCCATCGGAGTTGCTGGGCCTGTCTCGGGAGCACCTGGGAAACATCCGCTAGATACGACTCATACTCGCATATATGCAATTGCAAAATTCTGAAACCATTTCGACACAGAGCCAGGTGGGATCTTCGGAGGGCCCTTCGGAGCTTCACCAGCAATGACAGTCGACGTAGAGTCTGTAGCACGGGTCTCCTTACGAAGATATTCCAAAGGGGCGCAATGCTGGCTATGCGTCACAAATATTTTAGGTATGCCCCCAATCCTTCAGGGACTCCGCAGACTCAACCTCAACGATAGGATCATCCTCCATGTCAGATTCTTCGCCATTCTCTTCGGTACCATATTCATCATCACCGTCTGTGGCGAAATCAGTATCAGTATCACCAGCGGAGTGCATTCCTTATATCAGACTCGTAACAATAACTTGAGATGCTTCTTATCGCATGGCACACAACATGCTATTCAGATCAGGTTCCGGAGTCTCCATCAGACATGCCAAGCCCATCGCTCATGAGCCGTCGGATTTCTGCAGAGCGGGGTCGGTGGGGCCGCTTAGCCACACGGGAAAAGAAAGAAACGCATCTTCTCAATATCCATGCTTCCTTGTTGATGTAGTTTCCTGAAGGGTGCAGACATATGGCATATTGCACATATCAAGCATGCTTGTGGTTTCACTAGCAAGTCGGCACCTGTGAAGGCAGGTTTGCCCCGGGGCCGTGAGTTGTGGAGGAAACGGCCGACCAAATCCTCCATAACCTCGATGCTTGGCCGTGTGCCTGAGCGAAGCCAGTTTTTTCAAGCGGTCGAACTACCCTACCGAATGGTGTTTGCAACATATTAAACCAAGATTCCATAATGGCTGACAACGAATTGCAAAAGTGCAGAGTTGTCTTCGATGGTTTGGCGAGTTATCCCCGCCGACATCTTGAGAATAATCTTCCCCTTGGCTGCCCGATCCTCTAAACCTCGAACAGTCTTCCACCCCGCAATCACAGCATCTTCAGCTTCCTTGAAAGCCGTATTGGCTTCACGAGGTGCTTGATCAGCTGCTTCAGCCATCCCTAAAACTCGCTCAGATCTTTCAAACCGAAATGGCTTAGAAACAGGTCGTGGAGTCTTGAATATACTCTATGCAAGTACAGAGCTTCACAGGCAAACCCGAAAGCGAGCCAGTCCAACACGGCAGGTGAGCCATCGGACTCCATCGAGTCGCAGACCTTCCAGGGCCACATACAACCGTGCACAAGCACGCCCGCGCACGATACCTCACCAGTCCCCCAGCCTCCACGGCACGGGCGAAAGGAATGCCATCGGGGTGGGGTTTACGAGCTATATATGGGCTTATTGTAGGGTCATGCAGAACCGACTAATGGATTATGCATGCTTTGGGCAACCTGCACTTGTATTGACATTGCCAGCTCATGAATCAAGCGGGATGCACTTTGCCCGGAGCTTGAGATATCCGGAGGCGGAAGGGTCCGGGTTTCGCAATGGGATGGCAGGGCTCAGCCTACGGTTCGATATAGTTGAATTCTTATTTAAGAGTTATCGTAGGTCGATATAGGGTAGGGAGGTCAACCGATAAAGAGCCCATATGTTAAAAGCGCACGTTATTTTAGAAAAGCGCACGGGTCTAATAATTGCGCCCGCTGTTGCTTTTGCGCCCGAGATCTCGAAAAGTTAACGGAACAGGGGTCGAACACATATTTGTGTAACGAATGGTTCTCCAGGTTATTTATTTATATTTATATGTATAGACTACCCTATAGAATACCTTCCTAAATGTGGGCTACAGAATACCTTTTGCACAATAAGCTTTACGAAGTACCACGGCTTCTGTTCACAGTGGAGTCATAACGTATGTATTTATATATATATATATATATATATATATATATATGTGTGTGTGTGTGTATATATATATATGTAATATGGTCAGCCCCCCCAGATCTACACCCGCCTCTTCCACACGACTGCGCAGGTTGCTTCTCTACATTGGTCCACTGCTTATACATGCCGAAAACACAGTAAAAAGCCATGCAATCGTGCTTTTCGCCATGTGCATACAATACATGTCGCGGGTTCGATGTTTGCCTCAATCTGGCGCCGAATCTCGGCCGCAGATTCATGATAATTTACGTGTTGGAGCAGCTGAAATGCTGGAGTGTGTGCTACTTTTGTTCGTGTAGTACCAAAGAATCTCCTTTTTTATTTAACAACATTCCTCTTGCAACAAAAATGCTATATACTGTCTTACGAAGAAGTCTGTGTGCGTGGGTCATCTCTTGCTCGCTGCTCGTGAAGCATCCGATTCTGAAAAGGCCTACTTAATGGCTCTAAGAAAGAGAGAGGGGACCCCTCCATCTGTGCTAGAGAGAGAGAGAGAGAGAGAGAGAGAGAGAGAGAGAGAGAGAGAGAGAGAGAGAGAGAGAGAGAGAGAGAGAGAGAGAGAGAGAGAGAGAGAGAGAGAGAGGGAGAGAGAGAGAGAGAGAGCGAGGACGTGTCTCCTCTCCGACTGTGCTGAAGGAGAGAGAGAGAGAGAGAGAGAGAGAGAGCTCCTTTCGCCGCCGAGACATGGCCAGTGCACCATCGGCTTCTCAAAGCAGCAAATTCGCTCCAAATGCAGCAATTGCGGGGAATGCTTTTCCTGCACCGGCAGCCCACAGAGGCGTGGGCCAACTGGCACACTCGAAGCCTACGAGCAGCCAGAGTGCACTTACACCGCATGGGGGGCGAAAGATGGTCCACCTACATCCTGCGACGCATTTGGACACTTTGGGGGCACATGGCCCGCGGAGGGGAGGAAGTCAATGCAATGGTCACCTGGAAAAACCTTGCCTTCTGGCGGGAACAGCAGAGCAAACCGCGAAAGAAGAGAGTTACCCATGTGGGCCACTTCAACCCAGAGGCGGATGTAGAGAGAGCAATTGAGGCCATTGCAGGCACACACTGGGGGGAGATCGCACACGACCGACACAGATGGCACGACCTCACTCAAGCCTTCGTGACCCGCTATGATGTACCATGGGCCACTGGGAAGCAACAAGCAATACAAGACAACCTCCTGCCCAATGGGAGACGTGGCCCGCCCGGCCGGCGACTCACAGTTGAATGACGACCTTATCGGAGAAACTGTGGTCTCCGACATCAACAAAGGGGGGTGGGGGCGGCAACATACAGGGAGGAGCAACAACCTTTACTCCGTTAACAACCCTTCCAACTTCCCTTGCACACCAGCACAACCTGCTTCAACAACTACATGCCCACACCCTACAGCACCAGAGAGCGCAACCAAAAGAAGAGCAGCTGTCAGTTCGTTTTGCTGAGAGCAGTGCAGTCCTGTGCCAGTGTCGAGTGCAGCTCGCCTACGCACCCGCAGCCAGCACCTCGAGACGCAGCCCGGAAGGTAGCAATGGCGGCCTCAGAAGTGGAACAATGTTACATTTGTAACAGTGGGAATATGGGCCGCCACGTTGCCCACAACCGGCTTGCACCTGGCTGCAAGTACTATGGGGTGCCACAGGGGCGCCGAAAACCGCCAGCAGCGGGGGAGCCTTTACCGAGCGCAAGCACTACAGCCCTGCCTCCATCTACTGGGGGAGCGCCGGAGCCTGACACAGAGGATGATACTGAGGAAGAGTGCGCGAGCTCCACAAGTGAAAGTGGAGAGCCTGGTTCTGACCCACTCTGGGGGAATCATCAACAGCGGCGCTCGGCACGCACCTGGGTAACTAATCGTTACCAACCGCTCCTCGGCCAACAACTCTGGTGGGACAAGGCTGCAGGGATGCTGCATGTCCCGGGGGAGACTGTCAACCGGAGCACTATGCGACAGTTGGGGGAGGAACAAAGCGCGGAGCTGCTCAACAGGTTAGCCAACTTTGCCTACGAGACGATGATGATGCTCAAAGTTTTCGATGGGGAGGACATGAGGGAACAGATCGTGAACCAGCTCACGGACAACCCGCTCCTCGCCAAAGACCTCCATACGGCCTGCAAGATTAGGTTCCAAAGAGAGTTGGGACTGCCTTTCGCCGAAGTGAACCATGTCCTGCAGAGCACTGGCCGGGGGAGGGGCAGCGGCAGCAGCACGTCAGCGCCTGCTCCGCAACCTTCTCAGTCGGCGGAGCAATGTGCCCAAGGTGGGGAGGACGCTCCTTCGAACCAAGTGCCTCCACAACCACTTGCCAGCGGGGGAGGACAAGCTACACCCGACTGGACAGACCCAGCGCTGGATGTTGCTCCAAGAACGCCGGATCCAGATTGGAATGACCCAACGGGGGAAGTGGCACCTTCGACACCTGACTTGCCTGTTCCTGTGGTGAACAGCCCTACAAGCCCAGCGGGGGACCTACACGGAATCCTCGACGATGAGTCTGCTGAAGAGGCGGGGGAAACAATGTGGCCGACCCGTGCAGCCATCGAAACTGTCTTCGGCAAAGTCTCCACAACCGACCTCAAGAGGATCTGTGGGGTCACCGTGGAGGGACACAAGGACAGTACCACGGCTGGTTCCAGCACGCACCCCGATGCTCGGGGAAGCAGGGAGCATGGCAGCGAAGAGGGGGCAGCGGCAGAGCAACTCTATTCGAGAGTTCTACAAGACATCAACGACGAGGCTGGAGTGGCAACCGTGGTCGTGGAAGAACATATGCCAGCCAACGTCGACAGCAGCAGTGCAAAGGCGGGGGAGAGCTTCGCGAAAAAGCTTAAAGAAGACAAGAAGACCAGGCAGTTTGTCGTACAAGGCAAAAGTCACTCGCACCAAGCACGTAGTCTACGTGTTACCAAACCAAAGAGCTCGGGGAGACAGACATCCAGTTCAACGCGGGGGACAGCTGGCATCGCCGACCAGTTCCTACGAGTAGCCATGGAAGCGGACACAGAAGAACGGAGTACGATGGAGGGGAAAAGTCGAAGAGCACATCCTGCCGGTGCTGCTCCCGATAAACCACCTCTCAAGCGCAAGAAGCACAGTGGCAAGAGGGGGAGCGAACGCTTCCACGAGCCGCACGGTGGCGTCTGAGAGGGAAGTTGTGTGCTCAATTGAGCCGAACCGGGGGAAGCCCTACCGGTGCAGAGTACCGCTGGGTCTTAAACATGTTGTTTTACTGCAAACCCTGAGTTCTTACATGTTGCACCGGGCCGGGACCTCAGTTTTTCACTTGCACCAGCTCCACTTTCTAATGAGCAAATTGGCGGAGATTGTCTGCGCTTGTTGTGTGCTGTAGAGGGTTTTTAGATTGCTGTTATGGGGGCGAACATCTCCGCCGCGATTGCAAGAGGCGACAAAAATGTCACCAGAACTGTACCCCTAGACAAACAATGACCGGGGGCACCCTTTTCTTCCCGTACAGCCGAGCCCTCTGGGGTCGAAATGCCCTGGGGGGGTTGTTGTCCCGCCAAGTGCTGCGGGTGTGCGGACCGCACGGGGAAGGGCCAGGACGCTGCCCTTCTCTCCTACCCGGAAGAGAGAGAGAGAGAGAGAGAGAGAGCTCCTTTCCTTTCTTTCCATTGTACATAAGGAATCCGAATGCACGAGCGCTTGTATTTTGAATCCCTACTCCGCTAGCTGTTCTTTGCCTCATACGAAATGGGAATCTCCTCTGGAGTTGAAAGTTTCATGTGCATATGAGGGCGCACAAGAAGGCTCCTGGGCAGCAAGAATGAAGATAGCTCTTTTAAACTTTCCAAACATGAAGCAGGACTAAATACGGCTGGCTGTCATGATACGTATCAATCTGAACCTAGTAAACCAAACCGAGATGGCACTTCATGGAAGGAAGCTTCTCATTTATCTTGTGGCACGATACTGAAAGCAGCCATGTACATAGCAATCGCTATTTATTGGTTTTTGGGATACAAGACGAATTAAAAAGGACCGGGCCGTCCTCATACCTAGCAGCCAAGAAGCATACAAACCGTTGCTGCCAACAATTCCAAAATTCTGGCATCTATGGCATCTATGGCCGATGGCAGATTCCTTCAAAATCTTGAAATTCTCTTAGCTCTACAATGTTTCGTGAGTTTGAGGGCTGGGTAAAGTTGAGTTTTTATGAGCATTAGAGTGTATCTTGGCATTACCTCACAAAACACAGTAATGCTTAGAGAAAATCAAGTTTCCACAGCCTCAAAGCACACGAAACTTGAGCATTACCGTGTTTCGTAGCCTGAACCGCACAAAACACGGTAATGCTCAAGAAAATCAATCTTGCACAGCCTCAAAGTTCACGAAAGTTGAGCATTACAGTGTTTCGTGGCCTGAACCTCACAAAGCACTGCAATGCAAAAAGCACAAAGCATTGTAATGCTCAAAAAACTCGAAATTGTCCAACTCTGAAACCAACGAAACACTGTAATGCTCAACAAATTCCAAAAAATCTGGCATCTATGGCCAGGCCGAAGGCAGATTCTTTAAAGTTTTGGAAGTTTTTGTGCACTACAGTGTTTCGTGAGCTTCAGGGCTGGGAAAAGTTGCTGATTTTTGAGCATTACAGTGTTTCGTGGCCTGAACATCGCAAAACATTGCAATGCTCAAAAAGACAAAATTCTCACAGCTGCAAAGCTCACGAAACTTGATCAGGTCAGTGTTTCGTAGCTTAGACTTCACAAAACACTGTGACTGCAATGCTCAAAAAAGTGCGAGCTTCCCAACCTCAAAACCGACGAAACACTGAAATGCTCAAAAAAATCCAACGTTTTGAAGGAATTTGCTACCGGCCTGGCCGTAGATGCCAGAATTTTGGACTTTCCGGATTTCTTGTGAGCATTACAGTGTTTCGTGACCGTAAGGGTTGGGAAGTTTGGAGTTCTTGAGCATTACAGTGTTTCGTGGCCGGAACTTCACACAACACTGCAATGCTCAAGAAACATCAAGTTTTCCGAACCTCAAGACTCACGCAACTTGAGCATAGCAGTGTTTCGTGGCCTAAACTTCGCAAAACACTGCAATGCTCAAAAACTTGCCAAATTTCAAGAAATCTGCCCTCGGCCTGGCCATAGATGCCAGACTTTGGGCGGGGGGAGAATATATCTGTATACATACATATATGTATATATATATATATATATATATATATATATATATATAAATTTTTCTGCGTGCGTGTGTGTGTGTATATATATATATATATATATGCACACATGCATACATGCATACATACATGCATGCATACAAAGATCCAGACATTGCCCCTCCCTTCCCTCAAACGGGCAGCTTGCACCACGAGGACCAGCGCCCTGACGCTGACGGGTTTGATCTTCATGCGCTGGTCCTTCGTTCGGGCCGCAGCTATCGCGGCTTTGCATCCCAGGAATTCTCCAGTTTCCTTCACGGCGCTTCTTAAGGTCATAGGCCCGATGGCATATTGAGTTTAGGTCGTGGCACATATCGATATATCATATATCATATATCATATATATGTATATATATACACACACACACATGTACATGTATATGTATAATATATGTATGTATGTATATTTATGTATATATATATACACATAAAAAACCGTATCATATCATACCACCTCATATCGTATCATGTCATCTCATATCATATCGAAGCAGATCATATCATCTCATATCACGACAGATCAAACCACATCGTATCACGTCACATCCTGTCTGTTTAGGATTCTACGATTTGCGTAGACATATTTGAGAATCCATCAACCACCTAGCCCCAAGGTGATTACGCCGGTGAATTACAGCCTCTTTGTCGCGCACCCAGCCGCAAGACAGCCTGAAAAGAGATGGATTGACATCGACACGATGTCACGAAGAGAGCAGACGAAAGATGATGACGGTTAGTGCTTTTGTCTGTTGCAATCGCAGGCTGTGAACTGTGCCTTGTCGTCGTCCTCTGGATACCTGCTGGCAAGGAAGGTGAAGGCACCTTGGGCCGCCTTGTGCCGGTCATGTCATCACCCTGCCGTGCATTTGCTCAGGCAGACTACTTCGACAAGTAGCAGACCTGATCTGCTGGCAGAAGTGTACACAAAAGCTGCGAAGAAGCAGCCTTCGGGGGTTCCCGACGAAAGTCCCCACTGAAAAGTGGCCAAGCTTAAGCAGAGCTGAGTCTCCGTTCCTTGGGGGGAAGATGGGAACCATCCCCCCAACAAAGCAGGAACCCTGATGAAGAAACTCCAAGGCTTCAAGATACCCCAAACGCTTATCGGATCCAGCTGGGGAACCCTATCAGGGTTAGGGCAATGGGTTTCTTCATCGAGTCCCTACATTGACTCTTTTCAATGTCTGGCTGTCCAGTTAGTCAATGAGAAATGCATGATGAGATGCGCGCTACCACGATCGCTTGCAAAGTTTCCACCGCAAAAAACGTTGGATTCACGCAGAAGCTCTTTAACACACTGTATGACGAGTAACCTACCATGCAAGTAAGTTGACCAGTTGACCGGAGCCCCAGGGTGCTGCACCCTTTGCAGAAATGCTTCAGTGTTAACGTCTATCTTTCCGCGAACATCCCTCAGCTCTGACGGCGAATGTGGGGAAAGCAAGGACAGCGATGATGGCAATGGCGATGACGATCATGGTGATGATGAGGAGGTGGTGCCCCCGACTCTCGCGCTTCAACCGGCGCAGACATGCTCGAAACGCGGGTGCGCGACGTGAGCTTGCTGCAAGAACCTGCAAACACCTTTCGTCTGCATACGACTGTTCCGCGCAGCGGTCTTCCTTGAAACGCGTCTGCGGCCAGCAGCTTGGGCCGACATCGGAGTGGAAGCCAAGCGGCGGCGGAAGCGACGGCATTTCGTCCGGCCGGGGCCGGGGCTGCTGCGGCTCGCTGCCCGAGCCGGACACGTCGACACGGCGGAATCGGAATCGCGCATAGGGGGCACCTATGCGCCACTGCAGAGGACGCGTCGGCCCGTCAGGCCGATTTTTCCTTTCCGGTCACGAGGGTGGCGCCGGCCCCGCGGCGCATATATGCTTCGCGCGGTGTCGTCACGGCGGCGGCCCGCCCGGCCCACCTGGCTCCTAGAGATGAAGGGGGGGGGGGGGGGCCCGGAGCGGCGTGGTGCTATCAGCCTGTGCTAAGCTGCGCGACAGGTTGGCCACACAAGCGCTGGCACCCGGCTGAGGCGCAGAACGCATGGAGGCGACACGCCCCCATCGTTGCGGCCCGTTGCTGTCCCTGCCCTGTTAGCCAACGCCTTCATCGTTGGAGTCCTCTGTGCAATGTTATTTCTGGATTTTCGGGACTGGGCTCAACAGCGATTCCAAGTTGCATCCCTTGCTGACAGCCGTGCCGCCCAAGGGCAGTACATCGCGGCCTCATGCACCGACGCAGCTGCCCAGACAGCTGTGCGTCGAGATGACGTAGCAGTTCCCCTCATGCCCGCCGCGCCAACCAGCGGCACGCAACCTGCATCGGTTGGACGTCTCAGACATTAATGCTGTCTTACAACATTTCGATGCGGAAAGGAATGCTGCCACAGTTTTGTCTGCGGCCGACCGGCGTCGCAGGTACTGCCGACCGCCGCAGGGGCCCAGGTAGACGAGGCGGGAGCGGCCGGAGCTCCGCGACTCCGCGGACTGAAACCGTCGTGGCCTCCACCCCAACAGCCGCAACCTCATCTGCGCGATGCTGCAGACGAGGCAGGAGCCGGGCTCGCTGCCCCCCACGAAGTTGTTCTGTCAGACGTTGTTCGGCAACGGGTTCTCACCGATTCTCACTTTGCAAACCGTTCTTACGAAGATCAGCGGAAGGAGCTCATGCAGGTCGGGCTCCGGGCGTTCTTTTCCGAGCTCAGCGGCGGGGGGAGCTCAAGGAGAGAGGCAGCGAAGGCGTGCTGGCCAGCGACAGCCAGGATGCCGGACCAGCGAGCGGTGATGGCCGACGGCCGCAACAGCCGTTGCAGTGCAGCGGGCCCGATGGTGTGCAAGCAGGCGCAGGAGCTGCTCGGCCTCACCACCAAACCGGCGGCCGCCCTCGATCCCGATGACCACAAGACAGCGGCTGGTAGGTGCTGTGCCGCTTGCGGCGTGCCGCATTTGTCACAGTAGAGCCCGGCTGGACGTCGGCGTGCCGGTGTGCCTCGCCTTGACGTGTGAGGGGGGAGACGACTGTGGCATCGATTGCGAGTTGGGATCCATGCCAAACCCAGCAGGGTCGAGGGTTCACAGATCACGCCAAAGTGATTAAGCGCGCAGTGTTGTCATATGCAAGAAGAAGAAAAACCAGAAGGTGCCACGGCGCAACAGAGGATTGGCGTTTGCGTGGTTTGAACATGCAGTGTTTTTTTCGCAGCTACTGCTGGCGGGTGTGAAGACTGTGGATGTGCGTGGCCATGCACTGAGACACCTCAACAACGCGGGTGCTGACGAAGACTTCTGGCTCGTAGAAACGCCTGGTCCAATTGCAAACGCCAGCTACCCCGAGCTTGACCGGAGCCCCGCGCCCGCCTCGGTGTTTTCGGGCTCGATCGAAGCCATTTTTGTCCGCTTACTGGCCCGGCACCTTTTTGGAGCTCCCCCTCCATTCGGAGCCTTGTGCTGCTGGCCCGCCTCCAGCTAGCTCTGCACAAGGTCCTTGCGCCATGCCCGCAGTTTGCACGGGGACTTGGACTGTCGTCTGAGTTGCAGTCGCAAACACGTGCGGAAGAAAAAAAGGCTAGCTTGAACTTGAATTCATGCGTGCCGGAAAACTAGATCTGTCAGCAAAGCCCTCTGCAACGCAGATCGTGGGCGTCATCCGCTTTCAGGAGGATCTGAAGTACACCAGCTCTGATCTTATCCAAAAGCCAGGCCAGCTCATTGCATGAGAAAATGATGTAAATTTGCTTGGTCGGACCGACCTTTGCTTGCAGTGGGAGCTTTGCGGTCGCCTGTGCCTGCGCCAGAAGGCAGGAGCCACACGGGATATGCAACACCCGTGGCATTTCAGGCAAGATTTCGCTGACTAGCGCGGCCAACATATCTTGCGCTGTGTGAAGTCGAACTTTTAGCGCCAATGATTGCAGTTACAGCGCATAATCTCACAGACCTAGACAGGTAACGTGCGCAACACACGGCCGCAGATGATTGTTTGCAGAGACCCCAAGCTCCGGATTCCTGTTCGTTTGCGTGCAGTGGCATAATATACCATTACAACAATGTTGAAGCTGGATTTCCTGATTTGGCATGTGCCTGCTTGCAGTACAAGGAGTGGTCCCGGCTGTCAGACCGCAAAATCTAGGTGATACAGTATACAGAGCCTTGCTTGCTTCTGGACCCACGCAGCGACAGCTTCAAGAGTTGCGGTGTGGCCATGGCCAGCAGGGTCGGGCTCTGCCGTAAGCCACGGTGTGTATGTGCAGCCATGCAACCGCTAACCCGTCTCAGCTCGCGTCGGCGGACATTGAACGTGAAAAGTGGTATCGGGCAAGCGGGCACTTTTAAAGCACAGGTTAACAGCGATGCAGAGCTTGACGAGTCGTCACTGGCGCAGCTGGCCTAGAATCTGCTGCAACCCCTGCACCGTTTATGATGTGTCCCAGCATGGCACCGAGGAGCTCAGCCTGACTCCTTGACCAAAATTCCTCTGAGCAACAGTCGGATGGTATATTGGTGCCGAATTGTGGGCCAGCAAGCTTCCCGAGGCAAACAGCTCGGAGCTTTAGGGCAGCACTGTCTGCGTGATGCTGGATGACTGCTTGCTGGAAACCATTCAGCTGGAAGTGCACCGCTTCATTGGCCAGTGGATTCTGGTTTGTCGCGGCGGCTAAATGATTGAGAACGCGCTTGCCATGTAGAAGGTAAGCGAAATGCTCGTAGTTCGCTCCCGACTTCAGAATGTTATGCACGCACCGTCCCTGCGACCCATGTCAGCAGCGAAGCGCACCGTCAAGCCATCCAAGTCATCTATGCAGTCCTTGTGGCGCGTGCACGGCTCCTGCGTGTAGATGCGCCAGTCCCGCTGCATTTGTGCCTGACGCACCCTCCTGATCTGCTTGACTTGCAGGCACATCGCCAGGGACACGACTCGAAACTTGTGCTGCAGGGCCAAAATCTCCTGTGGGAGCGCTGTGCGCCTCTTCCCTGCCACACGAAGGACGAGGTGAAGGCCACGCATGATGCAAGGTTGTCGTCCTCGCCATCGAGCTCAGTGGCCGCTGGAGCCCTGTGGCTGCCAAACCTTGTGAAATTCAAAAGATGCTCCGTGCGCGGGCCGCCCCGACTCCTCCCGCAGAGCCGTTTGTTGCTGTTGGTTATGAGCAGTGTTTGGGGAAGGAGTTCCAGTGACGATGCTATAATGAGAAGGAGGACTCAAACTATTGATATTGATTCTAACAGCATGAGGAACATCGTCTAGAGGATCGTACGTACTTTCCATGGGCCTGTCGAGCCCCCAGGCTCACCAAACCCCAATTCAAAACCCCCAAATCACACATCACTCAACTTTCACGTTCCGACTTGAGCCATCGGTGATGGCGTGTCATCCTTAGCAGGGGCCATGCATCCTGCGCATTGCACGGTACACCTGCACTCCTCCTCGCGGAATCTTCGCACAACGAGTGAGGATTGGGCGTCCCTCCGGGTGTGCCCACATTAGCAAGAACATGCAACCATCCAAAGCCGGACTATTCCTTAGACTATGGACGGTAATTATGGTTCGTTGTACACCAACCCATATCGAGGACCAGTGATCTGAACTCACAAAACATTGAGTTTCTCCCTTGAGCTTTCCAGCTTGACTCGTGAGAGAGTCTTCGTCAAACCATCGGCAGGAATCGGCTCCCCACTCATGTGTAGCATAGGAATGCCATCATTTCGAAGGTGAGCCCGCAAATACGAGCAGCGCATGCCAAAATGGCGCGTGCGGGTCGTCTGCACATACTCCGATCCCTTGGTCAGGTTGCCAACAGAAGCAGAGTTATCCCCGAACAGCTCCGTCTCCACACTTCGTTGGAGGAACTTATCCAGAAACAGCTTCACCTGCGTCCCGAGCTGATATGCCGTAGCAGCTGCTTCAACCTCGGCCTCGAAAGCCGAGTATGCAGTCAAGAATTGCCTCTGGGTGCGGCATGCAGTGACATGATCGCCAAACTTCACCACCACACCCGTTCTTGATCGCGATGCCACCGGAGCCAGAGATGCATCACCATATATCCCAAGCTTGGCCTTGTTGAGGTTGGTCCCAGCCTTGAAGAAAAGCACCTTATCCCTAGTCCCGGCTACGTACCTCCAGACATTCGTGGCAAGCTTATACGTCCTCCGAGGGCCCACCGTGCCCATGCAAGACAGTGCCCCAATTGTAGCAAGCAGATCCGGCCTACTCCGCAATCCCAGCCAGAAAAGGGAACCAACCTCCGACTGCGCACGATGCAAATCAGCACCGTACGCATCATCTCGAGGTGCCGGCTCCGTCTGTCCTTCCACGATCTCTGGCAGGTTACAAGCTCCTTTGAACGTCGCCCAGCCACGCCGCTCCAATTCCGTGTCTACCCAGGAATGCTGAAGCAATGCCACACCTTCTCCAGTGCGCTTGATCACCACCCCCAGAAACTGAAGCTCCTTTCGAACTGCTACTTGCTTGTCACCCACTTGGACCTTGGCCCCAATCTCCAACTCGTCACTTGGCAGAAAACCTTGGATCTTCAACTGCCAAATGCTCAAAAGAAGCTCCGCCAGAGCTTTGCACAACAAGGCCACGGGTCCCACAATCACGCCGTCATCAACGTACATGTCAAAGATCCCGCAAAAAGACTGTGGCTCCCCTTTCTTTCTGATGGCCCAAACTCCGGACGAAATTGGATCAAGAAAATACATCGCGCCTCCCTCGCCCGCGAAGGTCTTTCCATCCAGCTCTTCATTCCGGCAAGCCTCCCAAAGCTTTGGCCCTTTGCGCAATCCGTACAACAATCGGCGAAGCCTCCAAACCTTTGAAGGTTCCACCAATCCTTCCCGGGAAAGCACCTTTGGGGGCCTGACAAAAGTGTGCTCGTTGTCCATCTTCGCATTCAGAAACGCCGCCGTGATGTCCAACACCAGTCCCGTCCAGCTTGGATTGCCCGCAAGACAGGTTGCGCTCCACCTGATGTGCTCAATAAAAGGTTGGCGCTCGCATTATCTGGGTCATGACCAACAGTATTCTGCTCATAATTTCCGCACACCACTATCCGCGCTTTTGCCCTCCAAGTACTCAAGGGTTCGTTGATGTCCGCTTCAGCATCATCTTGAACAGGCTTCTTAGTCAGCACCACCTTGGACGGTAGCACCGTTGCGCCCGGCGGCACATCCGCCTCATCCCATTCCTCATAAATCTCCTTTGCGTAAAGCGTTTGCAGCTCAGAACTCAGTCCCTCATTCACCCACTTCAGCTTCTCATCCGCCGGCGTCTGAGGATCCGAAAGTACTCTCGCATCTATCGTGTCAATAACCAGCTGAGCAACCTTCACTTCCGCCTTGTTCATTTCTTGCTCAACCTCGTACGACAGGATCTTGTAGCGGTCTGCCTTGTCATCCGCCTTCGCCACCCGTTTTTTAGCCATGTGGTTCACAGGTGTTGGCTCCTCCTCAGAATGGTTTTCAGCCGAAGCGAATGCCACGAACGGAAACCCTTGCTCTGCATGTTGCCCTTGCTCACGCTCCTCTACCGTAAGCATTCCCAGGTCTACCCCAGTGTCTCGGACCACCTCGCCATCCCGGACTTGCCCTAGAGAGCTGACCCAGATCAAGTCACCCAGAGGCGTAACATGCGTTCTCCACTGTTCAGGCTTCTTATCAATCACAGCTGGCAAACGTGTTGTGATCAAATGCTCTTGGCCAGCACGGTTCACAAGCACCAAGGAACCCTGCACCACAGTGTCCGACTGGCACAAGAACTGGCCTGCTTCAACCTTAGGTCCGAAAGGCTCTGTGGTTTGAAGTTTGACAGCAACCAAGCAAGTCTCCAGGATCGGGAAGCTTGCCCTGGGGCCTGCAATTCAGCGTGGCATCCCTCTGTCTCCTCGCCGCTTCAGCCATCATACGAGGCCACATTTTCTTGTTCACATTTCACCGGATAGGAAAACTACGCGTTTTTTTTTTTTTCGCGGACTTTTTTCCGGCAGCCCAAAGTCACAAACGTAAGTGCCTACCAGGCCCTACGGAGGCGCACACGCCAAGGCACTGGCGAGGCCCCTGGCGGCTGCCAACAGGCGGAAGCTGCCACCTCACGTCGGCGAGGACCTCGTGCAGATCCGGCGGCACCCCGGCAACATTACACTCGCCCGCGAGCGGGAGCTCCAACAGGGAAGCTGCGACGGCGCGCTGTGCTGCGACTGCGGGGAGCCCCGACCAACGGGCAACCCACGCCGTTCGTGCGGCCGCCCGCATACCAGCCTGCACGTCGGAGGCACGCTGCCCGGCGAGCAACCGGAGCCAGGTGGCCGCTTCTGCACCAAACCGGCCCCCAACCTCGACACCAACTACCACCAAGCGGCAGCGACGAGCGCGCGCAAGCTCGGGGTAGGTCTGGTGACGCTTGCGTCGGGCGGCTGCATCGACCGCTCGCCCGGGTGCTCGTCTGCTCCAGGCTGCGCCGCACCCGCCCGCGTCACAGGGCTGACGATGGTGGCATCAACAGCCTGCTGCGAGCCGTGCCGCAACGACAACCCGTTCGCGACAACTTCGATGCGGCGGTCATCGGAGACCGGAACATCGAGGTTCATGTCTGCGAGGCGAACGTTGCGGGCGACCCGCGCGCCAGCTTCGTGGCACACTCTCGCCACCGCCCGCTCGAGAGGAAGGGCGCGAGACGCGAGCACGCCGGCATTCGCACATGCAGCCCTGTGGTGACCGAGCGGGTCCAGGCGACCGCGGCAGGCGCACGTGCGCGGCGCAACTGGCAGTGGCTTAAGCCGTCGTAACAGCAGGACGCGGAAGAGTGACGGCACCGTCAACTCAGCCGAGGTCGGGCAGACCGTAAAGGCGCGTGCAGCGTGTGGCCCGGCCTGCGACAGCAGCAGTGCTCGAGATGCGGCATCAGTGTGAGAAAGATGCACCTCAAGCGCGCGCTGGTCGCTGGCGCGGGCAGCACGATGCAGCCAGCCTCGCAGGAACTCCCCAAACTCGCGTTCCTCCTGCGCGGGCCGTGCCTGCAGCAGCGAGTCCCAGCTCTTTCTTTCATAATCCCACGACCCTTTCAGCTAGACCATTGGCTTGCGGATCAAACCCTGCAGTAGTAGTCTTATGCACCCCCAGAGCATTAATCCCCTCAACCACTTGCCGTGCCAGGAATTCGCGTGCTCGGTCGGAATGTGCACTCTCACCACCTGAGGTCGCTCACCGCACAATGCCGATGCCTGAGCTAAGATACTCTGCAGCGCAGAAAAAAAACCCACAACCTTCTCTTCAAAGGCCTCATGAAGTGAAGCTGCGTATGCTCGTCAATCCGAAACACAGCTACCAGCGCATACTTCGTACCATCATAGGCAGCCACATACGGTCCCGCGAGGTCGATCGAGAGGACTCCCTTGGAAATCTGATCAGCAGTAACTTTACGATGCGGGCGGCGCAATCCGCGAGCTTCGTAATCCTTCAACGTGGGTCCAGGACGCACAGTCGGAGCAGTCAGGTCAATCACTTCTTTCGCAGCGATTTCACAAGCCATGAACCCTTCTAGCTGCAAACCCTCCTCATCATCATCATCATCTGGGCTTTGCACGCTAGCCGCGCGTACACCCTGAAGATCCCAATCTCCAAAGTCCTGGGTTCCCTGCATGACATGCGTCACACCCTGGACAACATCACCCTCCAAAGGACCCTGAGCAATTTCGGTTGAGGGAAGCTCGGGAATGATGCTCTTGCATTCTGCTTCTAGCCTGCTGCCGCCTTGCTCGATGTTGTTTGCATTGCCTTCGCTGACTCCAACTCTGACTTGAGGCTTCTGCATTCTCTCATCATAAAATCCCAGTTCGCACAGCTCTCTCAGGACATCCGAGGACACGTTGGATGATGACCGCGCGGCGTGTAGTCAACCGCGACCCCTCGCACTCCTTGAAAAGGTTCTGTCCCATGCATGCGGACAGCAGCATTGAACCTCACGCATTTGTGAGATAGCTCGTGCACCCTTCCAGGTTTCTGCTGCCCCCCGTTGTCAATGTGCCGTATCGCAGTGTTGCCAAGTTCCCCCGGAAGCCCTTCAATCCAGAGTTGTCCACCCTGAAACCAGCTCAAACCCAGTACCACAGACTCTCGCTCCAAAGAGTTGCGATCCCGATGAGGCCGGAACACCAAGTTGATTGCCATACTCAGCGACAAAAACTCCAGGTCTGGTTCCTGCTGCCGCACTAACTTGCGGAGAAGTCTAACAAGCCATGGATGCCGACGGGTTTCTGAAGTCACTCCCAGCACCCCTCCATGAACAAACAATCCGACAGTCCACAAAGGCAACGTCTTGGCATCCTCGTTGTCGACTTGCTTCATCCTGTCTGTTCGCCTTTCAACTAAGCTAGCCAGCCGAACCGCGCTCCAAACCTCATCAAAGGTCACTGTGGACTTTGAGCACAGCTCCTCTGCTCTCTTCTCACCAGCATCTGTTACCGATGCCGCTGGGGCTGCTGCACTCTCCTCCTGAACCTTTCCCACTGCTTCCACTGTAGGCATGTAATCCCGGATTTGCAGAACACCATCTTCGATCTTTTTGACACGGGCATTCCCCTTACTCTTCCAGTCTCTCGCCAACAGCACTCTGATGGGTTTGAAGTCTTCCCAAGAAATGTATGGAAGCCCATTCTGCTCAAAGCAATGCACAGTCAGGGTCGTCTCTCCATCATGGTACATCGCCCGGGGCCCCAACTCATCCCAGACAAACGCTCCTCGAATCCCTCGCAATCGTCGTACGCTCAGAATCCGATCAGCGTCCTTGTCGGATTCCTCTTCTCCCACCATGAGTTCTCCGTCCCGGGTTCTCCAAGCATCTACCAGATCACCCGATGCTGGCGCAACATGGGTATGCTTGCATCTGGAGACCATAAACCCCTCAGGACGAGGTCTAATCACTTCGTTGGCACCTGAGTCAACCAGTACCCGCGGGCCGAAACAAGATCTCCCTGCAGCGACCGTCGGGGCTTCCTGATTCTAAGCCGCACTTGCCCTACTGGTTGAGGCCTGGGGCCCAGGAGATGACGCCTTTACAGATGGTGCCTTTTCCTTCGGAGTTGAGCTCGAAGCTGATTCTGAAGACGCCTTTGCCTTTGGAACCGAACTCGAGGCTGCTACTGAAGGAGGCTTCGGAACTGCAGTCGGGTATCCCGGGGGTGCCCGAACAGTAAGGGACTTCGCCGGTGGAGCGCCCTTGGGTTTAGCACTCTGGTCCCTAAGAGCCATAATCTCCGCACCCGAAAAATCCCGAAGTCCCCAACCCCTCCTAGCATCCTCCAACGTCCAACTCTCAACCCTTGGAGGGACCAAGCTCTCCGTCAGTGCAAGCATCTGCTCACGACCCGTGTCTTCATCCACAACATGAACCAGCACAACGGGCCTAAGCACACCGTCCTGATACATACTCAATGTCTGATGAGCTTCAACAATGTACTGATTCAACTCTATCTGAAGATCCTCAATCGGAAGTTGAAAATCCAGCTTTTCAAGAATCTGCCAGATGCCCACAGCAATCAAGTTCGGTCCGTTAACTTGCTGGAAAGGGGCATTGGCATGGGTCAACAGCTGAAAAGGCCCACTAGACAACAGAGCATACTCGGCTTCATGGAGAACCAAGTACCACAGCGGCGGTCTATTCTGATCCCTAGAATCGTCACTTTCAGGCTCACTTTCAATGTTGGTAGTTCCACTCGAATGTGCTGAGCCCGCTTCCGAAAGACCGCCACCGTTCGTGGAATCCTGATGAACATCTGTACTGTCGGGGCCTCTCGAGTCCACAACTCACATTTCATATTCTGCATAGCCGCACTGTTTTTGCACTGCTTTTCCTTGCACTTCCTTCCTTGCCACTGGCACACTGTTTTTGCACTGCCTTCCTTGCACTGCCCTGCCTTGCCCTACTTTGTACATTATTTTGCCCTATGCTGCTGGCCCTTCTGTGGCCACTCATACATGGGACTGCAGCAGGTCCTCGGTCCTTTTCTTCAGGCAAGACCTGACGCGACCGAGGACTCATGTACATGCTCCGATGCCTGGCACAAATGAGTCCGAGACAGGTAAAACTGTTGTTGATGGCATGGTTTGAGTTGCAACATGAGTGCATGTGGGCACTCGGCTCTGTAGGATAACAAATCTTCCTGCAATCATGTATTTAAAGTAAACGTAAAATTAGTGACATCCCTACTTGATTGACGGCAGTAGAGCAGCCACTGGGCAGACAAGAAACAATCAAGAACCCCGAAAGAAGAAACAAGGTCGTGAGCCTCCGGGGCAGGCCATACGTAGGAGCTGTTGTTTCTTCAGTCGTCGTGGTGTGGAAAAGGCCGTCTTGTAAAGACTAAGGTAGGAGTGGCATGTCGCTTGCATGTTTTTGCAGTTGTCGTACATGTGCAGTGCGGGCAGACAGTCGGCACACTTGTGCAGTGCGGGCAGACAGTCGGCATACCTGTGCAGTGCGGGCAGAGAGCCGGCATACCTGTGCAGTGCGGACAGATGGTCACCGATGACGTGGCTCAAGATGCACAAATCAATCGGACCAAGGGTTTTGGGTTTTGGGGCTGGGGCCTTGAGGCCTCTGAGGGATGCACGGGGATTATAATCATTTGGACGATCTTCCTTTTAGCATTCGTCAGACTTTGGCCGGTTATCGTGACCAGGCATCGTCGGAGTCCGCTCAGATGGACACTGATTTCAGTTCAGGTGTGCGGGCTAGTAATTCTCCATTGACTCCCGAGTTTCAACATCAACAGCAGCAGCCTCAGCAGCATTCACTTGAGTTGGCTACCATTCGGCATCCTGGAGCTCCCATTGCAACTCCGGCATCAGAAGATTATGCTCACATCTTTCAACAGGTGATGAGCCCAAACGTGGCTCCGGGCTCCACTGGCTCCCTTGCGGGAAATCAGGCGACAGTCTTTGCTTCAATGGCCCAGTGGAACATTCGGTTCCCAGCAGAGGCTTTGCAGAGTTATCACATTCGCCAGCCGTTGGACGAAACCGTTCAGGATGATCTCAAACAAGCTGTAAACTACGTGCATCAATTACTGCAGGAGCGTACAGACATGCTTGGCAGAGGATGCGAAGATTTATTTTCTGCTGTTCAGAGACTGAGAGAGGTAGCACAGCGCAGTGAGGAAGCTCTTGAGGCACACAGCAGGGTGTCACAGGGACTCATTAGAGAGACTACGGATCTTCGTGGTCAGATCGCTGAGATGCAGCAGCAGCTTAGTGAACGTTCAACTGCCACAAAGGATGCCAGTATGGGTCATCTTCAGTGGCAGGCTCGGATTGAAGCTCACATCGTTAACTTGGAAAACAGGTTTGAGGAGATGAATCGTGATCGACTTCAGCTTCAGGGTGTGCAGCAGGATGTAGGTTTTCTTAAACAGCATCAAGAACAGATGATGTCAATGCTTGAGTATTTGGGTACCAGTGGTCAGCAACCGCAGTCGCAGCAGCATGACGCTGCTACTTCAAGCAATTTGGGGCCCACTACGGCTTCACATGCTGAGGTGCCAGTGATTGCCATGACTCCCGAGGCCACTGAACATGTGGAACAGCCGATGGCTCATGTTGATAGTAGGCCAGATACTCCGTGATGTTCCCAGCTATCGCTCATGATGGTCGAGGTAATCGTCTAGAGTATAGCTGCAATTACAGTCGCAAACATCAAGAACCTGTAGGAACATGAACATAACATGTCCATGTTCTGCTGGTGCTTGAAGTAGCACCTTTGTTTGCGCATGCATGTTTCGAACCTCCAGTTTGGGCGATTTCAACCAACATTGGCTCAAGTGTGCGAAAAGGATCCGAAAGCTGTGGTCCCGAGGGTTTTGGTCACTGTAGGGTTTGGGTTGAACGACGACGGACGACAACACAGAAGCCTGCGGCTTCAGCTGTCGAAGGGCTGTGTGGCCCGAGAGGGCCATCCCACAATCCTTGCAAGCCTCACGGTATACCAACATAATTCTCCCAACCCTTAGGAATCTCAATCCATAAAGGTGCGTGTCCTACTCCCGATTGCAAGGCATCAACCAGGGTCTTAGGTTTAGGCTTTAGTTCTGGCCACCGCGTGGCGGCTCGACTGGAGCACTTGGACACAACAGGGGCTAAGTTCGGGTTCTTAGGATTTGCGGGTAGGAAGGGGCTTGGCGGTTGCCTGGCCAGTGATCGACGGTTCTTTACTGCCGCGAATCTTTGCAGACAGTGAGTGTGATCATGCGGTGCGATGTGGACGATGAGGCCACCGACCAACTTCATACTCCTCGTAGGGCGCAGCGTGCTCTAACGAACATGCCTGATCATTTTAGTCCTGTGACAGATACCACGAGTCCAGATCAGAATGCAAGGGCATTGACATCGATAGCCGGCGCTCATAACCAACAGGTTATGAGCCCAAGCGGCTCCGCCCAACCAAGCGTGCCTCCGTTTCCCACGGCAGCAGGGCCGTCATCACCGTTCGGAGGCATTCAGTTCATGCAAGCAACTCGGCTGGAGATCCCGACGTCGATCCTTCAGCAGTTTGCACAGGCAGCTTCGCTGGATGCTTCTATGCTCCACGACTTGAGAGCAGCCGTCGTTGAACTGAACGATCGCATGCAGTATAGATCCAACGTTCTGGGGGATGCATGCGTAACACTCCACTCGGGATACAATGCCTTAGTGGACAACCTGGACAGGCTTCAACAGGGAATGGATGCCCACAGTCGTACTTTGGCCTGTCTTATGAATGAAAACCTGTCTCTGAAGCAAGAGATAGAGTCCACACGTGAACAGCTCAGCGCAGATGTGCGGCAGCAGTTCGCAATTACTCGCGAGCAGCTGAGCGCGGTCCAGGCGAGAGCTGAAGCTGCAGCGATGGGCCCGCAACAATGGCAAGCCCAGGTTGAGGCTCACATAGTGACAATCCAAAACAATCTCGAGGCTGGATTCCGGAAGGCCAGCTCAGAGAATGAGGTTTTGCGGTCTCGTGTTGATGAGCTTGAAAAGGCGAATCAGGTGCGAGAGCGCAAGTGGCATAACTTCCAGCAGGATCATAGTACTCCAGCTGAGTCTTCCGTCAGTGGATTGGCTGAGGTACGCACCCAGGTCGATGGACTGTGTGCTACTATGTCGGGTCAGGGGCAGCGTCTTGATGCGATTTCCCGGGACGTTGCAGATCTGCATGCCTCAGTGTCGTTAGTGGAGTCGTCAGTGTCTCAATTGGAGGGTCATAGTGCCACGATCCGAGAAGAGATCAAGGGTTTGCATCAGATGTGCGAGCATTTTGCTGTATACACTGATGATGAGCCTGTTGTTGGCGAACCTGGTATGGCAGATTACGAAGCAGAATGGTGGGATGGCCATGAGCACGCCGGCGAAATGCCTCAAGGTCATGTCGGCCCACCGCCGGGTTTCCCAGATCAGCCGACGTCTGCACCTCCGCAGGCGCAACCCTCATCGTCTCCTTTACTAGGAGGTGATGATCCGGGGTGCCACATAGGCGCTCAAACGCAGCATGTACCACAGCCGGCGCAAGCCACACCGGTGCCGGAGACCAGTGGAAGCAACGTCGGCATCCATCATGGACGGTGGAAGCTGTTGCAAGATGTACCTGCTTTGAAGCTGGGAGCTGGAGAGCCTTGGGAACAGGGCATGAAGCTTCGGACTTGGTTTAAGCAGGTTGAAACGATCGCAGGGACAATAGCTGATTCATTCGGGTCCTACGTCAGACAGCAGTTCAAGTGGGCAGATGATCGGCATAAGCAGCGTTTGGCAGGTTTGCATCAGTTGTCACCGCCACCGCGGGTTCTACCGGAGGACTCGGAGAACGAAAACAGGCTGGTGTTGCTGTTGATACGGTGCGTCCCTGCTGAGCTCAAGCAGAACGTCCTTGAAAGGGGCGATGAATCCGAGCCCATGCGGGCAATTGCACTTCTGGAAGGGGTGTTGGAAACATTGCAACCGGGGGGCGCAGCGGAAATGCAATCTTTACAAGCCTTCGTTAGGAACCTGAAACCTGTGAACTCGGCTAAAGAGGGGCTGAGTGTGCTCCGACGTTGGCGATTGGCTAGATCCAGGGCTATGGCTTTGGCACTTCCACAGGTGGCTCCCTTCGAGGAGCTCGGAGCGCTGGGTACTTTGGCTTTGAATCTGGAGAAGCGCCATGATAGATTGCGTACCATGCTTAGTTTGCTGCGAACCCGACCAGAACTCATTAGACCTACATCGGAGGGAGTTGATATGATGATCAATCTTCTAGATCAGCAGTTCCAGTTGTTGCATGCGGATGAGCAAGTGAAAGTGGGCCGCGGTCGCGGTCAAGACGATGATCTGGACCCTACGGCCAAGAAAGGCAAGGGCAAGGACGGCAAGGGAAAAGGAGGCAAGGGCACGGGAAAGGATTCGGCTCCCAAAGGGGCAAGCAAGAGTGCATGGCTTGGAAGAATACGGGGAAATGTAGATTTGGCGACCGGTGCCGATTCACACATGCGAATCCACCTGCTCCAGGAGGCGCTCCACCGCCTAAGGCTAGTCCTACTCCGAAGCCTAAAGCAGCTCCAGCCGCAACCTCACAGCAGCAGGAATGCCTTGCTTGGAAGAAGAATGGTAAGTGTAGGTTCGGTGATAAGTGTAAGTACTCACATGATGGGGAAGCTAAGCAAGCCGCTTCAAAGCCTCAGGATGTCAAGACTTCTGCTTCGGGTGCATCTGAATCTTTAGTAGGAGCGACGGCCAAGGCATCAGCGTGCATTGTTCATCAGTCGCAAGCGATGAAGCTTCTCAGTGGACTCGAGGAACCGGGCCCTGAGCCATCTCCACCTAGTGACAGCGAGGATCCTTCTGAGCCATCCGTGACAAGCTCAGGCGAGGAGGAGTCAGCGGAATCAATTCCGGATGCTGGTGGACCTATGTGGGTCCTTGACCTAAGCCTTCGTGACTACATACATTGGACGAGACCGGCGCAGATTCAGGTTTGCGCAGATCGGGATTTTCGTGAGGAGGAGAATCCTAATTCAATCGTGTGGGCAGTTTGGGATGTGATCATACATGAGATGCTGGATGTAGATGAGTCTGGAACAATTCCGATCGCAGAGGGCGTGTGCATGATCAAGTGTGACACCACTGTTGTCTTCTGCGAAGATGGGGTTGGTAGGCCGTGCTTTGTGGTTTGGATTCAGGAGGAGAGTACAGGGAGAGAACGACAGTTTGCATTGGCACAGTTTCAATACAGACCTCGTGTTCGTCGTTGGCCCGCAGTTCCAGACCCTAAGGCACCAGAATTACCATATGTACCCAGCAAGGCCGCGCCCGCAAAAGCACCTGCGGCCAGCTCGTCAACGTCTGCATTCTTGGCGCCAGGTGCCCCACCGGCTAAGGCTCCAACCGTAAGTCCACCGCCGCAACTTGCGGCACCGGAACTCGAGGACAGCCCCAGCTCAACATCTGCACATGCAGCCCAGGCAAGCAGCACAGGAATCTGTGACGAGGACAGATGTGTTTTAGCAGACACAGGGGCAAATGAGTTGATCAGACCGGCGGGATCACAGCCACCCACGAGATCTACCAAGGTCCATCTCACATTAGCCGATGGTAATACTACCTTTGCTTGGCGGACCCGTGATGGGGAGCTCGCTATGCCGGGGGATGAGAGTTCATGGATTGCACCTGTGGGAAAGATTGTAGAGCTGGGATATAGGTTTATCTGGGATCTTGAGTCGGGTGCTAGGCTTGTTAAGGAGACTGAAGCCGGTTGCGAGACGATTCATATGTTTGTTGAAAACGGGTTGCCCTACATCTACTGGTCTGACTTTGTTCATCTTCGCAAACAACTTTCAGCGGCTTTCCGAAACAACAAGAGGAGTTGCTGTGCGATCACTAGTGGCGCAGGAGTCGCCGCAAACCCGTTTATGACACCTGAGGATCTAGATGAGTGTGAGACCGAGGCCAAGGAGTGTGCATCTAAGGGTGTAGAACCCAGCATTGGGGAAAAGGTAGCGGAGAATTTCTTGAAGCTGGACCACCTCACCTATGATCACATTCTTGAGGCGGTCTCGAAGGCCGATTTGAAACCTCAGAGAAAGGCGAGAGCATGCGCAGAAGGTGATGTGGGATCTGGGGGGATAAAATCGTGGGTGTTTGGTGCATACGGTCATGGTCCTCAGTGCGGTGTCACAACTCGCACTGATCAGTTTCCGAATCTGGTTGCCTTGATCAATCGTTTCATGAAGCAGGAGATGCCAGGTGCTACCTGGACGTCGTTCACGGTGTCCAAGGATGTTACCTTCACTCCCCATAAGGATACCCATAACGATCCGAATTCCCAGAATGTGCTTGTAGTCCTTAACCATAAGGGGCAATGCAACGGTGGCAACCTTTGGATTGAGCACAAGGATGGTGATCAGATGCGACAGGTCAAGCAGAACTTGAAGCTTCGCGGTGTCGTTATGCCTGTGCTTAGAAATCCTGTGCAGTTCAATCCCACCAAGTGGCATGGCACAACACCTTGGAAGGGAAGCCGCACTGCGTTGTCGCTCTATGTCATTCGGAATGGGCATCTGCTTTCAGCTGAAGAGCAGAGGCGATTGCGTGAGTTGCAGTTTCCAGCATATGCCGCAGCGGCCGCTGCCGCATCGCGTGATGAACCACCCCTAAGCCCTAAGCCTTCCTTAAACCCACTTGCTGAGGACTCTGAGGCCCGGACGACGGACGCGACGACAGAGAGTGGTTCGTTCGGGGAGCATATGCTTGAAGGGGACCTGGATGAGGGTTTGTTCGGGGATGATATTCAGGGTCTAGCTTGTCCTGATGGTCCGACCGCGCTTGATGCTGCCATGCCTTTCGAAGAAAATTGGGATGAATATGAACCTTCATTGCCTGATCCAGAGCACATATTCAGTGGCGATCTTTCGGGTGACAATTCTGGGACGCTGAAACCTTCGGAATCGGTGTCGCCTGAAGTGGCACCTGATGTTAAGAAGGAACCTGCCAAGGAGAAGCCTGGACATACTTTGGATGATTTCAAGGCCCGAGGAACCAAGAAACCGCATCGGCGTGTTCAGCCTTCAGACATTGCACAGGGGGTTTTGTCCATAGACATTGCTGGTCCGTACAAGGGGGCATACGATGACTCCAAATACATCTTGGCAGGCGTATTTCGTCTGGAGGATGGCGCAACCCTTCAGTTTGTTCAGCCGTTGCGCCGCAGGTTCTGGTCGGATGTGCTATGCGGTGTGCAGGCCATTCTGAATGAGCTGTCGGCGGTAGCGGGCGGCAAGGCGCCAGTTAGGATCCATTCTGATCGTGCGAAAGAATTCTTAGCTCGTCGTGTAGTCGAAGAGTTCCAGAAGGCAGGGATTCATCAGACAAGTACTGTTGGGCATGATCCGGCCGCGAATGGCGTGGCTGAACGAAATATTGGATTGCTGAAGCAGCGAGTCCGCGAATTCTTGATTAAGGGTGAAGTGCCCTCACGGTATTGGCCCATTCTCTTTCAGGAGGCTGCGAGACAACAACGAGACTTGACATTGGGGCGATCCTGGCAGGGTCAAGCCCCTTACCCAGGCGACAGCGTCGCGATCAAGATCAACAACCCGGGTCCTTTGGACGTGCGCTCGGAAGCTGCAATCTTCATTGGTCGTGCGGACAAGTTTACCAACGGTGCCTATGTTGAGGTCAGGAGAAACGGCCGGAATGCAGTTGTGGTGACTAGGTTACCTGCGGTGATCAAGGAGCCAGAGCGGCGCTGGAGGACCTACGAGTCCCTGTCTGGGGATCTTCTCTGGATTTCGAGTGATGGTCAGGTTCGGGACGCAGATACCATTCGGGATCTGGGAATAGATTTGGGTCTCTTGACTGTTGAGGAGGTGCTCAAAGGCCAAAGTCCATTAGAGGGATACCCGTTGGCAGCAGTGGCAGCAGCATCATCTTCACAGGCGGCGCAGCCAGCGCCGGAGCATGGGGATAAGATTGTGAATTGGCAGAAATACCATCTGCTTTCGTATGAAGAGGAGCAGCTTGCAAATCAGGTTGAAGCGAGTCTACTTGAGGCAAGTGTGGCACCCGTTCAGGCGGAGACCGTGGATCTAAAGGGTTTCTTTCAGGGTGATCGTCAACAGCAGTGGCGAGAGTCATTGATTGCCGAGTATGCAAAGATGGACGGTGTCCTCCGTGAGGTCCCCAGATCGGGATTGCGCGAGTACTTGAACATCTCCCCTGAGGCCAAGCTGCCCAGGGAGATCCCTTCAAAGGTTGTGCCCACCATGAAACCTTCAGAGGATGAGAGGGCGAATGCAGACGGATTCATGGAAAAGAGCCGAATCTGTGCATGTGGGAACTTCGAGGAGGGCACCGATAACAACGGGGAGCCGTGGTCGTCATCAAACATACCACCTGAAATTGTACGATGCTTTGTATCCCTAGCTGCGAAGGTTGAGGATTGGACATTGGGCGGTCTCGACGTCGAGGCGGCCTTTCTCAACGCGGAGATTTCCGGGGACCCTGTGGTAATTACTCCGCCGAAGATAATGAGAGACCTAGGAATCATTGCAGAAAACACTGTGTGGGTGGCGGAACGCAACATCTACGGACTACGACGTGGACCGACAGAATGGGAGCGAGAACGTGACCACAAGCTCAATCATGCGGAACTGCCTCCTGGTGATGAGGACAAACTGGGAGCACTGCATTTGGTCCCGTTGAATCTGGCAGCAGGTTTGTGGAAGATCGTTGACGGCGCGGGCGTGACCAGAGGGGCATGCTGTGCGTACGTTGACGATGGACTCATTGTGGGCGGCATTGAAGTGATTAGACGGGTTACGGCCTTCATCCAGAGTTTGTGGGCTATCAAGGGGCAGGGCATTCTTGAGAAACCGGGTGTAGGCCTGAACAAGGACCTGGTTGTGAGTGAAACCCTAACCTTGAAACTTGTTCGGTGCATGCGATTCCTTGGTGCAGAGATCTCTGTGGCGAGCGATGGATTGCGTATTGGACAAGCGAAGTACATAGCTCAAGAACTTCGTGCTCGAGGGTGGCTCGCACTCAAGGGCGCAGAATCTTTGCCGGTGCCTTCGGAGGGTCTTCAGGGGTCTGAACTTCGTGACAATGCATTCAACAGCAACATGAGACTGGCTCAGAAAGAGGCTGGTACCTTAATGTGGATTGCACTCCGGTCTCGACCGGACATTGCTGCTTGTTTAGGCGTTGCTTCAACTCTGATCACATCGAGGCCTTCCGAAAGTCTTCGTTTGTGCAAGGGGATTTGGCGATACCTGAGAAGTACATGGGAGAAGACTTTGCACTACCGCTACGGTGGTGGTCCTGTGAATCCTGGGGGCGGTGATGATACAGCAGATGCGGAGTGGACTTTTCGCATTGTCTCAGATGCATCCTTGGCGCCGGGTGGCGCGCGATCCAGAAGCGGGGTAGCCCTGTTCCTAGGTGACCATCTTGTCTATTGGAAGTCACAGCGGCAGTCTATTGTGGCATGGTCAGCGACTGAGTCCGAGATCGAGGCGACCGCAGTGGCGATCCAAGAGGGTATCAAGATACACGCAGTGCTTGAGGAGCTGTTTGCATGCAAGATTCACCTTGTGGCCAATGGCGACAATGCGGGAGCTATTCATTTGATCACTCGGGAGCGGTTTCATGAACAGACTATGCGAACCAGGCATTTCGCGATCCGTTGTGCATATATCAGAGACTTGGTGTGGTTGCACAACATTGAGGTCCAACATCGTGGGACGAATGAGCTCGAAGCCGATGGACTGACTAAGGTCCTGGGGAAAGCGAAATTGGCTACAGCACGCACGCAGCTGCGGATTACGTGATGAGTAGGTCGATGATAACCGTTCTGCTCATCTTCTTTTCGCGCGAGGTCCACTCTCAGGAGTGGCATGTTCTTTTGCAACATGGGCTCCGAAGGAATAGTCCAGAGTCTGTGTATGGGGATTTAGAAGGCGCAGGTGATTCCCACCGGGGACAAGAACAGAGTCAAGATGCCCGAAAAAAGAAAGTCAAGAGGCCATAGGCTGGTCCACCAAACCCCAACGGGCCTGGGGAGTACGCTGTTGCTTTATCCTTTATGCGCCGTTAATGCTTTTCTAGTTTGGGAGATCTGGCCCTAGTGGAGTCTCAGCACGTGCGAACCCGCACATGCCGAGAAGGAGGAGTGTTGATAGTAGGCCAGATACTCCGTGATGTTCCCAGCTATCGCTCATGATGGTCGAGGTAATCGTCTAGAGTATAGCTGCAATTAAAGTCGCAAACATCAAGAACCTGTAGGAACATGAACATAACATGTCCATGTTCTGCTGGTGCTTGAAGTAGCACCTTTGTTTGCGCATGCATGTTTCGAACCTCCAGTTTGGGCGATTTCAACCAACATTGGCTCAAGTGTGCGAAAAGGATCCGAAAGCTGTGGTCCCGAGGGTTTTGGTCACTGTAGGGTTTGGGTTGAACGACGACGGACGACAACACAGAAGCCTGCGGCTTCAGCTGTCGAAGGGCTGTGTGGCCCGAGAGGGCCATCCCACAATCCTTGCAAGCCTCACGGTATACCAACATAATTCTCCCAACCCTTAGGATTCTCAATCCATAAAGGTGCGTGTCCTACTCCCGATTGCAAGGCATCAACCAGGGTCTTAGGTTTAGGCTTTAGTTCTGGCCACCGCGTGGCGGCTCGACTGGAGCACTTGGACACAACAGGGGCTAAGTTCGGGTTCTTAGGATTTGCGACGGTTCTTTACTGCCGCGAATCTTTGCAGACAGTGAGTGTGATCATGCGGTGCGATGTGGACGATGAGGCCACCGACCAACTTCATACTCCTCGTAGGGCGCAGCGTGCTCTAACGAACATGCCTGATCATTTTAGTCCTGTGACAGATACCACGAGTCCAGATCAGAATGCAAGGGCATTGACATCGATAGCCGGCGCTCATAACCAACAGCTCAGGACGCTGAGCTTGCTGAAGCGGAACATGAATGGTGGGGATGGCCAGCACAGCAGCAGACTGCAAGCAATCCATTTGAAAGCATGCCGTGGCCTACCCTCACAACACCCCCTGAACTTCCCCAAGAGGTGAGAGCGCCGAAACTTGAGGAAGTAAAGGACAATCAAGTAGTTACCGCAGATCGTTGGAAGACCATTTCACAAATGCCTACCTTTGATCCTGCATCCGGAAATGCTTCACCATGGGAGGTGGGGCTGCGATATGAGGTATGGAAGAAGCAGGTGTTAACGACAGCATCTGCAATTTCGCCATCGTTTGTTGAGTATGTCAAGAAATGTTTTGAGGAAGGACTCCGTCGGCATCACGAACAAATTCAAGGCAACCGTGCCGCACCTTTGCAGCCTATTCAGGGTTTTCCTGCAGAGTTTGAGGCCCGGTTTGTGATGTCATTATTGACGATTCTACCAGACAACATCAAAACTCCAGCACTTGAAGGCGACAATGTCAGTGATAACATCAGATCAGTGAGGCTGATTGAAGAGATCCTCTTGCGTGTCCAACCAGGAGGACTTGAGGAGCAGTCAACTTTGATGCGTTTCGTTCGAGGCCTGCAGCCTGCGGCATCAGCTAAGGAAGCACTTGACTTGATTCGTAGATGGAAGTTGGCCAAACAGCGGATTGCATCACTAGGACTTCCAGAGCCAGCATGCTTTGAACAGTTGAAAGGCATCGGCGTTCTTCTGGGAAGGTTAGAAAAGAAACATGAACAGTTGCGTATGAGGCTCGCACTCCTTCGATTGAATCCGGATGTCCAGATGGGTAAGCCGGGAGCAGTGGAAACCATTCTGGATAATTGTGATCAGCAGTTGCGACAAATTGCAGCGGATGAAACTTCAAAGGAGGGTGGAAACAGTGAGTCGATTATTGCAGTTACGAAGGGCACTGGCAAGGGTTTATCCAAAGAAGACAAAAAGAAGATCACTTGTCCATTCCTTGCGAAGCCAGGTGGATGTTCTTTTGGGGATCGTTGTCATTACTCACATGCTAATCAACCAAGAGCAAAACCCAAAGCTGAGCCGAAACGCGGAGTGCCACCCGCGAAATCAGAGCCTGCGCCGAAGAAGAAGTGTATCTTTCATGCGCGTAAGACGGGTTGTAAAAAAGGGGATGCGTGTGAATATCTTCATGAAGGGCCGAGTGGAGCAGCTCAAGCCGCAGCTGGAGGACCAGGCCTTGTGGGAGGCACAGCCAGTCAAGTAGATACTGGCACATCGTCCGCATCGGATTCTAAAGGCACGAAGGCTAAGGCGAAAGCAAAGACCACAGCGAAGGCAGCCCCGAAGGTGTGCACAGCCCATTCTACTGTGTCTTCATTTGCGTGTATGTTTGCTTCGCGACCACTGAGATCACAAGGGGTCGCAGCAGTGCCACTGGGAGAGCTTTGGATGTGTGAGATGGGACCTGATGAGCTTATTCATTGGATGAAAAATCCGTTTGGAGTGACGGGGTTTTTCACATCGACAACGGACTCATTGTTGGGATCTGCATGGTTGGCAGCTTTTGACGCGAATCGCTTTGATGCCCTAGCAGACATTGATCCAGACCTTGGAGGCGGGAACAGCATCATTGATGTTTCTCTCGCGACGGCTTGGAACCAGAGGACTTTAGAACATGAGACTTGCTTTGTGTTCATCATTCACACTAGTGCTGAAGACTACCTTCATGTAGCCTTGATGGTTGCAGAGCATCGTCCGGGTTGCGATCGGCCCATGAATGACCTTCAGAAGCGCCGATGGGCTGAATCATTTGTTGCACGGCCTATTGTGGAAGAGATGGACGGTGAACAGGAGGAGACTCAGTCCGTGCACCCTAGCTTTGGGGATGACTCTGAGCTTTCTTCGCTGTCGGAAGGAACTGAAGATTCGGAGGGTTCCACTGTGTCATTTGATTCTCGAGGGTATGAATCCGATGATCAAGTTGAGAGCTTTTGGTATCTGGTGCTGTCTAGAGATGAGTATCTTGAGTGGAAGCGGCCAGGAACATTGATCACACGTGCGAGGAACCCCTTTAAGCCTGTCGTGGGCAGTACATCAGTGGCCACCGGGATTTGGCGAGCCCTGGAGTCTGTGGACTTTTCACTGCCGCTTCGGCAGTTGGCTATGGGCCAAGGACAAGTCATTCTCGAGGCACAGACCGTGTACGTGCTACATGCAGATCGGGTTTTCAGGGAATGTGTGCTAGTGTGGATTCTAGACATGGATTCTGGACAAGAGCAGTTCTTGATTCTGGCAAAGGGCGTAGTAGCACCGCGAGTGGAAAGGGACATTAGACAAGTCACGGAACCATCGCAAGCAGCTCCGCCTCGGAGATCACCGCCAGGAGGAGACATGTCCTCCAGCAGTCAGGGAATTCCACAGGTTGATGCGTGCATCAGTGCAGTGAATCAGCAGGGATCGGATGGCATTCTTCTTGATTCAGGTGCAAATGAGATTCTACGACAGGTCCGTGTCACACCAAAGAATTCAATACCTTTGCCGTTGCAGTTGGCCGATGGCCAGAACATCATGGCTCATCGCACCTGCTGCGGTGAAGTGGTCATCCAGGGTGAGCCAGGCGAGTTTATATGTGGAGTAAATCGCCTAATCCAAATAGGTTGCAAGTTTGAATGGGAGAAGACGGGAGCCTACCTCACGCTCCCGGATGGGACAGTTGAAACTCTTGATGTGAGAAACGGTTTGCCGTTTATGACACGCCGTGTATTCCAAATACTGAGACCAATGATGCAAAGCTGGTGGAAGAAGTCATGCTGTGCTGGCGTCTCATCTCAGATTGCTAAGGCAGAAAACTCTTGGATGGCGTTTGATGATCTGGTAGCGGCGAGTGTAGAGGCACCATCTTCCAGAAAGACCAATGTGAAACATGGAGAACAGCTTGCAACCGATTTCTTGGCACGAGGAGGCACACCCACTTATGAGTCCATTTGGCAACTTATTCGTGCTAGTACGCTGGAGCCGGTTCGATGTAAGAGATCAGTCATTGATGGCGCAATGGCGCAGAAATCCAAGGTGAAATCATGGACATTTGGCGCATACACCTTCTCGCAGACGCAGGGTCTAACTGTGTGCACACGTGAGCGTCCTCAGTTGGTTCAGGTTTTAGTCGGGTTCATGAAGAGCATTTTGCCTAAGGAAGCGTCTTGGACATCCATCACATTGTCCGACGGTGTGACCTTCCAGCCACACAAAGATAGGAGTAATGTCAAGGGAAGTCGAAACTTTATCGTATGCCTGAATGATAGTACCTCTGGAACTGGGGGAAACATTTGGGTGGCAGATCCGAGTGGCGATGAAGTTCGAGAAGTTCGGCCAGGAGTGTTTGAACGCGGCTATTCGCATTGCATTCGAAGGTGTCCATTGGTTTTCGATCCACATGAGTGGCATGGTACAGAGCCATGGATTGGAGAGAGGTGTACAATTGTTGCCTACACTTCGGGAGCTTGGGAACAGTGCAGCGGAGATGAGAAGGCAGAGTTGGCACGTTTGGGATTTCCGTTACCGCGCAGTGTGACCTGTGGATCTGCGTCCGAGGCTGTGAATGACAAGAACATGGTTGCAACAGCAGAGCAAACCACAGCAGACATCGACACAGTTCCAGTTCACACCACAGTCAACAGTGAAGGGAACCAGAAGGGTTTATGCGAACGGGACTTCACTGAAGGGGTTCAGGGTGTTCAGGGTCGTAGAGACGTGCAATCATGTGCTCATGGAGCCTCTGTGTTAGAAAGCGACTTGGAGTATGAGCCCTCGTTGCTGGCTGACGCACCGGTCCTGGAATCCGAACCTGAACTCATCTTGGATCCTGATCAGGATTTGCCAGTTGCCGATGAGGACTCTCCGTATGAATATGCGCACAAACAGAAGCCAGATCACACTGTTGCTGATTTTGGATCCCGTGGAACACTGCGTCCACATCGAAGGCTAAGCCGTGACGATGTGGCGCAAGGCTGTTTGTCTATTGACATCACGGGTCCTTTCAAAAAGGGTTTCGGTGATTATCGGTATGCTTTGATTGGAAACTTCAATGCTCCAGAGTCTGATCCCTTATACTTCTGCAGACCGCTGAAACGAAGATTGAAGGCAGAGGTCATCGGAGTAGTGTTTGACATGGTTGCTCAGATTCACTCCATGGCTGGCGCGAGGCCAGAAGTAGTACGGTTACATAGTGATTGCGCTGCTGAGTTTGTGGCCAAGGACATGAAGGCAGCCGCGGAACAGAAGGGAATCTATCGCACCATGTCAGTTCCGTATGAGCATGCATCCAACGGAAGGGCTGAAAGAGCCATTAGATACTTGAAGGAAAGGGCAACTAAGTTCATTCTGGAATCAGGTGCACCGTCGGAGCTGTGGCCTTTTGCACTATGTGAGGCGGCGATCGTGCAACGTGAGGAGGTGTTGAATCTCAAAAGGATGAAGAATCAGCCGAAGCCATGGATGTTGGTTGCGATCAACATTCATAGTCCTGAACCCTTCACGGCAAAAACCGAGACCGCACGCTTCCTGTGTAGGGATGAACACACCTCCAGCGGAGCTTTGTGTATGGTGTCTAGGAACGGGAGGCAGGTGATTACAACGGCACGGTTACCAGCTGTGATTCCGGTGGATCAGAGGGTGTGGCGTACGCATACAACACCTCTAGGAGATCTGGTATGGGTGTCAGATCGGGGCGACGTTCGAGATGCGGACGCCTTGAGGGACATTGGTCAAGATCTGGGGTTGATTACGTATGAAGAAAGCCAGCTGGGACCATCGCCAAACGCAGGGAACTTTCCAGTGCACATCGCAGCCAAAACGGTATCTGCGCCACACAGGTGCACTTGCAAGAGGTGTACATTGAAACGACATTCTGAACCTGCCGATGCTACAGCCTATCAGGTTGGAGATGCTGATGAGGAAACAACTGCTGATGAAAAGGCAGCTTTACTTCAAGAGGTTATGGCAGCTAAGGCGAGTGCAGAAACTTTGACCACATCGGTTTTATTTCAAGGAACACCTGAGCGCAGGGAGAAGTGGTATAAGGCAGCGGTCAAGGAAATGGACGGGATGAAGGCCAAAAACGTTCTTGAGGACTTAGATCGGGATCATTTGCGAGAACAGTTGGGGCTGAACCCAGATGAGCCGATTCCAGAAATTCTTCCATGTAAGCTGGTCGTGGCCGCCAAACCAGAGGATGTGGCACCAATCACGGTTTCGGGTGACGGTACAAACGCTGATCCTGCAGAGCAACCTTGGAAGGCCAAGATTCGGTTATGCGCATGCGGAAATTTCGAAGGGGCTCGTGAACATGAGGATAACACCACATCCAATGTGTCGCCGATTGCTTTACGCCTTATGGCGCACGAACTTGCAAAACACAAATCATGGGTTGGGGCCAATGGGGATGTGAGTATGGCATTCCTGAATACAGAGTTAGAGCCATCCGAGATTGTCCTACTCGAGCCGCCATCGGCTCTTAAGAAACTGGGCCTGGTGGCACCTCGCACCATCTGGCGTGCACGACGGTACATCTACGGCCTGAGGCGATCACCAAAGAAATGGGCACGCCTACGCGATGACACCATGCACGGCAAGTCCTTGAAGTATGACGGGAATCGTGAACTTGTGATCTCGTTGGTTGATGAACAGGAGGGCATTTTTCATATTCGGGATTCGGCGTCGCAGGAACTGGTTGCGTTATGCGCGATGTATGTGGATGACATTTGGTGCATTGGGTTGCCATCTGCGGTTACTGCCATTCTGGGCTTCGTGTCAGGCACTTGGGAAACAAAATTGGGGGGATTCATTTCCCGAGATCCTTCCGTAACCATCTCAGTGAATGGCGAGGCTCTTCCCCGTTTGGATGAGATCACGTTCATCGGGCAGCAGTTCCGCTTTGAGGGTGACGAGGTTGTGATTAGTCAGCGGTGCTGGTTGTTGAATGAACTTGCGAAAAGAAATTGGCTTCACTTGAAGGGCACTCCATCATTACCCATCCTCGAACAAGGACCGGATGAAGATCGAGAATCAGGCGAGTATAAGCGGCACTTGCAGGAAGCTCAAACTGAAGTAGGTTGTTTGATGTGGTTGAGCACGAAAACGAGACCAGACATACTTGCTTCAGTATCACAAGTTGCTTCTTTAATGCATCGCAGACCGCTTCGAGTGATTCAAGTTACACGCGGCATTTGGCGATACCTGAGATCCACCTTGAGCTTGAGCCTTCACTTCAATGGTCACGATGAGGGACACCTTGAGGCCTACAGTGATGCATCTCACGCCCCGGAGGGCGGTCGCAGCCGCTCAGGCGGAGTGGTGATGTTGGGATCCTCGCCTATTGCATGGTGGACTTCCAAACAGACGGTGACAGCATGGTCAACGTGTGAATCGGAGATGGATGCTATGGCGTTGACCATTTCGGAAACTATCAAAATCCAAGCCTTGATTGAGAACATGACAGGCTGGGCATTGAAAAGTTCGTTCCGAATCTATGGGGACAACGCAGCCGCTGTGACAGTGGCAAATCGTGAACACTTCACGTTGGGAGCGTGGAGGACGAGAACGTTCGCTTTGCGGGCGGAATGGGTGCGAGACCAGATGAGCTTGTATGATTTGGCTCTTTTGCACCACCCTGGAGAATCGTTAGTGGCGGATATGCTTACGAAAACGCTGCCAAGGATGAGACTCCAGAAGCTCCGCGAGCTTTTGTGTTTGAAGTGAAGTTTTCCCTCAACCATGTCATTGTAGAAACAGCTAGATCTTCCAGCGAGCGCCGTAAGAGCGCTGAGGAGGAGTGTTGTTGATGGCATGGTTTGAGTTGCAACATGAGTGCATGTGGGCACTCGGCTCTGTAGGATAACAAATCTTCCTGCAATCATGTATTTAAAGTAAACGTAAAATTAGTGACATCCCTACTTGATTGACGGCAGTAGAGCAGCCACTGGGCAGACAAGAAACAATCAAGAACCCCGAAAGAAGAAACAAGGTCGTGAGCCTCCGGGGCAGGCCATACGTAGGAGCTGTTGTTTCTTCAGTCGTCGTGGTGTGGAAAAGGCCGTCTTGTAAAGACTAAGGTAGGAGTGGCATGTCGCTTGCATGTTTTTGCAGTTGTCGTACATGTGCAGTGCGGGCAGACAGTCGGCACACTTGTGCAGTGCGGGCAGACAGTCGGCATACCTGTGCAGTGCGGGCAGAGAGCCGGCATACCTGTGCAGTGCGGACAGATGGTCACCGATGACGTGGCTCAAGATGCACAAATCAATCGGACCAAGGGTTTTGGGTTTTGGGGCTGGGGCCTTGAGGCCTCTGAGGGATGCACGGGGATTATAATCATTTGGACGATCTTCCTTTTAGCATTCGTCAGACTTTGGCCGGTTATCGTGACCAGGCATCGTCGGAGTCCGCTCAGATGGACACTGATTTCAGTTCAGGTGTGCGGGCTAGTAATTCTCCATTGACTCCCGAGTTTCAACATCAACAGCAGCAGCCTCAGCAGCATTCACTTGAGTTGGCTACCATTCGGCATCCTGGAGCTCCCATTGCAACTCCGGCATCAGAAGATTATGCTCACATCTTTCAACAAAAACGAGTTTCTCTCCGCGGTGCAGCATAGGAAACTGATGACTGATGTTGGACGGCTGAACCCATGAATGGGATGACGACTTCTGCCTGCTTTGGTTTGTGCCGTTGCTCTTCCTGGTGGTGCTGTGTGTTCTGCTTGTGCTCTCTGACATGCGCCCTGTATGGATGGATGTTGCTGCTATTCCCGGGTGGTGGTGCATGGGTGATGAGTTTCCATCCCCCCCCGACCCCTGCCCCCCTTCTCCCTTCGAGAAACTGCAGCGAGGTGTATCCCTTGCTTCCGAACTGGCCAGGGCTCGCATGGGGTATATCCCCCAATACCCAATGACGGCCCACGGCGACCGCAGGAGGGCCTGCCTATGACGGGCCTTGTGAGTCGTAGCTGCTGTAGTGAGCCATGGCACCGGTTCTCAGGAGTGAGCGACGTATTGCCCTTGCTGGCTTTTTCCCTCAGGGACATGCCTCTTGACTGGCCACACTTGAGGGCTGCATCTTCTGGTGCACCAGACAACAACCATGCTGGGAATACCTACGAGGTGAGATCCTTGCGAATGCTTCTTCTGCCTACGGCTATCTACGTCTGGCGATCATGTGGAATAATCTGTGGGCCCGCTCCTTTGGCGGAGTCTATTCGTGACCGCCTCGCTGCTTGATATAACTGCTGGGCATGCAGGGGTATACTCTCCGAGAGATGAGATCCCTGCTCAAAAATGGGCGCTGATCCCTCTTTTGCTGTGTGGCCTGCCGAACTTCGGCCGGCTTCAACGGAGCTGGCGAACCTTGGCAAGAAAGACGAATGGGCAAGATCAACATGAATCCTGCTGACATTGAACACAAGCTGACTGTGATGCTGCCTGCATTGGCCATAGACCACACGTGTTACCCTGGCGTTGCTTGTGGCTGTTGGCTACAACTGGCCTCACTGAAGAACGAGTGCGCGCATGTCTGCAAATGGTACAATGAACATGCTAGAGCTGGTCTCGCCTGACTAGGGCTGTTGGGAGCTGCCTGATTGTGACAATGCCTGCATTTGCCATGGATCACACTTATTCTTTTTGTGCTGCTTGTGACTGTCAGCTACAGATGGGCCTCAGTTTCTGGAGACTGAGTGCATGTCTGTTCTGCAAAGGGTACCTGCATGTGAAGCCGGGGTCCTGACCGGCTTGTTGGGCAGTGAATGTGAGTGGAGATCGTGAAACTGTGACCTTCTAGTTCTAGTTGCGCTAAATCGTGAATTGCCGAATTTGGAAATGTTAATGCTTTGGCCTGTTCCAATGTGTGTGGGCCCACGCCTTAGTAGTTGCCTCACCTCTTCAAAACCTCGTCTGACTTGTCGAGCACGAGTGACAAAAAAAGGACAACTCGCACCTCGCCAACAGCCCCCGGGCTTCGCATGAAAGTAGCATGCACGTCCTTTGCCCTTTTCCGCCACCTCTGCAGCCACCACAACCTCGCTGCTTTGAGCCGCGCTAGCATCCCTAACCTCCTGATCCGATGCAAGACGTCTGCACTCCACTTCAAGCAAGCCCAAATTTCCTCACCCGAAGTCGCTGGGATAATGATGCCCGGTTGCATTCTCAAGAGATTGATCTTCATGGATAGCTGCTGGTTCTTCTTTTCTAAGGTTCGCATCAAGCTGTCCAACGCCGCTAGACTCCGCTAGACTCTCGTTGGGGGCTTGCTCGGGAAGACCCAAGGATTGAGCACGACCTCTAGCCAACTTCCAACGTCGAAGCGTCGTCATCGCAGCTTTGAAATCCGGTGCCGATGGCAACTGTCTCAAGTAACGCTGGATCGATTCAAGTTCCTCTCTGCCTCCTGGGGCATAGCGGCATAGCGCTCATGAAGACTCTCGAACAAAAGGACGCAGCGAACACTGTTTGAAGTTGAGCTTTCCACCACTGGCTGACGGACTGCCTGCGGGAGATTCTTCAACATGGACAAAGACAATCGTGCCTCCATCTCTGCCGCGATTCCCACCACGGTGCGCAAAACGTCTTCGCATCCAGTGAGTCTCTTCTTCTCATATATCGCTGCCGCCCTTCCTCGTATGTACGATCGAAGTAATCCGCAAAACGCGAATGGATAGCTGCCAAAACTGTCCTAGTTTCAACTCGCCATTGATGCGCTGTCATTCCTACCTCCCACGGCTCGCCACCAGCAGAAAGGTCCAACGTTGGCGCGTTTTTGAGAAGCTTGTAGGTCGCTTGATTGATTTGAAATGTCAGTCTCTCCGTTCCCGCACTCTTCTTTGTCATGTCTGGAGGTAGAGGGGGAGGTTGAGAGCAAGGACCAAAAGACAACCCCGGGGGGAGACCAGCTTCAGCATCCTGTGCAACCCATGCCGATTCACCACCCCACCATACATCTTCATCATACTGTTCTGCAGTCTCATTCGCTGCTGGAAGCTCTGGGGTCATGGCATAATGCAGCGGTCCTGGCGGTGTGGCTCGAGCTCCATAGCCAGCCATCTGTGAAGCCGACCCTCTCAAGCCAACAAGCCCTGCATCCAGACCCCTTTCCTTCTGAATCGTTTCATCTCGCTGCCGTAGTTTAGCAACAAGTTTCTCAAGCTCAGCAACCCTGGAAATCACCCATCGAGTTTGCTCTAAGCTCTGCTCATATCTGCGATTGGCTTCCACAGCCTCCGACTGAGCCTTATCCAGGCTCAGCTTCAGCTGCTCAATCTGTTCATCGCTGGCTATCTGCGTTCTACTCACAGCATGCAGAGTTGTCGCTTGTCTTTCCAACATCACAACCAGATACTGCTTCTGCTCTTCTGCAGACTTGTCCAGCAATCCCTCGCAGTCCTCGCGCATTCCAGCTTGGCTCGCCAGAACACCCTCGAAATTGCTTTCTAACTCTGACAGTCTTTGCGCTGCCTTATTCCATGTATCTTTCATGCCAGCTTCGAACTCCGCAAGAAGGCCCATCGTCCTAACATGCTCGGTGGATAACGAAGCCAGCCTGGTGGCGGTATTTTTCTGTATTTTTTTACAGTTGTTTTTGGTATTTTTCCGGTCGCCTGCCCAAGCAAGCAAGCAAGCAAGCAAGCAAGCAAGGAAGGCCGGAAGCAAGCAAGCAAGCAAGCCAGCAAGCCAGGAAGAGAGCAAGGAAGGAAGCAAGGAAGGAAGGAAGCAAAGGCAAGCAAGCAAGCAAGCAAGAAAGGAAGCAAGGAAGGAAGGAAGGAAGCAAAGGCAAGCAAGCAAGCAAGCAAGAAAGGAAGCAAGTAAGGAAGGAAGCAAAGGCAAGCAAGCAAGCAAGCAAGCAGGCAAGGAAGCGAGGAACCGAGGAAGCGAGGAAGCAAGCACGGAAGCGAGGAAGCGAGCAAGCAAGGAAGGAAGGAAGCAAAGGCAAGCAAGTAAGCAAGCAAGAATGGAAGCAAGGAAGAAAGGAAGCAAAGGCAAGCAAGCAAGCAAGCAAGCAAAGAAGTTAGCACGCAAAGAAGGAAGCAAGGAAGGAATCGAGGAAGGAAGCAAGCAACCAAGCTTCGCAGCGCATGCCTGTAGAGCAGAAGCATCAGAAGCGTATCTGTAGACTGTGATAAATATATATATATATATATGTATATATATATATATATGTATATATTACTTGCATATCGACACATACACACACACACACATACACACGCACACACACATACGCATACACACACACACATATATATATATATACATACCTGCGCACAAATGTATATGTAACAAGTAGCTGAATGTCTATGCGTATATGAGCAACTCTGCCTACATAACACGATTGGTTTAAAGCTGCGGCGTTTCACCGCCCAATCCCAACTGATAAAAGCACACTATGGATGTATTATGATCTTGTGCATCGGCTGATTGCACAGCCATGCCTGGTCGGCTGCAATGGAATTTACACGTGTCCTTTGAAACCTTCCCTCTTCCAGACTTCCAGTGGCCGGGCCTTGAAAATGTCATTTTGGAGTACAAACTCAGCACGCGGAACGCTCTTCCAGTGACCGGACTTGGAAATTGCTTGCTTGGAGTACAAACTCAGTACGCGGAACCCTCTTCCGGTGGCGGGGCCTTGATACTGCTCTTTTGGAGTACAAACTGAGTACGCGGAACGCTCTTCCAGTGGCCGGGCTTGGAAACTGCTCTTTTGGAGTACAAACT